CTCAATGGGTTGTTGAGAAAGTTGAAGGAACAAAAAAGAAGGTTAAAGGAGAGATAAAGAGCTTTACGTAAACACTTAATGCAGGGCTTAGCATGTAATAGGTGCTCAAAAACAGCATCTCTTTCTAATAGGACGAAAACTAACATTTAATCAAACGCCCACTTGCTATACAGATACAATTGCAGTTTAGCTCACTGCATTCTCACAACCACTCTGATAGGCCCACATGGTCTCTACTTTCCCATGAGGAAACTTAGATTCAAAGTGGTTACAGGACTCGTTCCGATCCACACAACTAGGTCAGGGCAGAGGGCCTGCCAGTTTGTTCTAGCGGGTGCCGCCACTTAGCGCCACTTAGCCCCGGGTTGCAGTGCCGAGTCCCTGCTAATGGATTTGTTTTCTCACTTTGATCCTTGTCCTTGTATTACTGTACCTCCCTTTGGGCTTTGGCTTATCAGAACCAGGTTATCTGTCTTGTAAACCCTGGGAGGACATAAGCCCCATCTGAGACCCCACATTTCTGCCACTTGACTTCCTTGATCCTGAGAAAACTGCCCGAGGCATTTGTTCAAAGAAGAGATTCTCGGGCAGGCCTGTGGGCGTCTGACTCAGGAACAAATGGAATGGAATTTAAAATCTGATTTTTTTTCTTTTTTTTTTTTTTTTACCCCAACAACTGGGAATTCTGAGGATAAGGCAGATTTGGAACTTTTTGCGACATGGAATTGAGAGGGCCTCCTGCGGGCGACGAAGCGGGTGACAGACAGAGGCACTCTGGCTCCTCTTCCCACAGGTGTTTTTCTTGCCTTGTGGTGAAAAGAGGATTTATCGGAAGTAACCTGACAGCATAATCCGACCATAAATTCCTGACTGCGCAGGTCCTGGCGGGTAGTCCCTCCCCCAGACTAATAACTTTTTTAGTAAAAGGTTTACTTTACCCTAAGTAAGCCCTGTCCGTTGTTTCTGTACATCTAGGTTAATAGACCTTTGAAATAAGCAAAATCACCAAGAAAACACATAATCTTATTATCCTGTAATCTAATCCCTGCCTTGCTTTCTCTCACCTTCCTTAATTCAAAATGCATTAAAGAAGCTGCAAACTGCCACTCCAAGGAGCATTTGAGATCTTGCTTCCAGCAACTGTCATCAATTTGGTTCCAATACAGTTTTATAAAAGTTCTTTACAGGTTTGGATGTTTTTACGTAGACAGCTTCAACTCTTTGTTCTGCCCTGAGGGTTACTATGTGCCCAGATCAGGTCTGGGCAGGGGCAAGGCAAGTAAAATGAAGGTCAAGTTCTCCCCGCCCTTCAAGTTTAAAATCGATATGGATTGACAAGACGCCTTCAGGTACTCATGAGAAAGGGTAGTGCTGTGGGGCTGGGAGGGAGAACAGGAGTTTGAATACTGGTGGGCCTTGAGGACGGGGTGGGGGTAATTGAATTCCAAGAGTGCTCTGAGATTGGCTGAAGGACCCTTTTGAGCTGCCTAAGGCCAAAGAGAAGCCTTATGCCTTGCCTGGACCTTGCCTTTGCAAACATCTGCTTGCCCAGTAGGAGAAAGTGGTGGTAAAGCTCAGAGCTACCTTTTACTGAATTCCTACAGGGTCCAAGGGGGATCTACTAGGTCTACAATTTCCTAAACTCCCCGCCAGGATTTTTGAAAGGAACACAGCGACATCTGTCGGCCACCTTGGAAACTACCAGCTCAAGGTTGTTCGCAGCTGGAATGTCAGGCGGAGCCCCATCATTCAGGTGATGCCACAACTTTGTGAAGCTGGGTTTTCTGGCAGCCGCTCTGATGAGAAGCAAGTATCATGCAAAAGTGAGCATGAACAGAAAATAACGGTGGTGACGTTCAATCTAATTCCAAGGTCTGAGCAGCTGTCTAGAGCCGACTCATCCCATTAGTATTTATGATTAAGAAACTAAAATATTTTTCCTTTCAACTTATGTGCATTTTTCAAGCAGCTACTAAGTTGTTAGGACATACATATTTATTAGTTTTTTTGACCTAACTACTTACTAAATGTAACTGTTAAGGTTTTTCATGAGAGTGGGAGGTGCCATGAAAAAATTACTGAGGCACTAAAAGACATCTTAAACCAAGGAAGTTTGGGATCTCTGCCTTATGCTCTTTACAACTTTACAAAGAGCTGCCTTAACCAAGTCTAGGAAGTCATCTCTCCATTTTACAAGTGAGTCGAAAAAGACTAACTCATCTGCCTGAGGCCACTCAGTGTGGGGTTTGGGATGTGTGTGGGGACAGTGAAATTCAAACTAGGTCCTGTGTTATTCTCAAAAAGGTGAACTGCCCCTCCCCAGCAAGAGTCAATTCAGGTTTGTCCCCCGGCTGTGGGAAGGGCAGGCTGGGGGCCAGGGCCAGCTCCTTCTGTTCGTCAAGCCCGCCATCTGCGGAGAAGCAAGGTGAGGTTCCTGAGGTTCCCCCCCATTCATTTTGGGGCCCTACTCAGGGCGCTAGGACAGTAGCCTCTGTGTTCACCGGGGCTGGGGACCTCTCCCCTTAGACTCCCCGGTAGTTGTGTCCATCCCCCGACTCTTGCTCCCCCTCCCAACCGAATCCACCTTCAGTCCCAGAGCCACCTCTCCTGCTCAGCCTCTGGCTGCAGGGGTTAATGAGTTCAAAAGCTGTGCCAAGAATCCAGGCCCCACCTTTCCCACTCTCCTGGGTGAGAAGTCACGGAGGGGCAGCTGCAGGCGGTGGGCAGCCTCTTGGCAGGAGGTGCCAAGCCAGAGACCCAGGAAACCACGAAGGGCAGCACGGAGTATCCTCCCTGCCTGGGCTAGAAAAGCCTGCCTCAGTAGTAAGCTGCCTGACCCCAGAGCGACTTGCACTGGAAGGGAAATAACTCATTGGAGGGAAGGTGGAGTCCCACCTTCCCAAAGGGCAACTGCCAGCGTTATCCTGTGCAGCCAGACTCTGGGGAACTCTGAGCAAACCACCTAGTCCCACCGAGCCTCTGTTTCCCCCTCTGCAGAATGGGGATAATAATTGTACCTACTTCCTAGAACCGACCTGAGAATTTTAACACATGACTAAAGCTCTGCACACAGCCAGGTATACATGGTTGGTGCACAATGATGTTCTTAGACATTCAACGACTATTTATTGAGTTATCTATTATGTATGTGGGAGGCACTATGCTAGGCACTGTGAATACAGCAGTGAACAGGACCGGCAAAAGCCCTGCTTTCTGGGGCCAGATACTCCAGCAGAGGAAGACAGACCATAAACGACAGATATAACATACAGGTCAATTATACAGCAGTGTTGTCCAATGGAAGTATAATGTGAGCCACATATATCACTTTAAATTTTTTGGTAGCCCCAATTCAAAAGTTAAAAGAAACAGGTAAAATTAATTTTTCTAATTCTTAATTAATGTTTTTTTCTTGTATTGAGCCTAGAGAGAGGGAAAGGGAGGGAGAAAGAGAAGGAGAGAAACATTGATGTGTGAAGAAAACATTGATCCATTGCCTCTTGTATGTACCCCGACTGGGGACCAAACCTGCAACCCAGGCATGTGCCCTGCCTGGGAATTGAACCTATGACCTTTCTGTTTGCAGGATGACACCCAACCGAGTTACCCCAGCCAGGGCTAAAAAAATATTTTAAAACTTTCACCTAGTATATCCAAACTATTATCATTTTAACGAGCGGCATTAGCCACGGTTCAAGTGCTCAGTAGCCACATGTCACCAGTGGCTACTGTATTGAGCAGCACAGCTGTCCAGCATGTTAGGCAAGTGAGTGCAAAAGTGAAGATGTAATTTGGGGTAAGGGGGACTGGAGCACCAGGTATGGCCGTGGACAGACTGAGAAGGTGGACCGGGGCTGCCCTGAGGGAGAGCGCTGTTTCCGTAGCCCCCTGACCTCTCTGACCTTGCCTGGCCGCAGGGGCCGAGGGCTCCTTCTCCCTCCTCCGCTGCCAAGCGTGAACCAGGCTCTGCAGACCCCAGAGAGACCTACTGGCAATGCCCCAGCCTGGGGGCCGCCCATGAGCGCCACCCTGCTTACCCCTTGTCCTGGGGGCTTAGGGACACCTCAGGGGAGGTACTGCATGGATTTTGTCAAGGCTTTGACTGGAAGAGGGAAGAGGTGGGTGGATGGGGGTGCGAAGAGGAGCTCTCGCTCTTGAAAATATATTATTTTTCTTGATTGCTGAGTGTTTGGGTGCCCCTTTAAAATTCGCATTCAAGTGCCTGGTTGGCTTCACCCTATTCCCATTCTGCGAGTCTCATCCCTTGTTAGCTGTGTGCCTTTGGACAAGTTACGGACCCTCTTGGAGCCTCGAGACTCAGTTTCCTCCTCTGTGGAATGGGGATAATTTGGTGCCTACTCATGGCTGATAGGGGGACACAGTGACGCGTGTTTCAGGCCTGGCAGGCTCCCTGGTACGCAGTTGACTGAAGTCAGCTTTTCCCATGGGAAGCCTGGGGTCAGGCCTGAGGGGGTGGGTCCCCGAATGGATGTGACCTTGCTCTGCCCTTGAGGAGAGCTGGCCCAACTGCTTAAAACTCCCTGCTGCTTCTGTTTCCAAGGGAAACCTGCTGCTTTTCTCTCCTGCCTCAGCCTGACCTCCCTACAACAAGGTCCTTGGGGGTGGGACCCGATGCTCACCCGAAGGCCTCCTTGGCGCCCAGCACTATCCACCCCAGCTGCCCTGGGCCCCCCACCGCTGCCTCCCCCACCTTGCGCTCTGCCCACTCCCATTGAAGGCCATGGCTCGCTGTCCCTCAGTGCTGCCATGAGGCCTGCACTTTGCAGGGCTGAAGTCCAAAGTTCAGTCCCTTCGTTAAGCACACGGATAAATATGAACCTTGGAGAATTTCCCCAGCTCCAATGTAAACAGAGCGGGCAGGGGCCCTGATTCACTGGCCGCTGGGGCCAGGGTAGGGGGCTGGGGGTACCCAGAGGACTTGGCTAGTGGGGTTTGGGGGGGCGTGGGTGCAAGGAGCCTGGTTTGTGCCTGCTTGCTGGCCGGCTAACAAGTAGATAGCCCGCGAGGTCGGGGAGGCGGCCTGCTTGGTGGCCCCAGGCCTCGTGGCCCAGCGGCAGTGGAGCCATGGTTTCTAAACTGAGCCAGCTGCAGACAGAGCTCCTGGCGGCCCTGCTCGAGTCAGGCCTGAGCAAAGAGGCACTGATCCAGGCGCTGGGCGAGCCGGGACCCTACCTGCTGGCTGGAGACGGCTCCCTGGACAAGGGGGAGTCCTGTGGCAGCCGAGGGGAGCTGGCCGAGCTGCCCAATGGGCTGGGGGAGACGAGGGGCTCCGAGGATGAGACAGACGACGACGGGGAAGACTTCACGCCACCCATCCTCAAGGAGCTGGAGAACCTCAGCCCCGAGGAGGCGGCCCATCAGAAAGCCGTGGTGGAGAGCCTGCTGCAGTAAGGACCCCTGCCCTGTCCCCCGCTCCAAAGCGACCAGAGGCGCTTGGCCTCAGCTCCTGACCAGCCCTGCCGGGTCCAGAATTCCATGAGCAGTGACCTTCAGCCTAGTTGTTGGGAAGGGGCACAGGGCCCGTGAGCTCGGGTTGGGGTGGGTCTTTGCTTGGAGGCTGGAGCCCCCGACCTGGTCCTCTGCAGAGTCCTAAGTCCCCGTGAGCCAAGGTTTTCAGCCCAGTGCTTGGGAAGCAGCCACATGTCCCAGGGGAGCTCCAAGATGGGGAAAAACAGGAGACTTTACAAATCAAGTGTCTGGCGAACCAGAGGAGGGTGGAATTTTTAGCCACGGCCACTATTTCTATGCCCTACCCCCTAACTTCCCTGGTAGGCATTCAGATCGCGGGCTCCCGGGCCAGGAAGCAGTGCTGGGGAGAAGGGAGGGAAAAGCTGGGGGTTTGGGGGCTCCCCAGGCCACCTGGAGACACAAGCATTCAGCCCGGTCTTTCTTACCTGAGGGAGGTAAAGCCCCAGGGCAGGAGCTTCTCTCCTTTCCAGCACAGCCTCTGGCCCCCTCCTGCCAGCAGGCGCCATTAGAGGCCTCCCCAGTGTGGACCCCCATCCACTGGCTGGCTCCCCATCTCCCGAAGGACTGAGTGGGTACGAACCTGATGCCTCCCCTCTCCTCAGCAGAGCTAACCTGGTTACTAATTACCCACAGGCTTTATTATTTCTCTTTTGTTTTATAAATTTATAAACGGCAAAAGGCTCTGATAAGGCCTGTGATCATTAACTTGTAGGGATAGTGGCCTGGGGAGACCTGGGCCAATGAACCTCCTCCCACCCAGTGGGGGTGGGGGAGGGGGAGTACCGGGTGGGGGTGGGGAAAGAGGGGCTAGGGCCGCAAGAACGGCCCCTTCCCAAAGCCTCCTTAACCTCCGTTGGAACAGTGGGGCGCCTGCTCAGGTCCCACATGCACGATCTGGAATAGTGTTGAGATGAATCCTGAGAAACAGCTACGGATCAGTCTGCTTCTCAGATGAGGAAACTGAGGCCCAGAGAAGGGAAGTAGCTTGATTAGGGCCACCCAGCAGGGACTTCACACCCACTGTTTAGGGCTCCCAGTCACCAGTGCTGGGGGTCCAGGGGCCGACGTCGGGGGGGGGGGCGGCGGGGAGCTGGGCTTCTGAGGAGGAGTCCCAGAGACTCTCCAGGGGGACCGGTTCTTTTCTGTCCAGGGTCCTGATCCTAGTTTGCAGTAGGGGCGGGCTAGATCTCTGACTCGCAAGTCCTCAGGGTCCGCCAGGCCTCCCAAGGGCCTGGGCAGGGGGCAGGGGAGCAGACAGGCCCCTGACTTGGCAGGAAGTGGAGGGCAAAGGGCCCTGCTGGGCTGCAGGGGAGGGGCAAAGAGTCAGCACGGCAGACCCAGGGCAAGGGCGACTGGGAGAGGATGGGGCTGGGCTGGGCCTGCTCAGTACCCCAGATGCGAATGGGGGCTTTCTGGTGGGGGTCGCGGACGGGGGTGCCAAGGGCCTTTCTTACCTGGCTGGGTGGGGCCTCTTGATCAGCAGCCCCTTTGGCGGGATGGTGGGTTGGGGGGAGGCTTGATCCACAGCACTTGATGGGGGAGCAGAGGTCAAAGTGCTCCCTGGGGACCAGCAGAGGCGTATAAGCTGAGGGAGAGAGGGGAGACCGGGAGGAAGAGAGAGGCCGTCAGGGGAGGTGGAGAGAGGCCCGGAGAAGCAGCGCTGAGCGGAGGAGTGGGAGGAAAGAGGGGCTCACACCTAGTTGGGAGAAGGGGCTGGGGAGAGAGTGAGGTGCCCCAAGCCGAGAGGTGGCTGGAGTGCTCCCGCCCAACCCGATTGGGTTTTCTTTAATGCTAACAGCATGCTATTTACTTTCCATTTAAATTTGAGATGTTGCTATAAATTATCAACCAGCTCCTTGTTCCTGCGGAGTTTATAACTAACTACCTGGGTTACTTATTGTTCAGGTAACAAAAGGGATCTGAAACCACCCTGAGGGAAAAAAGTGGGGCCTGTAGTCTCAGGGCACAGGAAGGAGAGGGGTGGGGGACCCCAGATGAAGGCCCGGGCCGTGGGGGAGTTTGAAGCTGGAAAGGATGGTGCAGAGGCAGCACTTCAGTGGAAGCCGCTGCGCCGGTGAAGGCAGTGTATGGGAAGAGGCGGGGTGCGTCCTGGGCCCCGGGTCTCCCCAGGCGCCCCGTGCTTGAGGCCATTGCAGGTCCCCAGACTTAGTTCACTGCGTGACCTTGGACACGTCTCTTCTCTGCCTCCCTGCCTCCATTTCCCTACCTAGCGGACTAAATGAATAAAATCCAAACTCCCTGCCCTGGGTCCCTGACCGCTTCCTGAGGGACCGCCTGCCTCCCTCCCTTTCTTCCAGTTACACTGACTTCACTGATTCCCACCTCAGGGCCCTTGCACCTGCTGTTCCTTCTGCCTGGAACCCTCTTTCCAGATCTTCCCATGGCCAATTCCTTCTCTTCCTTTTGTTCAAATGTCACCTCCTCAGGGAGGACCTCCCTGACTGCTTCATCTAAAGGTAGGCGCAGCCCAGTCACTCTCTCTTCAACTACCTTCCTTTACTTTCTCCTGTCCCTTATCATCACTTTGTTTTCTATCTCCTGCCATGAAAATAGAAGTTCTTCAAGGGCAGGGCTCATGTGGCCTAGTTCACCACTCTTACCCCTACTATGCAGCCCAGTGGATAGCACGCAGCATGAATGAATCAATGACTAGGATTCTCTGAGGCCCTGGGGACCCACCTGCCACTATGGCCAAGGGAGGAATCTATACCTGGGACTCCTTCCTGGGTGCCTTCCCAACTCCTCTGGGTCCCTGAGCAGCTCAGACCTCAACCTTGTCGGTCTCTGATCCTCTCCATTCGGCAGTACCAAAGCAAAGTGGCCAAAGTGGGACAATCTGCCATCCCTGACTGAGGCCAGCCTGCCTGGGTCCGAATCCCAGCTCCCCGACTCTAGCACAGGCAGGCAATTTCACTTTTCTGAGCCTCTGTTCCCCCTGCAGGGTGGAGATGATAATAACCACAGGGTTAAGTAGCCTGATAGCATGCAGGGTGCAGATGTAGTAAGTAGAGCAAATGGTTGCTATTATGAGTGGTCCCGTTTTACAGACGAGCAAATGAAGGCTCAGAGAGACAAAGCGACTTGTCCAAGGTAATTCCTGCCAAGCTGTCAGGCCGGAACTTAGACCCAGGTCCTCCCAACACCACACTCTGCACAGCACCCTTGAGTCTGCAAGCCTGCCCTTGATAAGTTCATCTCCCTCCTTACCCTCCCCAGTCATTCTGGCTATTCAGGTTCACCATGAACTCTCTTCCACGTGGTACTCCGGAGAGCACAAGGGCTTACAAAGGCGTTAAACTCATTTCCCCCTCTGGTGAAATATTTATCCTTAGCTCCGTATCACGGTTGAGGGAACTGAGACACACAGAGGCTGAGCAGCTTCCCAAGCACCCCGCCGCCCCCCTAGTAGTGGCAGAGCTGAGATTCACACTGAGACAGAAGGGCCCTGCCCTGAGGACTCAGCTCCCCTCCACACGGGTGGGCCTGCAAGGTGGTCTCACAGCTCTTCAACCTTGGACGCACTGAAACCTCCAGGGCCCAGAAAGCTAAAGTCCCAAAGCCTTGAACATCTGATCGACCCCAGAATGGGTAGGAGGCAGATGTGGGCAGATCTCCCCCTCTCCTGGGCCCCCTTCTCCCTGCCCTGGAGCCAGCCGTCTCAGGAGTACATTGATAATGATGCTCGTAACAGTGCCATTCCATTTGCTGAGCACTGACTGTGGGCCAGGCCCTGGGAGCGTTTCACCTGTTTGAAACTCATTCAGTTCTCCCAGGAGCACTGCGGCCAGCGTGGGCTTGTTACAGAGACTTACGGAGATGTGGGGCGCGCACACCACAGGCGCCAGGGTGTGGTGGCGGGCCTGGGACGCAGGTCCCTGTGACTTTTGAGCCTGTGAGGGTGAAAGCTGGGAAGACCTGGAGACTTGGTCTCTTAGTTCTGAGTTGGAGAAACTGTCCTGAAGAGCCAGGTCCGGGGAGACTCTGTGTGTGTGTGTGTGTGTGTGTGTGTGTGTGTGTGTGTGTGTGTGTGTGTTGGGGGGCAGGGGGGTGGAAACAGACAGGGAGACGCGCAGAGACACACACATGCACACAGAGTCAGATGGCCAGTGACAGTACATCTTTCCTTTGAGCCAGGAGAGGCCCTGCTGGGAGGGAGAGTGAGCTCATTCTCTCCGGAGAGGAGAGGAGGAGGGCGGGAGGGAGGGAGGGCTGCTCAGAGGGCAATGGCTGCAGGGGGAGGAGAGTCAGATAAACATGTTTGCCCTGGAGCACAAGGCCGGACTTTGTCCTGCCCTTCCCTCCTAGCTCTGACTGGCACCCAGCGAGCGGGGGAGGTAGAAAAGACAGGCTCCCGGGAGCCCCTGGGAGCAGAGAGAGAGTGGAACTTGGGGAGAGGTCTGGCAGAGGGGCGGTCTGGGCAAAGTGAATCCCGGCTAAGTCACCTTTGACAAGTGAGGCTCACCCGTCTGAGCCTCAGTCCCCCCCAACCCCCGTGAAATGGACATCCAAGTAATACTGACTTCCTAAGGTAATTGTAAGATCTAAATGACTGGCTCTTGGCACAGCGCCTGGCTCGCACTACATACTCAAGAAACACTAGTTCTCAAGGCCAGCATGTTGACCCCGATGGCACGTGGCTGTACTGACTGCTCTCCAGTTTACATTTATCTGCCCCTACCTTCCTTGCCTCCCTGCCTGGATGGGAACTTCCTCAAACGGAGGAAGTCGGAGGGCCGGAGCTGACGAGAGGCTCTGAGAGGCTCTGTGTCCCCGAGTCTGGGAAGGGCATTGCCAAGGGGACAGGCAAAGCTGGTCCTCCGAGACGGAAGAGAAGGGCTAGGGGGGAAAAACAGTGTGGGGGCGGCAGGGTGGGTTTCAGAGCGCGGGAGGGTGTGTTTGCTTTTAGTAGTTTAGAATTCAGTTTTAAATGTTATATAGGCATATGTCCAACATTATATAACATGTTTCACAATTTAAAAAGCATGGAAGAGCACCAGAACGCTGCCCCCCTCCCTATCCCCAACACTCCATTCCTTGCCCAAGGCCTCCAGTGTTGCCAGTTCTTCTGCGTCCTTCCACTCTTGCATGCAAACACAAGCAAATGTGTAGGACTCTTTTATCTCACTTTAAATTTTACACAAATAGCAGCCCAGCAATCTTGCCAGCCACACTCTGTTCCACCTGGGCACACAAAGAGCTTCCTCAGTGGATGTTCGCAGTTGCTTGGCTGGAGGCTCCGCCAGTTAGCTAATCAGCAGCCTTTTCCTGGACACTTAGGTGGTTTCCAATCTTTTGCTGTGGCCGAGTCACAGGGTGATGAATTGCCTCCTACACATGCCATTTGCCACACGGGCATATATCAGAAGTCTCGAATTCTGGAACAAATTGCTGAATCGAGGGTGTGGGAACGCAGGCTCTGGAGTCTGGGAGACCTGGGTTCAAATCCCAGCTCTGTTTCGGCACTGGTGTAGTGAGCTGCCTTCCTCTGATGCGTATTTGTAAGAGAGGCTCAGGACAGAATGAGGGGTTAGGCAGAAGGATTGAGACAGAGCAGGAAAGGCAGGAAGAACTTACATAGTAGAGGTGACCTGGCCCCGTCTCTTCCACAGCAACCAGCGGACAGGAATACAAACCAAGGATGGCCTAGGTCCCTGAGTCTCTCTCGTGAGAGAATCTCAGCCCACAGAGTGGGATTCAGTGCTCAGACATGCACATTTTTCTTACAGTAAGTCCCGCGAATAGCAGCTCATAACCCCTTCACCCGAGACTGTTGGAAACCAGCCGCGCGCCCCTGTGCAGGGGTAGATACACTGGCCGGACTGCTGCCTAGGGGTTAGTGCAGGCTGTCGGCACACATTTTAACCCCATGGGACTCGCACCCAAGAGGCTGACTTAGAACCGAATCGCTTCAGCTGGGATGGGACTCTGCTGGGCTAGCCCTGCGACCTTGGGCAAGAGATGCAAGGGACATAAATGCTCTTAGCCTCAGTGGCCCATACTGTAAAGTGAAAGAATCATATTTCTCTCCTCTTTCAGATCTAATTTTTTTTCCAGTAGGTCTCCCTCATCCATCCACCCACCCACCCACCCAACTATCCATCCACTCTTATCATCCATCCAGCCATCCACCCTACTAGCCATCTCCCAGCCAGCCAGCCCCCCTTCCACCTGTCCACTGAGTCACTCACTTACCCGCCTGTTTGCCCATCCACTTGTGTACCTGTCTGTCCGCCCGTTCACTCATCCATCCATCCGCCGGTCCACCCATCTGTCCATCTACTCATTCATTCATGCATTCACCAAGGATGTAATCAATGTCAGGCCTATTTTGGGAGCTGAAAACCAGACAGTTCCTGCCCTCAGGGGGTTTACAGTCTCTCAGTGGATTAGACACAGCCCAGGTAACATTCCCAGGTAGGATAAGAGGTCTTTCAAGGAGGCACAAAGGTGAGAACTATCCCCATTGGGCTTGCGCTGCTTCCCGTGGGAGTTTGTACGTCTGTGTCTATGTGTCTGTGTGACCATTTCTAAACTTTTATCTGTTCTTGTGTCTGTGTGGCGCTGGTTGGGGCCTGTGACCATGTTTCTTCCATGTCTATGCGTCTACATGACCCTGTCCCCATGTCCGTGTGTCAGTGTTCCTGTGTCCTGGCATGTGTGCCCACACCTTCCTGCCTCTGAGTCAGGGTGCGGGCCCTGGGCTCCGTGCCTGCTTTCACCCACAATCCCTGCCCCCAGGACAGACGGGGTCCTAGAACCCAGGACCCCTAGCCCTTCCTGCAGGGCCCCCCGTGCCCCCAATAAGCAGGCCCTGTCCTTGCCTTCCTCCCAGGGAGGACCCGTGGCGTGTGGCAAAGATGGTCAAGTCCTACCTGCAGCAGCACAACATCCCACAGCGAGAGGTGGTTGACACCACTGGCCTCAACCAGTCGCACCTGTCCCAGCACCTCAACAAGGGCACCCCCATGAAGACGCAGAAGCGAGCCGCCCTGTACACCTGGTATGTCCGCAAGCAGCGAGAGGTGGCCCAGCGTAAGTAACAACCGACGGCAGCCCTGTCTTCCCTGGCAGGTCTGGGACTCTGCAGCTTGAGGGTGGGGGCTGGAAGCTTCACCACCTCAATACTCAGGCAGGCAGACTCAGAGGAAGTCAGAGGGACCCAAGCAGCGTTTATTCCCTATTCTGCGCAAGGCACTCTCAGGGAGGGAAGTTGGGCTGGTTCTGGGCATCCACAGACAGATAAACTGGGCCCCTACCTTCCAAGAGCTGTGTGGCAGAGGAGGGGAAAAGGCCATTAAGTACAGTGAGACATGTATTACAACATGATAACAAGAACAGCGATAGCTAACTGGTTTATAGCTGCCTTGCAGAGTGCCTGGCTCAGTGCAGAGTGCTACAGAAACATATTTCGAGGCGTGGAGCTGGTGGTGAAGGAGAGAAGAATCTATTCTTCCTCAGGGCGGCAGGAGCATCAGGAAGGTTCACACTAGAAGTATGACCTTTAGACTAAGTCTTCAAGTGGGGCTCAAATTTTGAGGCAAATTCCCTGAGGCAAGGTACATGCTCAGGGAATCCTCCATTGCAAACCCAGGGCGACCTGGGTGCCCTCTCATTCAGCGAAGGGTGGATTTCCTCCCTCAGGCCTCATACCCCACCAAAGCCCAAGTGCCCTTTCACACTTTTGAGCCTGTGCATGAAATAATTTCTAATATATTTTTTATTAATTATCCAGGCTTTAAAAAGGCAATGCATACTAGTTTTTTTTCAAAAAGAGAAAATAATGGTTTTACAGTAACAATTAGATGACCCTCTGAAGCAGCTACGGGCACTTTCAGTCTTGCCACACCCTTCTAGAGAATATACCAGCGAAACTGATACATCCCTGACTCAGAATCTTCCTCCCCCTTCATAAAAGTGTCCTGCCACTTGTCTGTCCCATACCCTTGGTGGCCTGCTCAGGCATAATCTGATAGACTAATTTCCACGGAAGTGGAACCAGCTGACAAGGGCTGGCGGGTCTCTTCTCTGTGGGTGAACACTGCACTTTAAGCTTGATTTCCAAGTCTGGCAGGTTGAACACAGCTCTGAATCTACTCAGGAGCTGTGATTCAATTTTCTGCTCTACTGTACGACTCTATAAATTTTTTTCTTCTTTTAATCCTCACCCAAGGACATTAAATACAATTTTTTTAAAGATTTTATTTATTCATTTTTAGAGAGAGTAGAAGGAAAGGAGAAAGAGAGGGAGAGAAACATCGATGTGTAAGAGATACATTGATTGGTTGCCTCTTGCACGTCCCCAGATAGGGACCTGGCCCACGACCCAGCCATGTGCCCTGACTCGGAATCGAACCGGTGACCTTTAGGTTCTCAGGCCTGCACTCAGTCCACTGAGCCACACCAGCCAGGGCCCAAGGATATTTTTTTATAAAAATTTATTTTAGAGAGAGAATAAGGCAGGCAGGGGGAGCGGGAGAGAGAGAGAGAGAAACATCAATATGAGAGAGAAACATCAATCAGTTGCTTCCCATACACACCCCAACTGGGCATCAAATCTGCAAACTAGATATGTGCCCTCACCAGGGATCAAACGTGCAACATACTTGGCCCACGGGACGATGCTCCAACCACTGAGTCATTCAGCGAGGATGAAAATTTTTTTTAATTTTTTAAAAAGAAAAATATTTAACCTCCTTGTACCTTACCTGTAAAATGGGAGAGCATATATGTCCAATGTGAACAAATGCTGATGCTTACCTGGAGCCTTGTGAGGTTATATCTGGGCTCAGTAGAAAAATGTGCAGGGGCTGATTAGTGATACCAGCCTTGGACACAGACACACGTGCTGTGTATCTGTCATCACTGGATTAGGTGATTTCTAAGTTCTGGCTGTAAGCTCCTCTGGCTCAGCAAGCGCTCTGGGATGGGAAAGAATCAGGGGCGTGGTCACGAACTGCTGTGGGAAGGTGGGAGTGGCTGGCACTCCGCTCATGACTCTCTGTGCCTGCAGAGTTCACCCATGCCGGGCAGGGTGGGCTGATTGAGGAGCCCATGGGAGATGAGCTGCCGACCAAGAAGGGACGGAGGAACCGTTTCAAATGGGGCCCAGCCTCCCAGCAGATCCTGTTCCAGGCCTATGAGAGGCAGAAGAACCCCAGCAAGGAGGAGCGAGAGGCATTGGTGGAGGAGTGCAATAGGTAGAAGGGCTGGCAGTTAGCAGGGCTGGCTTCGGTTGGGCAGGGCGAGGCGGGGGAGGGGGAGGGTGGCTCTGAGGCCTGAGGGAGGCTCCCCAGTTTCAACCCCTGCTCCGGGTCTGAAACTAGCTCTGTACCTGGCATACCCCTGCAACCCGAGCAGCTCTTGAGTGGGTGCTCACCTCTTTCATCCTCACTACAACCTGATGGTTATTTTGCTCACTTTATGATTGGAGACAGTAAGAGAGGCTAAGTCGCTTACACAAGGCCACACGGCAGAATGGGATTGAAGCCCAGGTCTGCTGGCCTCAAGTGCTCCAGGAAAGCGCTACTTCTCTGAACTCTCCCCAGCACCCCAGGAGAGGGTTCCTTGGCGCCTGGCCTGGAGGCTCACAAGTGGCTATTTCTGCAGGGCTGAGTGCATCCAGAGGGGGGTGTCCCCATCGCAGGCACAGGGGCTGGGCTCCAACCTTGTCACAGAGGTGCGTGTCTACAACTGGTTTGCCAATCGGCGTAAGGAAGAAGCTTTTCGGCACAAGCTGGCCATGGACACTTACAGCGGCCCGCCGTCGGGGCCGGGCCCGGGCCCCGCGCTGCCCGCCCACAGCTCCCCTGGCCTGCCCCCACCTGCCCTCTCCCCCAGTAAGGTCCACGGTGAGTGCTGTGTGGGCAGGGGGACTGGGACAGTGGGTGGGGGAATGAGGGGGGAGGGGGGAGGGTTGGGGAGCACCACCCCAGCTGGAGATAGCCACCCAAACCTCTGGGCACTTCAGTCTGTTTCCACTCCATTCTATTTACACTACTCTGCCCACTCCCCTGACCACAACACAGCATCCACTCCACTCACATCTGTCTACTCTATTCCACTCTGAGCTGGGTTACTTCAATTCAATTCATTCATTTCAGATGAAAGCAACTCAATTCAGTTCAGTTCAATTCCCTTCTATTCTGTTCAACTCCTTGAACAATTTGATCATTTAAATCTAGTATAGCTTAATCCAATCCAATTCCCAGTCGACTCATTTTAAATGTAATTCAAGGAAATTCAGTTAGTTTTGTATAGCTCAGTTCAATTCAAACCAACTTGATTTGATTCAATTCAACTCAAGCGCGATTCATTTCAGGTTCAATTCAGCTAGATTCAGTTTCATTCGACTGTTCTTTCCTGTGCTTTCTGTTCAATTTAGTTTGCTGCAGTTGAATTTATTAGCTTCAATTCGGTTTGGTTCAATTGTCTTTTATTGAGCACCTACTGCGTGTCAGGCATAGCACTCAGCAGTGGGGGCCATGGAGCTAATAAAATGCAGCCGTTGGGTTCGGGAGTTGGAAGCAGCCAAGCACAGCGCCTGGTAGGGGGTAGACATGACAAGCAAAGTTTGCTGGCTGCATAAAGAAAAATGGAGCGAGGGGCCGAAGCAAACCGATGCGGAGTGACGAGGGCCCTGGAGGGCCGGCAGTGGGGTGCTGAGGCCGGATACTGTCCCCACCCCAGGTGTGCGCTACGGACAGCCTGCAACCAGTGAGGGGGCGGAAGTGCCCTCCAGCAGTGGCAGCTCCTTGGTGACAGTATCCACACCCTTGCACCAAGTGTCCCCCACAGGCCTGGAGCCCAGTCACAGCCTGCTGAGCACTGAAGCCAAGCTGGTGAGTGTTCCCCCGCCCTCAGGTAGGGAAGACCCTTCCAAACCCCTCTTCCCTTGGTTGGGAGAAGCTGTCCCCAGGGAGGCCCTGCCCTCACTCAGCTTGGCTTTCCCTCCAAGGTCTCAGCAACAGGGGGTCCCCTGCCCCCCGTCAGCACCCTGACAGCACTGCACAGCTTGGAGCAGACATCCCCAGGCCTCAACCAGCAGCCGCAGAACCTCATCATGGCCTCCCTTCCCGGGGTCATGGCCATCGGGCCTGGGGAGCCTGCCTCCCTGGGCTCTACATTCACCAACACGGGCACCTCCACCCTGGTCATTGGTAAGCTGGTACGATGGGGAGCACCCGGGGGGTGCTTTTGCACTGCTGTGGAACCCAGGGCGCTCCAGGGAACCTAGTTAGACCTACCTCCTGCCGATATGACGAGCCCGAGGCTCAGAGAAGGGGAGTGACTTGCCAAGGCCACCTCAGTTAATACCACGTTCTAGTGCAAAGGTGTTTCCTCTCTGTTGCTCCCCCTCCCCAACCCACAGACCCTGGGGGGCAGGGATGGTGCCCCAGGGAGCCCGGCTGACTCCTGCCCCTTCCCCTCCAGGTCTGGCTTCCACACAGGCACAGAGCGTGCCGGTCATCAACAGCATGGGCAGCAGCCTGACAACCCTGCAGCCCGTCCAGTTCTCCCAGCCGCTGCACCCTTCCTACCAGCAGCCACTCATGCCCCCTGTGCAGAGCCACGTGGCCCAGAACCCCTTCATGGCCACCATGGCCCAGCTGCAGAGCCCCCACGGTGAGCACAGGGGAGGGCGTGACCCAGCGGGTGCTGTGATCTCCGTGTGTGCACGCGTGCGCACGCGTGTATCGGGTAGAGTGCTTGCGATTGGGGACGCAGGAGGGACGGTGAGCTGAGGGTGCTTAGAGCAGTGTCTGTGGCCAGAACGGGTTTCCATGTGTGTGAATACGTGTGGCTGTGTATGTATGTGTGTGAGTGGATACACATCTGGGTGTGCATCAGTGTTCAGGGTGCACACCCACGTCTGAGGACACAGGTCACAGGCTTTCTCTGAACCCCTGAGGCCACGTGTATTTCAGAATCCACTTTTTTTCAGATTTTCAAAAGGTATATTGGTGAACATACTACAGATTGCAGAACTCTCCCCGCAGGGTTTGGGGTAACACTCTCACCAAGCACGACAGCTTGATTTCTGCAGCAAAAGGCAGAATCCCACCAAGGAGATTAAGAAAGACCTAAATAACCTCACATCAGGCTCCGGTCAGATCCTGCCATCAAATGATTTTCCTAAGTGTCAACCTTGTGAACATCTGCTGGTTTTCAGACCTTTCTGGAATTTGGAACTGGGGATAAGGGACTGTGGACTTGTGCATATCCCCGTGTGAATTTGATTGAGTGCATGTATTTACGTGTGTTATGTGGGTGGTTATGGTTTTGTCTGTCAGTGTGAGAACAGTGTCTGGTTTTGGGGGGAGGCTACAGGTGAAGCTTGGGGTTACATGTTGGAGAGGCGCCCTGGAGGTGGATATGGGCTGCCCCCGCCCTGTTCACCTCCCCAGGACACCAGCCTTCCCCTCCAAGGCCCGTGCTCAGCACAAGAGTGCCTGCGCCTCCTGTTGCCTTGCATTCCTGTCGTCTCCAGGGGGCGGAGGGAGCTGGGTTGGGGTTCCTGGCCTTCCCCAGGCCCCTTGACACGGAGCAAGTCTGAGTAGGTCTGTAGGTGGGGTGAGGGTCCAAACCCTCTACCTGGAGCTCCATTTTGGAGATCAGCCCTGAGTCCCCAGCCGCTGCCCTATCAGGCCATTTCCCAGGCCTCGTGCCCCGCTTCCCCTAGAGCAGCAACCCCCGAGGCCATCCTGGGAGAGGTCCGGTCCAGCCCAGGGTGCCACACGTGTACCCTTCTCCATCTTCTTCCGTCTTCTCCCTCCTGTCCAGCCCTTTACAGCCACAAGCCTGAGGTGGCCCAGTACACCCACACGGGCCTGCTGCCGCAGACCATGCTCATCACCGATACCAGCAACCTCAGTGCCCTGGCCAGCCTCACGCCCACCAAGCAGGTAAGGCCCAGGGCTGCCCGGGCCCCGCCCTCGGGCCCCTGCTCAGAGAACACCCTGGCGACTCAGGAGGCTGCTCTGTTCCCCAGGTCTTCACCTCAGACACCGAGGCCTCCAGTGAGTCCGGGCTTCACACGCCAGCATCTCAGGCCACCACCATCCACATCCCCAGCCAGGACTCTGCTGGCATCCAGCAGCTGCAGCCTTCGCACAGGCTCAGCGCCAGCCCCACAGGTGAGCGGCCTCTCCGTGCCCCTCCTCTGCTGTGCGCGCAGCACGGGGGGCGCGCGGGGTGGGCGGCGTGAGGCGGACTTCGGAGGGCGCCCTGTGCTCCCCTGAAGTGGGTCCAGAGGGGTGTGAAACCACCGAAAAACGGGCACAGCTTACAGAAACATCTCATTAGCCTGGCTGAGGAGCAAGACGAAGTCACAGGAAGAGGAGGAAACTGGGCTGGCTGGGGGCCAGAAGTGGCTTGTGGATGTGTTGGTTTGGTTTTGAATCGTTGCCAACATTTAAAAATCAGGAGGTTTCACAGAGAAATCCAGGTTTCTGGGTTCTCTTGGGAAATTGGAAGGACTCATGATGTTTCCACCTAGTAATGGAGTGTGGGCTCTTTGGTCCACCTTGTCCCATTCGATCCATTCGTTTCCCTCCCACTATGATCCAAGTCAGCGACCTACAAGGTCATGGCAAAGACCAGGTGCTTTAGAGTCAGGCTGCTGGGCTTTGAGGCCTGGGGCAGCCACTTACTAAGTGAGTGACTTTGGGCACGTTGTTCCCCCTAAGGGAGTCAGTCTCAGGTTCCTTCATGCAGCCCTGGCAGCTGCAGCGACTATCACTGAGGGATTTGTGGTCCAGGCTCTGTGCTTTACTCATGAGGCGCGTCATCACCACTACTGGACAGATGAGAGAGCAGACACCCGTGGCGAGGGACTTGGCCTTACCGCTGACAGCTACTAGGCAGCAGGGTCAGGACCTGAACCCAAGTCCAAACTCAAAGCCCATTCCTTAACCGTTCTGAATCAGTCAGGCTTCTCCTGAGACACAGAACCAACAGGAATTCATACATATTTAAGGAATTGGCTTACATGACAGTGGGGCTGGCGGGTCCGAAAGCTGTAGGGCCAGGCAGAGGGCTGGCCGCGCAGGCAGGAGTGGAGGCTGCGGTCCTGACGCAGACACCCTTCTTCTCCGAGAAACCTCTGCTTTGGCGCTTAAGGCCTTCAACTGATTGAACGAGGCCCACCCACACTTCTGAGCGCCATCTCTGTTACATAAAGGCAACTGATTGTAGGTGTTGACCACATCTGCAAAATACCTTCACAGCAACACTTCCATTAATGCTTGGGTCAATGCCTGGGTACTGCAGCCTAGCCAAGCTGACGCATAAAGCTAAGCATCTCACCACGTCACCAAGGCTTCTCCGACATTCCACCAAAATGGCCTGTGGAGGCCACCCTCTGGGTGGCCCCAGAGCCTGGCTGGGGGTTAATAAGACGAGGTTCCACCTTCCCTGTCCTGAGGGCCTCAAGGGATGAGTGGGAGGGGTCAGCACGGGCTTGGCAGGCAGCCAGCAGCTTCGTTTGCCTCTGCAGTGTCCTCCAGCAGCCTGGTGTTGTACCAGAGCTCCGAATCCACCAATGGCCACAGCCACCTGCTGCCATCGAACCACAGTGTCATCGAGACCTTCATCTCCACGCAGATGGCCTCTTCTTCCCAGTAACCACTGCAACCTCCTCCCAGGGGCTGGCACCTGAAGTGGGCACAGCCTGCTGGGGGTGGGGGTGGGGGGACCAGAACATCTGAGCCTGCAAAACTTTCGCTCTCACGGAGCTGCTGCCCTTCCCTGGAAAACCGTGCCTTGGTCCCCACCCAGCCCTGCCAATGAGAGGGAGGGTTCTGAGGTGCCCCAACCCGAGGATGCTGCTTCAGGCACAAGGGGGGGCCCGTGGAGAGCCAGGAAGCAAAGCCTGATCCTGGCAGGACATGGGAGGGGCTGTTCCTGCTGCTCTGAGTCAATCTGTCACTTAGAACAGAAGGGGACAGGCTGTGGTACCCCCAGCCTGGGCCTGTGGCGCCCCGGTGCCCCAAAGGGAACCCCGCCAGCCACTCTTCTCGGGACACAAGCCTGTGTTGTTGACTCACTGAGCTCTGAGGGTGGCCCCGTCCTGTCGCCTGTGCCCTGTCCAGGCCACTCCATCCTGTCTCCCTTCCTGCTATTAACCCACATGCCCATTTGTACTCCCATCACACGGGCATTCCCTGAGGGGCTCCGCCGTCGGAGGGCCTGGGGCTCAGATGCTAATGGCGAAGACAGAAGGGATCTCCAGCTCCCCTTCCCCTGAGCCATCCCTTCCCCTGGACCTCATGACCTGCAGGTGTCTGGGACATTTGTGCCTGAGGATCACGCCTTCTGATGCCAGCCTGGCATCTTGCCTCTGCTGAGAAGTCCCCTCAAGGCTAGGAAGTCATCCTCACTCCTGCGGGAGCCTTGTGACTCCGTACCTGGTGCTAAGTCCTGGGGCGGGAGCTCCTCTGGCCTGAAGGGCCCTGCAGGCCCTCCGCTGGTTTGGGGGAGAAGCTGCCGAGCTCAGAAGGCAGCAAGGTCTGAGCAGCTGGCAGAACGGAGGTGCCCAGCAAGAGAAGAGAGGTGACATCAGCAGAGTGGAGCCACCCGTGTAGACAGAACTGATGCCTGGAAGCAGGGGGCCTGGGTGGCTGAGGCATGGGGAGAGGTCAGGCGCATGCAGCCCCAAGGAGCCTGGGCGTGTCAGCCGGGGGCTCCCTGAGGCTGCTGCGACGACCTGAGACCAACTCCATCTCGGGGCTGAGGCAGCGCTGCAGCCCCTGCAGTGCGCAACCAGCTAAGGGCAAGCCTGTACATTATTTAACTTTTAGTAAAGTAAACAAGGAACGCGTTGGAAATTTCTTGCTTGTCCACACATCGCCCAGATGGGGTTGGGCAGGTGAAGGGAAGCGGAGGCAGAGGCAGAGGCGGGCAGGTGGGCAAGCAGCCTGCGGAGAGAAGGGTCCAGCACACACACCTCACCCCCCACCTGTCTTTCTTGCTTTGCTGAACCTGCGAGGCCAGGGAACAAAGCCTGCATTTTTACCTTCACCTTGAGCTTGTACTCCTTCTTGCAGAATATCCCTGGTGCATGACACCTAGCCCACAAGTGCTGTGACACTTTCTTAAGTCTTAAAGCTGGGATGCAGAAACCCGTCTCAGGGTGCAGGCAGGAGGGCTCTGCTTATGTAAGTGGTGCTAACTTAAAATGCCTCCTTAAGGTTCAGCACTGACCGGGAGGCAGCACCCAAATCATTCTGTTACATGTTGGGTCTGACAATTTAGTTTCAATAATCTGGCTGGGACATGATCGTGTGTAATTATGTTCACCAATGTGGAGAAAGAACATTCTGGAAAATGAGAGGATAAAAAAATTCTCCTTTTTTTGGACAAGGTTATGTCCAGTCTACGTGGCAGAGACGGAGAAGTACAAACTCTTTGGGCCGTGGCATCTTGGGGACCCCCTCCCTCATTTTCTTATGACTGTGTACCATACAAGGCTGAGGAGGAGGAGAGGAAGGAAAAGGTCCCCCTTCTCTCGCTCTCCTCAGACAGTATTAGGGAGATGGAAGCTTTATCACTTGGCCATCAATCTTGAATAACTGGAAGTTCCTTCTTCCCGAGGTCATGGAATGTTCTGGTCTGTCCCAGCCCCCAGGGGGAAGCACAGGAGGCCAGGCCTTGCTGAGGCTTCTCACTCTATAACCATGGCTTTGTCCTGACTCTTGGGAAAGCCCGCATCATGGGCAGAGCCTGGACTTGCCAGCCATGTCCTTGAACTTGGAGAGCAAGGCAGGGCCTGGAAATGCCTGTCCCGTGGGTGCCTCGTCACTGGGACTGGTCGGGCCCCACGCCCGTGGTCAGTCTGCAGGCACGGCTGCTGCGCTCGCTGAGAGTGGGAACGGGGAAGCCTCACTGGCCTTCTTTGCCTTTTTCTTCTTTTTTTTCTTTTTGGTCCCAAGTGACGCGTCTCCGTTTACCTTGGCTGACTCCTCTTCTTGCTTCCCGACTGTGGCCTTGCTGGTGGCAGTGGTGGCTGTGACCAAGTCCACACTGGCCTCCTTCTTGGCTTTCTTTTTCGACTTTTTCTTCTTCTTCTTTGCCTCCGTTTCCACCTTAACAGGGCCGTGGATGGCGGACTGCTGGAGAATGTCGGAAGCTGACACTGCTGCCTCCTGGCACCGCTGCCTCTCCTCGTCACTGTCCTCGCTGCTGCAAGGAGAGGGCAGTCTGGGTCAGCTGGAGCTGGGACTGAGCCCCAGAGCTGCCACCAGAAAGAGGCCATGGTGGAGGCAGGAAGAGAGCTCAGGTTCAGGAGCGAGGCAGCCCCGGGTTCCAACACTGGCTTCCCTGCTTCCTAGCTACGTGGCTGCATTAAGCGAGCTCTCCGATCCTCAGCATCTTCATGTATAAAGCAAGATCTTCACTGACCCCAGGCCTCACAAGGATGTGCAAGGAGTGAGGCGTCTGGCACAACACCGGTGCTCAAAGAGCAGCAGGCCGCCAAAGCCAACCCCCAGTTGAACCTCCTCCCCCTCTCAGAGGGTACTCTTTCCACCTGACAAGAGCTGCCTGGCCAGGCTCCTCCTTGGCCTGGACCTCACTGAAGCCTGCTGGGCTATTCTGGGATGCTGGCCAACAAAGAAAATGAGCAAAAACGAGGGACCCAGAAGAGAGGGTATGCGACCTCACCTGGAGCTGGAAGGCCATCGCTTTCGGCGGGGCTGGGGAGAGGCTTTCTCCTCACGGCCTTCAGGGATGGAGGTGAAGAAAAGGCGGAAGCCTGAAACCCAGAGGGGCAGAGTCAGGGCGCCTCTCGCCCCGGTGCCAGGGCTGCCCTGCCCCCTGCCCGCAAGGCACCCCTAGTCTAGACGCGAAGACCCAGGACCTGCTGTCTGACCACAAAATGATGCCCTGCGTGATGAGGGGCATGCTTGATGACAGCTGCAGCCAGAGGACGGGGCGCTGAAGTGTCGGCAGCTGCCCAATCGGGTCAGCAGTGTGGAAGCCAGCAGGGGGGCCTCCCGCCTGAGGAAGCTGCCAAAGTGGCAAATGAGTTTGACACGGGACAGATAGACTCAGACGGGAGAGGCTGTGCAGCGTGGAGGTGAGGCGCTCCTGCTCAGGGTTAGACAGACAAGGTCGCCTTGGGCAAGTGCCTTCATTCCTCAGAGCCTCGCTTCCCTTACAGAGCCCCCGCAAGTCGGGGTGTCATCTTGATACCTGCCTCGGAGCCGGCTGGGCGGACAAAGACGATGCTACGTCAAAACTGGATCCCCCAGCTCCAGGCATACAGTAGGTGCTTACTAAATGATAGCAGATAGTAACAGTGTGACTACTCACCATCATCCTCTGGGGGGACTCTCTGTACCTTGGCCTTTGTTGGCTCCTTTACAACTTCTGAGATGGTAATGGAGCTATGGGAAGAGGAGATGCTCAATTTACGGTAAGATTTTTGGGTACCAGCAAACATTTAAAAAAAACTCTTAATTTTAGTTTTTGACTTTAGAGAGAGGGGAAGTGAGGGAAAGAGAGAAGAGAAACATTGATGCAAGAGAGAAACATTGATCAGTTGCCTCTTGTGTGTGCCCCAACCAGGGGACTGAGCTGCAACTCAGGAATGTGCCCCGACCCGGAACCAAACTGGCAACCTTTTGGTCAGCGGGATGATGCTCAACCAACTGAGCCACGCTGGCCATGGCTAAAAATTTAAAATAATTTTTGTTTTAAATGGAGGGGATGGGGCATGTCATCTTAAATGCAAAAGCAGACCACACATGGCCTGAGGAGAATGCAAGGCCTGTAGCCGAACCTGCTGAACAGCCCCGCCAGCTCCAACTGCAGTTCTTCATTTGTTTAAGCCCCGCTTTAACCCAGGACACGCTGAAGACTTTTAAGATATTCATAGCACAACAAAATGGATATAATTTCAATAAGGGCAAAGAGAAAATAAATACAGGAAGAACAGAAAGAGCCAAAGCGTGGTCAGGAAGCCCTATACACTTGCTAGAGAGAGGACACACATTTTACTTTGAGCTTCCCAACAGCAGGCATGGAAAGGGAAATATGGCCAGTCTGGAGAAATTGTTTAGACCAGCTTACAGAGCAGGGTGGACCTGGTTTTTACATTTTTAGATTTTTAATTTTTAAAAAAATGTGAGATAGCTGTTGATTGATATGCAGTTCCAAGAAATAACACAGACAGATTCCGTATACTCTTTGCCCAGTTTCTCCCTGTGGTAACATTGTGCATAACGGCAGTACAATTCATGACCAGAAAACCAACATTGATCCTTGATTCAATCCACTGGCCTTATTTAGACTTCAGACACCTGGGTTTTGTATCCTGGCTTTGTCATTGACTTGCTGTGTCCCTTCTGGCAAGTGACTTCATCTCTTGGAGCCTGTGCTACCCATCGGCGCACTGGGAGTCCCTACCTCTTGGGGCTGCCACAGGATTAAGTGAGACAGTGGATACCAAGCACTCGGCACAGAGCCTGGCCACAAGCAGGCACGCAGCGGATGGTGGCTACAGGCATGATTACTGCCATCATGGTAAGCAATGTTTCACAGGACCTCTCACAAAAATAAACCCTCTTCCCAGAAGCACAGAGCAGGGAGAACTGCTGAGAGCGGGAAGCACGTCTCTGGTGAATGCTGACAGAGAAGTCACTGTGCACTACAGAGAGTAGTGCTTGCCACACTGTCCTCACAGCAGACACGGCAATGTATCGGGCGCTTTCCCCGAGCTGCCTTCCACATGTGCCAAAGGCAGCCCCAGAAACCCTGGACAGGGAATCAGTCTGGGAAGTTGCACTAGAGACGATGCCACCCAGGCGCCAGACTGACCCGGTGTCTAGCACAATGGTTCAACGTTGGTCCCTTGGGTATGTTTGGCACTGTCTGTAGACATTTTTGGTTGTCCTAACTGCTGCGGGAATGCTAGTAGGGTCTACGGCTGGAGTCCTACAACACCTAGTACAGCCCCCACAGCCGAGAATCATCCAGTCCAAAATGTCACTAGCATCAAGGCTGAGAAACCCTGATCACGCACAAGGGACCAACTGGAGCATCACTAAGTCTCTCTGGAAAGAGACACTACAGGGAATATTCTGACCCTGGATGACCCACTTCCTGCTCGATTTCCACCGAGGGAAACGCCCCATGAAGAGCCAGGCGGGCCTCCTTTACACTGAAGCCAAACAGTCACGAAGAAAAACTGCTCCCACAGGCTGAAGCTGACCTTCCTAAACACGCTTCCCACAACCTTGAATTGGAGGTCTGGCACCACGTCACGGTGGGCCAGGCTGCTGAGGTGCGGTCCAACACCCTGCCTCGGAAGGGCGGCCGGTTTACACTCTGGGAGTGCTCACTTGTCCTTTTTGATATCAACTTCCAAGTCAAGGACTCTGGCTTGAACATCCACACCTCTCTTTCAACATCTGCTCTGCCAGTCAGGGATGGATCTAGACCAATGTAACCTGAAATGTGTCCCATGTTATGTTATCAGTCTTCCATGAAACAGATGCACTGTAGCCAAATGAGTCTAGAAACTCCTGGGCTGAACCAAGTTCACAGTTCTCTTTACTGCAAGACTTCTCAGAGCCTTCAATATGCTATTATGAACCACGATGTCCAAGGGCACACAGGGTATGTAGACAGCAGTATTTCCAATTTCTTTGTCGTTAGACCCTTTGAACTAGTATTCCTTGGTGCCTGTTCTAGAAATGCTGACCCAGACCTTCACAAACTGTTTTCTCAAACGTAAGGAAGAGTACTGGCAAAGAGCCCGACACACGGAAAGCGCCCAAATAGTAATTCTGCCTGTCCCTCGCCTGTTTGTGAATGAGCTCTCGCTTCTCGGGTTCCTCTCTTATCTCACGGCAGCAGGACAACACGGTGCTTAAGAGCGAAGCCTTTGGAGTCAAACACACCTGGGTTTGAGTGCCCAGCTCTGCTCCTCACTCCCTGTGACTTCAAGAAAATGCTTCTCCTCGTGAAGAGCCCATTTCCTCCTCTAGAGAAGGACCTACGTGGCCAGGTGATTGTGAGTGCAATAAGGTGACATTTGCCGCCATGGCTGCCACAGTGCCTACCTGAACTCTGTGAGCTCCTAGCCAATATAAGTCTTTACTGTTCCCATTAGTGAGGGCAGGAAGAGAGAAGGTACGCTTTGGGTTACCTGTCCAGCAGGGCTCCCAGCTTCTTGGCTACGTGAGCTCGGAACTCGGGGGTGGTCTGAAGCTCGTTGCCATCTTGCTCATGCTCATCCACCTTATGCCTACAACACATGCAGAAGGACCTCATTTCCTGCTCGCTCAGAAGCTGACCCACAAGGGCAGCGACTACATGTGTCTCATTCACCTTGATCTCCCATGGTTTAGCCTTGCCTTGGCACACAACAGGGTACCAATGTTTGTTGAATGACTGTACGAAAACTTGAACCCAGAGTGTACAGTACCTGAGGCTCGGCTGGGTGGCTGGCAACTGATTATTTACAGCATCTGTGGAAATAATGAAAATTTGAGGCATTTATAGAGGAAATGACAATAATAATATCTGTTGTGTGCCAGGCGTGATTTTAAGGGATTAACATGTATAACTCATTAAGCCTTCCCAACAACCCCATTGGAGAAGAGGAAACTGTAAAATAACTTAGCCAGAATCAAACAGTTAAAAAGTGACGGAGTTGGGATGAGGACAGTCAACTAGCTCCAGAGCCCCTCTCCTAACCACCATGCTGAACAGGCGAGTCTAAGTTTCATTTGATTCCAGCATTTACTGAGCGCCTCCTGGGTACCTGGCTGTGTGCTAAGTGCTGTGGAGGACGGAGAAGTTGGCTCCCTTACAGGATCACATTTTTCAAGCCAAAACATTGGGGATTCCTGGCCTGGTGTCCATTCACCCAGCCAAATGCTGAAGGTCTAATATAAGCAGGTGGAGTTCTAGTAGCTAAATATCTTAGACAAAGCGCCCAGACCGTGTGGAACTTACACTCTAGTTGACAGAGAGAGATGACAAAACCACATACACAATTATAGATGTAAAATGAAATACTAAGTATAGTAAGAAAAACACATCAGGGGAGGGAGGTAGGGAGTGCTGGGTAGGGAATCATCTCATAAAGGTGGGCAGGGAGGGCGTCACTGATAGGTGACATTTGAATAGATATTCAGGAGACAGGTGAGGGAATAAGCCAAGTGGATGCCTGTGGAAGTCTTCCAGGTGGAGGGAAGAGAACCTGCAAAGGCCCTGAGGCAGAAGTCTGTCTGGTGTGTTTTAGAGCCAGCAAGGAGGCTAGTGTGGCTGCAGGAGGAATGAGGGACCCAGGGGGGCCCGGTCGGGGGGTCTGGAGGGCCAATGTGAGGGCCTGGGCCTTGAAGGAAGGGAGGGGCCCCTGGTGGTTTCTGCACAGAGAGTGGACACAGTGAACTGAAGATTTTACGGAATCTCTCTGGCTGCTGTGTGGAGAGAGATTTAGTGCCAGACGCAAGAACATTGCTGCAACAATGGGGATGTTAAGTGGCAGGACCCCGGATATGTTTTTTCAAGATGGAGTCAACATAATTTTGCTGATGGACTAGATAGATGGAGTGAGAAATGAATGACAAGTTCTGACTTGAGTAATGGGACAAAATGTGCTTATGTATTTAAGGGGCTAACTGGATAAAATGGACACTTGGCGACTCTGGACCCAATGCAGGGCCACGGGATTAAGCAACTCCAAGAAACACAGTTTGCATTGTGGTCTGTGTCCATGTGCTCTGGACCACTACACAGAACACAAAGTGCCTGACGGTCCTGAGGCTGGGTAATGGAAGCCCTGGGACGGACCGTCCTTACAGACCTGGCGGTTTTTCTTGAGCCTGCAATTGCAAGGGAGAAGAGTATTTCTTTCATCGTGACTGCAGAGCAATGGATGTGAGGTGCTGTCACGGTGCAAAAGCAGTATTAGACCCCAGGCCCCAGAAGACAGAGTTCAGTTAAGCCGTGGCTCTTCCACTGACAGGGTGGGTGACCCTGGGCAAGTCACTTTACCTCCCCAAGCCTCTGTTTTCCTCATCTATAAAATGGGGATAAAGATAACCAAGGTCCCAGTTAGCGTGAGGACACAGTGAAGTTTTATACTGCTTTGAACACTGCATGTTCATCTCTTCCCTGGCTTTGTAAGCTACTGGAGTACATGATCTGCCTTTTTTAATCTTTATATCCCCAGCTCTTGGCAATGGTGTCTTGGTCTGAAATAAATGTGGCATACCTTTATCAAAGTATATGTTGTCCTAAAATTAAGAAATAAAAAAAGGCTGGGATCTCTAAGAATAAAAAAGAAAATCTTTAAAAATAATAAATAGCCCTGGCTGGTGCGGCTCAGTGGATTGAGTGCCAGCCTGTGAACCAAAAGGTCGCCAGTTTGATTCCCAGTCAGGGCACATGCCTGGGTTGCAGGCCAGGTCCCCAGTTGGGGGCACGCAAGACGCAACTGATCCATGTATCTCTCACACACTGATATTTCTCTACTTCTCTTTCTCCATCCCTCCATCTTGCTCTAAAAAGAAAATAAGTAAAATCTTTAAAAAAATAAATAAAAAAGGAGTGGGAGTTGGGCAGGAGGGAGAAGGCTGTCCATGTAGAGAAACCAGCCACATCATTGCTGCCATTTATTGGGCCTTTAATATGTGCAAGTACTGCAGATGTATCATCTCAATTACTTCTCAACCTGATGGGGTTTTCACGTTTCACAGAAGAGAAAGTTTGGGTACAGTGGGATCTAAGTATCTTGCCCAAATTCTCACAACTAGTGAGTGATGGAGATGGAAAGGCTGATCTGTGTATAGAATGCGAAGAGAAAGCCACAGAAATATGGTGCCCAGAGACGAGAGGGTAGAGTGTGGCCATGAGCCTCCCTGAGGGAAGTGCAGCAGGCAGGATGGCGAGAAAGGGGAGGCAGGTAGGGAACTGACTACCAAAGAGCTTGCAAACCCGTTTAAACAAGAGCAGGGGTCTTTAACCATGCTTGGCCATGGCCTGTGTTGGCAGTCTGGTAAAGCCTGGGCCCCTTCTCAGAATCCTGTTTTAAATGAATAAAATAAAACACATAGCCTGGTCAGGTAGCTCAGCTGGTTAGAGCACAAACACATAGCCTGGTCATGTAGCTCAGCTGGTTAGAGCACAAACACATAGCCTGGTCAGGTAGCTCAGCTGGTTAGAGCATCGTCCCGCTCTGCTAAGACGGAGGGTCCCATCCCCAAGCAGGGCACATACAAGAATTAACCAATGAACGCATGGATAAATGGAACAACAAATCTATTTTTCTCTCTTTTCTCTCTAAAATCATTCTCTCTCTCTCTCTCTCTCTCACACACACACACACACACAGGATTACAAAGAAAACCAATGTTATTGAAACTCAGTTACCATAACAGTAAAAAACCAAATCTGGTTTTTGCACTACTAATTTTGCACATACTAATATATGTGCTTCTTTTTCATACACTAAGTAACATCTAGAGATCCTTTAGATCTAGAGGCTAAAAATGATTGTAATTTTAAAGTAGGAATGAGTGCAAATAATTCTTTCCCAACCTTTCATTGTGAATAAAATATTTTCATGTATCTTCAAAGACTGTAATGGGATACGAAAATCTCTAACGTTTGGTAGGACAAAATAACAGGAATTGTCAAAGTTACTTGTGGCTTGTTGCTCACACAAAACGTGGGAAGGGATGCTAAACTTCCAAGAGAGGTTCATGAAAGTAAAGATGAAATACTTTTCCCATTGCAAATTCCTGTACCCTCTGGATTATGACTCGGTACCCGGATGATAAGGATCTTGGAGTCATTCTGGGTACGATAGGGAGTCACGATCAGGGTCTTGTGCTGGACAGAGCTCCCTCGCAGCCCCAGGGTGTGAAATGCGTTGTAGGCGGGGAAAGGCTGTAAGTGAGAATCTAGAAAGTGAGCTGTCACAGTCATTTCGGAGAGGTGGCAGGCTGCCCAGCATGCAGCAGTGAATATGGGCCAAAGAGAGCTGGGTCAAAACACGTTCCGGTGCCTCAGTTTCTCCGACTGGGATAATGAAACAACCCTCACTGCTGCACCAGATCTGCTTTGACTCTGAACCCCATCCAGCGCCCGCAGCTCTCTCGGGAAAAGAAGTAGAGTCCCTTCCTCACCATCCATCCTCTCAGGCGCCAGGGAAGACCCCACGCCCTTCGGCCAGATTGCTTGAACACAAGTTCCCTACCGGATCTTTTCTTCTGCGGCCCTTTCGGGAGCTGCTCCAAGCCCCAGGCCGGCATGGCGGCCTCGCGGCACCGCGCCAGCTCCTCCGCATCGCTGCCACTGCTGCTGCTGCTCTCCAAATCGCTCATGGGACCTCGGTGCGCCGTCCTCTTGAACCGCCGCAAAGGATGGCGGGGAGTGTCTCCACTAGCAATATCCTTCCCAGGCCCCAAGTCGGGGAGGAGAAGGGCAGGGCATTGTGGGGATTGTAGTTCTCAGACTCAGCCAATGGCCATTGAATTGTGGGAGTTACCCCAAATGTAAGAGTTTAGGACTCTAAAGAGATCAGCTTCTCCACCCTTTTCATTTCTTTTAAGATTTTATTTATTTATTTTCAGAGAGAGGGGAAAGGAGGGAGAAAGAGAGGGACACATCAACCGGTTGCCTCTTGGAGGGCCCCAAATGGGGACCTGATCTGCAACCCAGGCATATGCCCTGATGGTACTTCAACCTGCAAACTTTTGATTCTCAGGCCAGTGCTCAATCCACAGAGTTACACCAGCCAGGGCTCCTTCCTTTTCTTGGTAAGGAAAAGGAGACATATGGAGGGAGAAAATTGTCTAAGGTCACACAGGGGGTTAATGCCTAAATCTCCAAGGTTTGAGTAAATGTAGTTTCAATATTACTTACTTATTCCAGGAATTCCGAAACTCATCTGGGAATCAGAAACAATTTAGGAAATCTGTTAAAATGCAGATTGTCGGGCCTAACCAAAAACTAACCAAATCAGAATCTCCTGAGAGATGGGATTCAGGAATCTGTATTTCCTCCAATATGCTGGAATCTTGCTTCTACTCAGAGTATATAATCTGTGAGCCAGCGGCATGCATGACACCCAGGAGTCTGTTAGAAATGCAGAGTCTTGACTTCAGCTTAGACCTACTTAATCACAACCTTCAATTAAAAAAGTTCCCCAGGGTGCACAGTAAAGTTTGAGAGGCACTATCTTAGGTGATTCTGACGCACAACTGGGTTTCTGTAAATGTCTTACTCAAGTTCAAACCTCCAGCTTGGAAATCAACTGTGTCTCTTTTTTGACTTGGTGAACAAGTATCAGGCTTTGGGGTGGGGTGGGGGGAGGTCTGTACTGTGAAACAACTTCTAGTCTGTCTCTTAACTCTACCATTGTTATAAATAGTTTTTAGTGGCCAAACCCCAGATGTGTTCCTTCCCCCCCCGCCCCCTCTAACTGCTAAAACCATTCTCTTCCACCTGGTATTACTGTAACATTTGGAAAAGGTTATAAATGTCATTCCTTGAAAAAATAAATAAATAAAAAGAGGTCATGGGATTTTCTACACTGTGTCATCCTTGCTCTCCCAAATGGCTTCCCTTTTTTCTCAGTTTCTCCAGTTTTCACTCTCAGATTTGAGAGGCTCAAAGGACTAAGCGATCATCACTAGGACAGCATTAGCACCTGTGGAAAGAAACGAAGATCATCCAAAAGAAAATGAACAAAGTTTATTTATTCCCAACTTGCTATAGCACGGGAATCAGCCAACATCCCCTGCCTTTGGCAGAGACTCAAACACAGGCAATGGGGAAATTTTATGGTGGGAAGTCAAGAAGGCCTCAGGTGTGCCCTGATTGAAGTTGGTGGCAGAGGGAAGCTGGAGGCGGGCAATCCAGAGGCAGGACATCATCCTACGTGACTGTTAGACGGCTTACTTGGCTTTCTCTGGTTGGTCCTGAGTTGGAAGGGGTAGGGGAGGATTAGGGAAGCTGGCAGTTATTGACCAAGTCCTGACAGTTTTGGGTTGGTTGCTGCACAGGTGGTGGTTTGGCTTCCCAAACTGGTGGCTATAGAGGTTGTGGGTCAGAATTCTCTTGTCATATATGGTCTGGTCATTTGCGTACCTAATCTTTCACACTCCTCCTTATACCTCCACTAGAAGGGAAGGGTACAATAACTCTTAACAAAGGGTGTGAAAACAGGACCTCGCCAGCAGAGAGCTAGAAGAAGTGACTGATAGGAAGAGTCCCAGATGAGAAGGCAGAACTGCACAGATAGGTTTCCCAGAAGAAACTAGTGGGGAAGATATGGAGGCTTTCTGGCTTTCTTCTCGGAGAGGAGGAGTGTGTCGCTGTCCTCAATACCATAGCTCCCAAAGGCCGACCAATCCTGCAGGACCTGACCTCGGAACTCCAGCTGTTGCTGTTTTCTGAGTATCCCCTGCTTGTCTTCTATCTGCTGTTTCAGGCCCAGGACGAAGCTGTTGGGGTCGATGGCATAGGCATGGCTCCCACCCTCCAGATTCGTCACAAAGACCTGGATCTCGGGGGTGATGGTCTCCAGCAGACAGATGCGAGTGTTGGAGAAGATCCCGAAATCGGCCAGGGAGCTGCGGCTGCCGAGGAGCTGCCGCTTGCCATTGGGTTTCTGGAAGGACAGACGCTGCAGGCCAGAGCAGCCCTGGCTCCGCCGGATCTTCTCCTTAACTTTCTTTATGGGCTCATACGGGTTCACCATGAGGCAAAAATCTGGGTAACCCCACTGCTCCACTGTCACCTGGATGTCTCGTGCCTTCTGCAAAGGAGAGAAGGGAGGGGTTGAGTCTGCACCTCCCTGTCTCACGTGCCCCAGTTCCCTTCACCTGTCCTCTTCTTTCTTTTTTTAAAATTGAATTAAATTTTAATTGTTTTCTTTTATTGATTCTAGAGAGAGGGGAAGGGAAGGAGAAAGAGAAGGAGAGAAACATCAATATGAGAGAGAAATATTGATTGGTTGCCTCTTGCACGTGCCCCAACTGGGGAACAAACCAGCAACCCAGGCATGTGCCCTAATTGGGAACTGAACCAGCGACCTTTCATTCTGCACACTGGCCAGGGCTGTCATCCTTTCAAGAGCAGCAGCAGCAAACATTTAGGGAGTGCCAACCACCTTTAAGGCCCCGTACTGGGTGCCTTTTACACTCTTCTTAATGCTTTTTATTCTCACAGCAGCACTGTGAGGGGTTGGTTCTCCTATTATCCCATTTTACAGATGAGGGAATTGTGATCAAACAGGGTGATTTAATGAACACCTCAGAGGTAGTGAGGAACAGAGCAGGTGTTTGAACCTGCTCCAAAGTCTGTCTTCACCAACGAAGAGGCCACACTCAAGGACCCGAGAGACCCAGGTGGCTGAAAAACACAACCGGGAGGCGCTGGGGCCGGCCGGCCCTCTATCTGGTCCTTTCTAGAAGGAACAGAGGCCCAGCATGGTCCAGTCTTTTGAGTGTTCAAGGTAAAAATCTTCGCACAATGGTTTGTCTGGTCAGGAAAAATCCAAAGGCACACACTTTTCAACTCATCTGTGGGCATCATTGGGCTGGTGGGCTCCAGTTTGTAATCTCCGTACCTTATTAGAGAGCCTCTGGTTCTCCTTCTGTCCCTGCTCCAAGCAGGTCCAGCTTTTGTTCTGGAACACACACCAGTCCTCTGCCCCTAACCCCACACCCGACCCTCTACCTGGACAGAGTGTCTGCTGTCCTGAGTGTCTATATCCCTCCCTGGCTTTCATGACCCACCTCGGGCCCTAACTTCTTCAAGGGATCTTCTCTGGTGACTTCAGATATAACATTTAGTTTCCATTTCCAGAGCCCTACAAAGACCTGGGTGTGACTCCTGCTGCCTCTTAAGAGCATGGCCTAGGTCATTAGCTTAACCTCTCTGAGCCTCAGTTTCCTCATCTGTTAAATGATGATAATAATAATAATTGACATTTCTACTTTACAGAATGGTCCCTGGACAAGCGCTCTGCAAATATTCAAGTGCAATGTGATTAAAATAGATCATTGTGGCCTTTGCCTGTACTATAGATTTGGCATCACATTATATTATATTACTTAGCATTTTTTTTTTGTTTGTTTCAGAGTTATGTTCTCTGGTAATTCGTTCTAGTGGTTTTCTTCCCCCAGAGTTTGGAGCAAGGAAATATTTATTGATTGAGGAGGCCTAGCTGAAGAACATGAGAGAACTAATTCTCCAGTCCATTTAAAGAGAATCAAAATTCAGGTATCCTTTAGCGGTTCGCACCAATTTATTTCAGAGACTACTAGCCCTTTGCTCCCACCCCCCACCTGCCCCAAGACCAGTGCTGGCACAAAACAGCCAACTGAGTTGACTTGCCTTGGCTCAGTTCGTGCAAGGAATGATTGGGAGCATGGAACTGATTATCTGGTAGGCATGAGAAGAAGAAAGGAAAGGAGAACAAGAATCTGAAGATAAATGTGAGGCTTGGAAAGCTGAATCATCTCCCCATGTTCACAGAGCTGGTGGGTGGTGCAGCCCAGGCCTTAGGCTCTCTGACTTTAATGCCCTGTTGGCTCCATGAACACAGAAATAAGTAAGTAAACACTGCATTTATCTCATTCTAGGCTCCAAGCCCCTGGCAGCAGCCTGGAGAGGAGCCATTACCTTCACATCCCAGCTGGTGACTGGATTCTCCCTGTTGTCATAGCAACAGTCCTGCTTCAGGCACTGGTTGGCCCTCTGAGCCACTATGTCCCATCTGTACCCTTCCGCCACATTGCGGGTAGGGTCAGCCGGATCCAGGATGATGGGCCTGCAACACAAGGAGAGGGTACCCAGGCTCTTTCTGGTTTGGAGGCCTGCAAGCCAGAAAGAATGCTTCTCAGACATCATCTCTTCAAGCCCTGAGCATCTGCTATGTCCAGAGCCCCGGACCATCAGTGCAGGAGGTCCCAGAAACATTGCTGGAGAGTAACAAGATAAAGGTGATTAGATTTCCAAGAATTCGTTTTGGGGTGAGCTCTCTAGGTGTTCATAAGGAATTTTGGTGATGTGTGTGTAAGTGGGGAGGGCGAAATGCCAAAAGGCACGCTGGAGCAATAACAGATGCCTACTCAGGTAGGCGGGCCTCTTAAGTTCAAAGACATTGTTTTGCTGACAGGCTACATAAGCTTGCGGCTAGAGCTGCTGAAATGCTTTGGATAATAATAACAACACCTCCCCCAACTACTGATATTAGAGGCACTGGGCCAAAGTCTGTGTGAATTAACCTATTTTAATCCTTACAACAATTCCATAAGTCAGGGACTAGTATTGTTGTTGTTATCCCCATTTTACAGATGAGGAAACCGAGGCACAGACCTCCTAAGATCTCGCAACCAGCAGATGGGATTCCTCCGTAACAGAGGAGGGCTTGGGCTGCCTCCACGTATCTCTCTGCTATATAAATGTTAAATGGATATTTTAAAGAATACAGGCTTGGAGGGCGTCCACTAGGCCCCTGTAGGTTGCTGGCATGACCACAGGTGTTGGATGCCAAGCCCATGATAAGAGCTGACCTTCTGCTCCATGATAAGGGGCTTTGAGTTAGGAGGAAGCTGCGCCTTCATCTATGTGACAGAATGTGATCACAGGCTGCTGGAGTGAACTGAACATTTCGGGCCCCGGGCTTGCTATTCTCAACGTCCCTGGTTCCCTGAGATCATCCTGTCAGGTAGAAGAGGCAGGCAGGATTACAGGGTGGCGGTCACCTGACCCTCCCGGGGCCCACTACCTGTCTTTTTGGAGCAGTTTTCTGACACAGTCCTCGATGACTGGGTTTTGGAATGTGTAGTGCTTGGTCCAGTAGATGCAGAGCAGCTCGTAGTCCTGCAGCAGTTCCATCACAGTGGTGAAGCCTTCGTCCAGCCTGAAGCTCTCATCCTCCAGGGTCCCCATTTCCCAGGCGTAGATTGTCAGTAGTTCAAGGGCGTAGAGAGGGGGCAACATGGCCCTGGGGCACTTGGCTTTCACATACTGTTGAAAGAATGGGAAGAGAGAGGGACCCCAAGGTTCTGTGTCCGGGTGGCACGGGATGAGAAACTGGATAATCCAAGTTCCTGCCCCAGCTCTGCCATCACTGGCCAGGCAATCTCGGCCAAGTCACCCTCCCTCCCTGGCCTTAATGTGTTTCCTTGCTTTAGAATGAATGAAGGGGCTGGATTAGTCCAGTGTGTTTCAAATTGTGCTGGATATAACTACTGGGACAGAGTTACGAAGAGGTGTCCCAAGCTGTGAGCAGGATCCCAGCCTAGACCGTCATGAAAAAAGGAACTGACAGTCACTTTGTGACTATTTAACCATCATTCTGACATATCTTAAAGAGGTATACAATTCCCCTTAACAACTTTTTTCAATTACAGTTGACATTCAATATTATATTAGTTTTAGGTGTCATCTGGATATTTTGAAATATAAATATCTCCACCATTTGGAGAGGGAATTGGTGGGGGCTGAATTAAATGGATATTTCTCTTGTTAGAAGTCCTTAATGGGCTGAGATTAATGTGTAGATATGCCAGTGAAATTGATGTTAGCCAGTACTAGACTGTGTACCTGCAGCATTAAAAGTACATGTTTAGGCCCTGGCTGGTGTGGCTCCGTGGATTGAGTGCTGGCTTGTGAACCAAAAATTTGCAGGTTCAATTCCCAGCCAGTGCTCCCAGCCAGTTGGGGGCACTTGAGAGGCAACCACACATCGATGCTTCTCTCCCTCTCTTTCTCCCTTCCTTCCTCTCTCTCTAAAAAAATAAATAAAATCTTAAAAAAAAAAAAAAAAGTACATGTTTAGCCCTGGCTGGTGTGGCTTAGAGGACCGAATGCTGGTCTGCAACCCAAAGGGTCGCTGGTTCAATTCCCAGCCAGGGAACCCTCCTGCCCCCATCCTGGCAGCCCCCTCACCTGCAGATACCAGTGCTTGACCAGCCGCAAGAGGCTCTTCAGCTTGGTTGGCCGATGTTTCACGAAGTTTCTCTGCAGCTCGCAGAAGGAGGGCGAGAAATTTCCAGGGTAACCACCGGCTCTGATGAGACTCACATAGATCTCAGGGTGTGGCTGAGATTTGGGAACAGAAGGCCCTTGGGGGAGAGGAAGCAGAGGGAGGGGATCAGGGCCTGAAAGTCTTCGGTTGCTGAGTGTCCTGGGCCTGGAGAGCCTGCTAATTCACTAGAGTATTTCTCCAGGGAAACCTGGGGCCTCATAGCTTACTAGAGCAAAGAGGATAAAGAGAGCTCAAAGTGGGTTTTCTAATGCTTAGGCCCCTCAAGGACTATTGTCTTCCCCTAATGACCCCATCACTTTCCCTTAATGTCTGTTTTGGATTTCTCAGATTTATTTGACCCTCCCATCACCATAGGGGAGAGAGTTCCAGGCACAAGAGTGGGGCTCTGCCATCACTTGGCAAATGCACCTGCCAGTGCGTCGCTGAGGGGCATGCTGCTGGGGCATGCATCGCATCTGGAACGTGCCCACCCATTGCCCTGTGTGTTGATTTGTAATGTGACTTCCCTTCTCTGTCCCACTCCTCTATTCCCTACCAGTGTTTCCTGGGACTGCCTGCCCTCCAACCCTCGCCTCAAGGGTCTGCTTCTGGAAAAGCCCAAACAATGACAGCTCCAACTCTACCCTGAACCTGTGGTAAGTGCTACAGAAGCACCCAAGGTTACTCTTCTAATTTCTTTCCCTCCGCGGTCTTGCCTCCTCTTGCAATCACATTTTTATCTGCATGATTCTTTGAGAAATATGTCTCCCAAGTTGAGCCATATGACAGCTGGAGTTGGGTCAGTCCCGTGCATTGTGGTCACCAGCCCCCAGCAGGACAGAAGTTGAAGGCAGGAATGTGGCCATGAATGAGAAGTGAGGCAGTTGCAGGCCTCTTGGGAGGGGCAAGTGGGTGAGTCAGGTGGGCTTCCTCGTCCCTTACCCAGGGCTCTGTAGGCAGGCACGATGGTGACAGTCACAGGCTCCGCAGTCCCCCTGGTCTGGATGGTGAAGACGAGAGCATCGGGGACTCCCTGCGTCAGCCCCAAGACCTCGAGCCCAAGGGCCAGCAAGTCCTGACAAGTCCACAACTTCTTCCATATCATTCTCAGAACAGCTTCGTGGTGCTTGGCCTCCTGCTGGAAGCTGCGGAAACAGCTCAGAAACACCACCAGCTCCACCTCCGCGTTGCTCCTGAGCACTGTGCCGTTCCCAAAGGAGCCCACCTGCAGGACACAGAGCCCCCGTCACTCTGAGGCCACTCTCTGTGCCAGGCCATCTCCGAGGCTCTTTACATGCTGACTGCTCACCACAACCCTAATGGATGGGTTGGTACCCCCTCTTTACGGCCGAGCAAACTGAGATGTCCAGAGGAGAAGCCGTAGCGACAAGTGTTGGAGAGGTTGGAGAGAAAAAGGAACCCTCATTCACTGTTGGCAGGAGTGTAAACTGGCACAGCCACATGGAAAACAGTATGGCATTTCTCAAAAAATTAAGAATTGAGCTACCACAGGACCCAGCAATCCCTTTTCTGGGTGTTAACCTCAAAAACTCAAACATTTGTTCGCAAAGAGATATGCACTTCTGTGTTCATTGCAGCATTATTCACAGTGACCCAGACATGGAGGCAACCAAAGTGTCCTTTGAAAGAGGGGAGTGTTAAGATATGGTATATGTATGCAATGGCATACTACTCAGCCATAAGACAAGCTGAAATACTGCCATTTGTGGCAAAATGGATGGATCTTGAGAGTATTGTGCTAAGCAAAAGAAGTGAGTCAGAAAAAGCTAAGAACCACATGATTTCACTTGTGGGATATAAAACTGAAACTGACAGATAAGAGAACAGCGTTGTGGTTACCAGAGGGAAGGGGGTGGGAGGGTAGTAAAGGGTAAAGGGGCCAAGTACATGGTGATGCACACAGTGCAATATATAATCATGTCTCATAGAAATGTACACTTGAAACCTATATGGCCCTAAGAATCAATGTCACTTTGATAAATGTAATAATAAAAAAAGAGGATAAGTCACTTGCCCAGGGCCACACAGTACACAGCTTGACTCCAGAGTCCAAGCTTCTTGTTTACTACACTGCATCATCTCATCTGCAGAGCTATGTCTGTTCCAAGGAAATACAAATGCTTCCTCCACAGGGTTGTTTGAGAATTCTGCGGGGTGAGGTGTCGGAGTAATGTTATGACATTAAAAAGGGAGGTGCAGGATTTCCTGGTGGATTAGAGCCGTGGACTGTGGAATAGGGTAGCCTGACTTTGACCTCGACTCCTGCCCTTGTTTTTCAGCTATATGATTATTCTGAACCCTACATCTATAAAATCAGAGAAATGATGGAACATGGGTCATTGGTTTACTCAAAAGGTCAGATGAGGAGTGTGTAACAAAGGCTTTCTGTGATGCCTGGCACACCAGAAGTCAGCAATATATTTCTCTTTCTCCTCTTTATCTGTCTGACTCACACCATTCTTTCTGCTGCTTGGGATTCGCTTTCTCTATCTGAATGGAAGGAGCCTGAGCTGGATAATTCCAAACGGGTCTTTGTGATGTTCTGGGACTCTGGGCTTGCGCTACAGCCCATGCTGTCTCTGGCATACAAAAGCCCTACAACTCTCTGGCCTTCCTTCTTTCCCTCTCCGGATCGGGAGGTGGAATTGCTGGGGCTGAACAGAACTCAGGTTAGCTTCCTCTCCTGGTGGGCGAATCGCTGCAGCTGTTGTGGGTTGAGCACTCGTGCCTGGCATTCCTGAAAGCCTTTTACGCATCCGAGACCCTTTTATCCTCACACCTACTGGCTGAGGTGGGTCTAGCATAATTATACCCAAAGTACAGATGAGAAAACTGAGGCAGTTGTGGTTAGCTAAGCAACTTGCCAGGTGCTCCTTGCCAGGAGCTATAGTCAGAGTTAGCTAAAGAGTCAGAGCACAGGATATAGTTCTTTGACCTCTTTCTTCCCTGTGACCCAAGTCTATGAGCCAAGCCCTGTTCCTGAGAAGGAGGAGTCCGCCATTTTTTTCTCCCTACCTTTTTGATTCTCATTCTCTACCTGCATTCAGACTCAGTGTTTCTGCCCTGTGTGAGAGGGTTGGGGATGGCTCCCTGTGCATGGACAAGGGCCACATCCTGCTGAAGGCCTTCTCCAGTGATAAGAGCCAAACAGAGAGGAAAGAACATTCTAGAATTGCCTTCAGGACTTGCTTCAGTTCAAACTTGTTTAAACCGAACTCATTCAAGGACAAGCATTCACTCATGTGGACCGGCACAGCTCACCAGATTTTCAGAGTCAGGGGAGGGCTTAGAGGCCGAATGAAGTATTATTTCTCATTGGCCATTGTTCTTCGGGTGTTTCTACTATTTCATGGTTTCAAGACGGGGAGTGGGTATGGTCTGCGGGCAGAATTTGAGAGCTGGGTAAGTGTTATTTCCTGCTGTCAAAACTCATTCTCTTTGTAGCGTCCTCCTGTTGGGTCTTCCCCCCATACCATCTGCTACTTCATTGCCAGGGTTGTCAAGGGGGCGATCTGGGACGGTTTGCTTGACTCTTACTGGTGCCCAAGACTGAAGAGATAGCTCAGGCAAGAATTTATAATAATAATAATAATTATATATATATATATATATATTTAACATTTACTATGTGCTAATAATGTAGCCCACCTCCCCATTTGCTTGATGAGGGAGGGATGCTGCTGCTGCTGCTCTTGCCCCAATTACAGGTGAGAAGACAGAGGGTTTGAGAGCTAAGATGGTAAATCTGCAGTCACAGAACCAGTAAGGGAAGAAGCCAAGTACCACACTTAGGTCTGTTGGATGTCAAAATGTATGGTTTCTCACTTCTAAATCACATGGCCTCAGGCTACATATGCTGGGGATGGGTGCAAAGAAGAGATGGGGGCCTGAAACTTCTAGATCCTTCCCTGAGGTGGCTGCCCCTGGAGATAGATCTAGAGCGCTGGGCTGGAAACCAGAATTTGGCGGGGGGGGGGGGGGGGGGGGTGTCCAAATTTTAGTCTTGTCTTTGCCACCAGCTTTCTGTGTGACCTTGGGCCATCTCTCATTCTTTCTGTGCCTTAGTGTCCTTAATGTTAAAGGGAGGGATTGACTGAGACTGTTGGGTTCTCCATGGCCTTTCTAGTTTTGACCCTCTTGAATTTTGATCCTAGCTAGGAGAGGAGGTGATACGAAGCATCTGGAGGAAAGGTCTGGGGCCCTGGCTGTGGAGTCAGATAAACCCTGGTTCAAGTCCCAGCTCTACCACTAGCTGTGTGATGTTGGGTAAATTACCTCACCTTTCTGTGCTTTCATTAAAAAAACACTTTTTATTATCAAAAATTTTAAACACAGAAACAGAAAGAAAATACAATGAACTCATATATCCAGTCAGTAAGAGTCAACACCCCTAAACTCTCTCACCACATTTGCTTCATCTAAACCACAGTAAATTACAGACACCAAGAATCTTTGTCCTTAAATACTTTAGCATTTGTGTCCAATGAAAGAGAATATTTCCTCCTTAACCACAAAACTAGTACACTTAACAAAATTAACAATGATTCCCTTATATTATTTACTATCCAGGTCATATTAAAATTTCCCCAGTTGTTTCTAAACTATATTTTATGGATGATCTATTCATAGCAGGAGACAGTCAAAGACCTTACTTTGCATTTGATTGTTACAAATCATGTCTTTGAGCCTCCACTTTGCTCATCTGAAAAATGGGAAAGGATTAGTACCTACCTCACAGGATGTACAAATTAGAGATAACATGTTTGAGGGGTTAGGCTAGAGCACACCCCAAAATGAGTGATTATTAGCTTCCTTACCAGATTCTTCTACTCAAGGCAGCAATGTGATGGGGTGCAGGCAACTAAGGTGGGGTGTCCTGAGATGTCAGCAGTATGGTCTAAGCATATTGAGGCAAGAAGTCCCCAGCATCCTCAGAATTAGGATAAAGACCCTCCGTCTGGGTTTGTCCAGCCCTGGCCCGGGGATGGAGAAGACCAGCCTCACCTTCACCGTCTTCAGCACTTGCACCCCCTGGTCCAGCCCACATTCCCCCTGGAAGGTCTCTTCCCTCAGGAACTGCTCCACGGTCTGCACAGCCTCCAGCACATCTTCTTTCCACTCCCTGCTGGGCTGCAGCCACTGAGCCACGAAGGAGTCCAACTTGGAGGCAGGGGTGCCATACAGCTCCGGAGACAGTGCCATCTCTGTCTGACAGTGCCACTTGCCAGACAACTATATAGCCACACACCCGGCTCCTGGCATCCACTCCCTTCTTTAAGGAAGCTCCTTCTCAGTTATCCTCTAGCGCCCTGCTGGCATAAAGGACCATCGCGGGGAGGAAACCAGGAGTGACTGGGCTGACCTGGGAGCCCCTTCTTGGAAAACCCTCGCTGTGGCAGAGGCACTAAAAGACACTGAGCTGAGGCTGGATATCCGGGGCCACCTTAACAGGTTTGGCTTCCGACCCACCTTTCTTCAATTGGTTTCGATTCTCAACTCTTCGGAGTTTCCCTTCTATGACGTTTGGAAACTGAAATTCGCTTGAGTTTGGACCTTAGAGGAGACAACTCTCCCAGTAGGTCAGAGTTGGATGGTACTGTACCTGTCACTCAGTCACCTCACCTAGTTACAAACGAAGGTCCAGAAAGAGAAGAGACTTGTTCATGGTTGGGATGAGCAGTGGGGAACTCTAGAATCAGACAGAACAGATTTATTTATTTTGTTTAAATTTAAATATTTTTCATCTTTTTCAATTACAATTTACATTCAATATTATTTTGTATTAGTTTCAGGTGTCCATAGCACAGTGGTTACACAATCATGTATTTTACAAAGTGTTTCCCCTGACGTTCCCAGTACCTGCCTGGCACCATACAGAGTTACTACAATATTATTGACTGTATTTGCTATGCTGCACTTTACATCCCCGTGACTATTTTGTAACTACCCACCTGTACTTCTCATCCCTTCATTTTTCTCACCCAGGCCCCCAACCCTCACCCTGCTGGCAACCATCAGTCTATGAGTCTTTTTCTGTTTTGTTTGTTCATTTATTTTGTTCTTTAGATTCCACATGTCGGTGAAATCATGTGATATTTGTTTTTCTCTGGCTTATTTCACCGAGCATAATGCCCTCTAGGTCCATCCATGCTGTCGCAAAAGATAAGATTTCATTCTTTTTTATGGCCAAGTCATATTCCATTGTATGTATATGTACCACAGATATTTTTTTTTAAATATATAGTCTTGATTATATTTTTTCCATTACATACAGATTTTTTTTTTAAATCCACTTGTCTATTAATGGGCACTTGGGTTGCTACCATAGCTTGGCTATTATAAATAACACTGCAATGAATATAAGTGAGTATATATTCTTTCAAATTCGCGTATTGGGTTTCTTCAGATATATACCCAGAAGTGGAATTGCTGGGTCATAAGGCAGTTCCATTTTTAATTTTTTTGTGAAACCTCCATACTGTTTTCCATAGTGGCTGCACCAGTCTGCATTCTCTTCAACAGAGCACAACGGTTCCCTTTTCTCCACATCCCTGCCAATACTCATTTGCTGATTTACTGATGATAGCCATTTTGTCAGGTGTGAGATGATATCTCATTGTGGTTTTAATTTGCATTTCTCTAATGATTAGTGACCTTGAACACCTTTTCATATGTTTATTTGCCTCTTTGGAGAAAAGCCTATTCAGAAACTTTGTCCATTTTAAATTGGATTTGTTTTTGTTTTTGTTTTTTTGATGTTGAGTTGTATGAGTTCTTTATAAATTTTGGATATTAACTGCCTATCAGATATATCATTGGTGAATATCTTCTTCCATTGAGTGGGTTGTCTTTTCATTTTATTGACAATTTCCTTTGCTGTCAAAAACCTTTTCGTTTAATGTAGTTCCATTTGTTTTTTTCTTTTGTTTCTCTTACCCAAGCAGATATATCAGAAAAAAAATGTTACCAAGAGAAATGTCTGGGATTTTACTGCCTATGTTTTCTTCTAGGAGTTTTATGATTTGGAATCCTACATTTACATCTTTATTTTATTTTGAGTTTATTCCTGTAACTGGTATAAGAATGTGGTTGAGTTTCTTTCTTTCTTTTTTTTTTTTTGCATCTATCTTTCCAATTTTCCAAGCACCATTTATTGAATAGACTCTCTTTATCCTATTATATGTTCCTGCTTCCTTTGTTAATTATTAATTAACCATATAGGCATGGGTTTATTTCTGGGCTCTTTATTATCCCATTGATTTATTGTGTCTGTTTTTTATGCTGGTACCATGCTGTTTTGATTCCTATAGCCTTGTAATATAGTTTGAAATCAGGTACTGCGATATCTCCAATTTTGTCCTTTTTTTCTCAAGATTGCTGTGGTTATTCCAGGTCTTTTTGGTTCCATAAAAATTTTTGGAGTATTTGTTATAGCTCCGTGAAATATGCCATTGGTATTTTGATAGGAATTGCATTGAATCTATAGATCACTTTGGGTAATATGGACACTTAAACAATGATAATTCTTCCATTTTGTGAGCATGGTATTTGTTGTTGTTTTTTTTTATTTGTATCTTCTTCAGTTTCTTTCTTCAGTGCCTTCTAATTTTCCAAGTACAGGTCTTTGACCTCCTTGGTTAAATGTACTCCTAGGTGTACAAGTCTTTGACCTCTTTGGTTAAATGTATTCCTAGGTATTTTATGTTATTTGTGATGTAGTTGTAAACAGTGTTGTTTTCTTAGTTTCCCTTTTTGCTAGTTCATTATTGGTGTATAAAAATGCAACTGATTTCTGGATATTTATTTCGCATCCTGCTACTTTACTGAATTTATTTATTAGTCCTAGTAGTTTTTGGTGGAATCTTTAGGGTTCTTTATATTCAGTGTTATATCATCTGCCAGACGAACAGACTTTAAGTTCCAGTCAAAACTTTACAGGCTTTTAACCTTCCTAACCCTCCCATAATGTGTCCATAAATGGGTTTAATAATAAGACAGTGCCCCATTGGTTCTCATGCAAATTAAGTACAAGAACATTGAACAGAGAAAGCACTCAGTAAATGCAAGCACTATTCATTTACTGATTATCTATTGAGTGTCTGCTAGGTGCTAGACATTGTGTTAAGAAGACAAAATAAGACAGGTTCCTGCCCCCAAGAGGCCCTAGAGCAGTGGAGGAGACAGACAAGAGACTCTTGAGAGTGAGGTGTGCCAGGCAGAAAACAGGGCATGGAAACCTCGTGGAAAGCTGCGGAGGAGTTTCTTTGTTTTTAAAAATTGTTTATTTATCAGTTAAAGAGAGAGAGGGGAAGAGGGGGAGAGAGAAAGATTGACTTGTTGTTCCACTTATTTATGCATTCATTGGTTGCTCCCTGTTTGTGCCTAACCAGGGATCTCAGGCAAAGGCAGGCACAGGTGAGCTCTCCCTGGCCACAGCCTCCAAGCTTTGGTCCACCGGAGCCATAATGGCCCTCTGCCTGTGGGGGGCAGCAGTGCTCACCCGCTGTGAGCCACCAGGGGAAGAGCCTGCCCCAGCAGTGTGGCAGATGCTGGAGGAGCCCCAGCAGTGTGGCAGATGCTGGAGGAGCCCTACCCCAAACCTCCTGGCTCAGGTGGACAACTTCCTCCTGCTGGTGGGACACTTGAGAGGCATGGTCCACAGACCCCTCCCCTGCGGCCTCCAGAGGACAGTTGTTCAGCAGCACGCCTCACCGTGTACCACAACCCAAACAAACCATTTGCCCTGGCACCCTTGGCTCAGACTCCGCTTCTGGGAGAGCTCAACCTAAGACACCCCTCTTTCCTAGAATCACAGGCTCAGAAGAGGTTAACTTGCTCAGAACATATGTCTTCCCTAGAGTGCCCTGATACAATGAACAGACCTGTGAGGTCAATGGAGGCGGCCCTTCCCCCTCCCAAGACTAACCACTGGTCAGACAGTCCCCGGCCAGAAGGAATGTGTATTGTTTTGGGAATGGATTGTGACTCCCTCCTTATCTCCTTTTGGGAGCCACTTCTTGTCCTGTGACTGCTGCCTGACCGTTTTACACACTGGGGTAATGTAGTTTAGAGTCAGGCATGGGCCACGTGCCTCCTTTGTCTGGAACCCCTTATTGCGGGCCTCAGACCGGAGGAGGTGTGGTCACTCTGGCACCGACTTGTCGCCAGGTGCACTCCCCTGTAATGTGAGTAATAAACAGCATGTCCACATCCTCTAGGCCCCTGTTTTTTTTTTTGCTGTTTTGTTTTGTTTTTTTTAAATATCACGAGCACTTAAGCAGCTCCCCGGTTTGGGTTTGGGGCTCCTGTATTATACACCACACGGTGTAATGGGTCTGCAACACACTGACTTGCCAAGTCGATGTGAGGTCCCAATGTTTTCTCCTAGCTACAGGCTGTGTCCTCCTTGCTTGAGATTTTTTTTCCCTCTTTAGTGAAATTCAAAGACTATTCTGAGACTTCTGGTTGGCCACTGGCTATTTTACTTCTCTTCCACAATTCCCGTGCCACATGCCACCAGCATCTCTTACTTACATCATAACCGTCATAACAGCCCTCTCTGCCCAGTACAACAGGTCACTAAGCTTAAGCTTGTCAACACAAATCCCCCCAAAGCTCTTCCATTCATCCTCTTCTCCCCATCCCCACTGTCACCGCCACCCTTTATCGCCCATACAAGGACAGCAGTGGTGTCCTACATGGGTCTCCTTGCCCCTAGTCTTGCCTCTATCCTATATTCACTGCAGCTAGAATGCTCTTTCAAAGATTCCTATCTGATATGCCCTTCTCTTGCTTCTAAAGCCAAACCCCATACCCTGGCATTCAGTGGTAGCCATAACCTCACCCCCCGCCCCAGCTCCCTCAAAAAAAACCCCACTGAAACCTTTACTGAGGGCAAAAGCATCCCAAACATTAATATCCCCTTAAAACCCTGGTGCTTGTCCCCATTTATAGCTGAAATCCTTCTTCAAATGAGCACTGCATCCTTATTCCGATTTAAGAATCCTGAAAGAGCAAAATACATTCTTAGGGGTGAGTTATGTACGTTATTTTCCTGTTCTGATCCTCCTCTAGAGAGATGTTTCATTTGTACTTGGGTAAACTGCATACTCCTTCTGTCCTCACCCCATCATCCAGGGGCTTCAGCGTGCTAATAAGAGCAGGTCAGTCTCTGCTGCTACTGTGAATTGGAACCAAATAGGACACCAGTTTCCAGGGATCGACATTGAGATGCAATGTAAAATCTGATAATGTTAGTATGCCTTATGTATTTACATGACTGTAATACAGAATGAACTTTCACAAGAACAAAGTCATTGTACAAGTCTAGTCTTGTACACAGTCTAGTCTTCCTAACTAGACTGGAAGTTATATGAGAGCAGTGGAGTGATAGGCACTCAATATTTTTTGCATAAATTAAGACTCTGCTCTTTGGGATCTTCTGAGTTTGGGTGTCATCATCTAGTGTTGACAGAGTGCTTTTCCATCTCTCTCTCTCTCTCTCTCTTTCTCTCTCTCTCTCTATTTTGCATCATACATTTATTGTGAGGTAGGTATCAACATAACTACAAATTAAGCCTTAACAAGGAGGTGAAGCAATATGTGAGATGGTAAACCTAGGCATTCAGAAATATTACCTGGTTAAATTCTAGTATTTGGGCCAATCACTTAGCTAGCTAAGTTCAATTTCCTTGTTTATTCAGCACTTATTGAACATAATACGCTACTCTTCTAGGCTCTGGGACAGAGCAGGGAGCAAGAACAAAATGTTTAAGGTAAATGGTGATGAATTAAGAGGGGAATGAAAGAGGGAACGAGAGAAGGGAGTGTATACTGAGAGAGGGGGAGGGTTGCAATTTTAGAAAAAGATGTCCAGATAAGGGCCCCAGCGAAGGTGGCATTTGTAAAATGGGAATACAGTGTCTATTTCAGAGGCTTATGGAGATGTAATATCAAAATGCACGGATTCGTAAAAAATTTTCGATAGGTCCAAAATGTACCTAAGAGACCTCTAAGGAAAGAGGCCTAGAGGCCAAACGCAGGGGGAACATAGGGCGTAGCGGAACGGTGATAGACGTGGACACTATCCAAGACGGAACAGTGATCCCGTGCGAAGCGGGGCGGGACGGAAACGCGGACGCTGGACGAATCGTGACGGGGGCGGTACTACAGTGACCCTGGCAACGGCGCTCGCTTGACCAGCGGAAGCAGTGACGGAAGGCGGTACGTGGGGGCGAAGGGAGGTGTGGAAGGGGCTTCCGGCGGAAGTGGGCTCTCGCCGCCAGTATCCCGGGAAGATGTTGTGTGTGTTGCGGTGGTGGCTGTGCTTCGGCATGGGCAGCCTCTTAATGGGGCAGGCGGAGGGCCCCAGCCCAGTGGAGCCGTCGGAGCAGAGTCGGCCGTACGCGGTGCTGCGTGGGCAGAACCTGGGTGAGCTACCACGAGCTGACAGGCGGCCGGATCGGGCCAGCGCTTCCGCCTCTTGGGGCAGCGGGAGCCGGGCGCGTGCGGGGCGGACGGCAGGGCTTTTGTCGGGGCTGGAGATGCAGTGCGACCTCCCCTCCGAAGGCTTGGGGAAGAAGGCCCGAGCTTCACCGCTCCGTGCAAGCCCTAGTGCACGCTAGGCTCTCTGTATGCGCTGGTTGCAAGAGTGACCTGCGAGTCCCGAGACTGGGTCTCAATCTGGGTCCCCTTCTCTCTGGCTGTGTGGGTCTAGGCGAGACCACAAGGCTTATAATACTGTAGTATATACCTCAGCCCTCTCTTCTTTCCTAATGGGGGTAATAGTCATAGTAATACCGGTAATTGACATTTGTTGCCCATTTCCTGTATACCGTGGGCTCTGCTAAGCACTTTATGTACGTGATTTCATTTAAGCCTCACAGTAAGTAAGAAAGGGATGGTTTTCAGCTGTCTCTTACAGGTAAAAATGAAACTCAGCGAGGTTATTTGCCCAAGATTACACAGCGAGAAAGTGGTGGCGGCCAGTACTAGAACCAAGATGTTATTTGGGAGTATCTCTTAAATACATACATACATGCATACACACACACACATACATATACATATACATACACACACATACAGGTGTACGTGGCTACTGAAGGGACCCTGGAGCTTAAAGCTTGGCAAACTTCAAAATCACTCTGCCTCTTGTTTGGCGAAGTCTTTCCTTTCCACTGTGTCTCAGTGGAATATTTGCATATCTATAAAGTTGCCACATAAAATCATTTTTGGGTTATCTTGATTCCACCGGAATCTATTGTCTGCCGTGTATTGATCACTTAACTGTGTACCCACCACTCTGCTAAGTGGTTTCCGCACATTGTCCTTTAGAACAGGGTTTGCCAATCTGGACGCTACTGACATGTTGGACCAGATCATTCATTGTTGGGATGGGGAGAGTGGAGAGACACTTCCCTGCACATCCCAAGATGTTTAGCAGCATCCCCAGCCTTTACCCACAAGATGCCAGCAGCACACCCCACTCCCAGGCCAGATAGTCAGAATTATCTCTAGACATTACCAAATGTCCACTGCAGTTAAAATCCTGCTGGCTGAGAACCACTGGTGTAGAATAATACTATTCAGAGGGTGATCTGCATACCAGTGGGCATCTGCAAAGTATTTGTTTGTGAGAGATGACAACCTCAAATGCTTCCTCCACCATCATACCTACTGTAGCCACACCTCCCCCGTCACTGTCACATTACAGTTTTCTTCATAGTGGCCCTTTAGGCTATGTGAAATGCTCTTACTTGTTTATGTTTTCCACCCCAAATACATGGAGATGTCCAGAGAAAAGGTCTGTTCGTGGCTGTTTCCCCCCGCACCTGGCACCGCGTGGCATTTGTACGTCATCACCGATGAATGACTTACAGAACCTGGCGCCGCCATTAGGAGATACTCTGTGTTCCTTTTGCAGTGTTGATGGGAACCATTTTCAGCATCCTGCTGGTGACCATGATCCTTATGGCATTTTGTGTCTACAAGCCCATTCGGCGTCGATGATGGCTGAGCAGCAAGTTCTTCCACAAGCATTTGGGAACAGAATCAGTTGTGTTGCACACGGGTCACTGGGGAAGTTGGAAGTTGAACTTCCCTGCTTGGAAATGACCTTTGGTCTGGACAGTTGGTAAATGCTAAATGATTTAGGAAAAAAACATGTAGCAGTTATTTTTCCCTAACACTGTAATGCAAATAATTGGCTGCTGAGTCTGCTTCTCAGTGTTTCTTTTTACATGTGGCTATAATTGTTAAAAGTAAGACCTAAAGCTCAGTGTAAAGATGGAGTGCTCACGAGAAAGAAAACACGGCAAACTTGTGCCATAAAAACCACATTGGAAAGGACTAATCAATAATATTTGAAAATATCAAGAGGAAGGCATAACATGTAGACAGACGTTCCCTACTTCAGAACCGTTTGGTGACAATGGGTTAAGAATCACAAATGTTTTTAATTATACCGAGTTGGCCTCAAGTACTCTGGTTGCAAAGCAGTCAGTGTCAACTGGGGGAACTTCAGCCATCGCTTTTCATGTAGCATTGAGCTCTGCACTCGGATGCCCCCACTGAAGTCAGGGCCATATCAGGTAGGCCTGTGATCCCGTGTGCCCTTGGGCTGGAAGGCTCTGGGGTTGGACTGGAAATGTTTCAAGTTGGCCCATCTGAGAAAGGACTTTCTGCCCAAACATACGATCTCTCTTGTACTGCGCTTAAATCTTTCCAGCCCTTGGCCTAAAACTTATGGCAGCTTTTCAGATTTGGAATCAAAAGAGACTCAGCAGGAACTCTTTCTTGCGGCCCTGGGTGGGGAGGTCTCATCCGACAGAAGTGCCTGTTCGCTGTACCAGGCAGAGTGGCGGGTGGGTATGTGTTTACACAAACTTAATTTCAACTTTGAAAATGCTGCTATTTGTTTGCACTGTTGGTGAACTGGATTTTTCCCCCCTATTGAAATGATACTTTCATACTTAAAAAGTGGTTATCAGTATTTATTTTATTTTAAAGGTGCTAGGTTTAATTTTGTTATTAAATCAAAATGCTTATCTTGTGCTCCATTCAAGCACTGCACTGATTTTTTTTTTAACAACCCGCACTTAATGTGAAATAATTGATATGTAATCTTGTAACTCTTTGACTTAAGGATTTTGTTTGTAACCCTAACATTGAGCCATTCAAATGTGAACTATTCTGTGCTTTTCAGCAAATGTCAATTAAAGTAAAATCCTAAATTCTGTTTTACTCCTAATTATGTTCCAAGTATTTAAAATGCAAGTGTGTGTTTGAAGCTAATTTAATCTCTTAAGGAAGCACTGTGAGGTGGAATTTTAAATTCATATGTGAAATAACACTGTTTCCCCAAGGCAAGGTACTATTTCAGAAAACTGAGCCCGGATTAACCCCTCAGGCTGCGCCAGGGTTCAGGAGACTTGGATTCTTGTCCTAGCTCCAGTTACAAACAGGCTTTAACTTCTCCAGAGCCTCAGATTCTCATGTGTGAAATGGTGACACACACATTCTTAATTATGGTGAAGATGAAATGATTTGAAAACTCACACAAGTGAAGGTGGGATTACTACAGTTAGCCTGCCGCATAGAAGTCTGTGGTTGCTGACTGGAAGGCGGAATGGGTGGGATTCTGAGAGACTGGCATTGACAGGGTTAAGTCCCACCTCATCTGGAATGCCGCATTTTGATATGCTGCCAAAGTTTATTGCCATTTTTAGGATTTTAAGAGGAAACAGTAAAAACTTGCCAGGCCCATAAACCTCCTGACCTGCTGTTTGTTCAGTAATCACTAGCCAGGTAGTAGGAGCGTGTTCATTTTCTGAAAAAAGCTTGCAATAGTTATTCTCTGTACAAATCCAAAACGCAGCCTACATTCTCATTCAAATGTTACCATCTGTTCAGTATGAGATTTCAAGCTAAAGACAAAATCGTCTCTGTAGAAAGAGGCTTATTACAAAGAGACAAGTGAAGGTAAAAACATTAGTTCTGTGACGGGGGAAGAGAGAGAATTATGAGGTCTGGAAAAAGTCCAACCATTCTTGGTATAATGAGAATGGTTTGTGTGACATCTGTATAACCTGGCAGCCAAGGAGAGTGGACTGGAATGTGTATGTGTGAACAATGACAACTTCACTCTACAAGTCAGTGGGGGCGATAGGTGCTCTTGAATGAGCATATGTCGTGTGGCCATCGACCTCAAAATGACTGAACGAGTAGACCAATGAATCTGCATAAAATTTTATGTTAAGCTTGAACATTCCTCCGCAGAAACCATTCCAGGAGACCACAGCTATGGTGATGGGCAACTTCAACATGACAATGCGCCTGCTCATATATCACGTCTTGTGCAGAGTTTTTGGTAAAGCATCAAATCACCCAGGTGTCTCAGCCCCTCTGCAGCCCAGATTTGGCACCCTGCGACTTACGGCGTTTCCCGAAACTAAAGTCACCATTGAAAGGGGGGAGATTTCAGACCATCGATGAGATTCAGGAAAATACAATGGGGCAGCTGATGGCGACTGGGAGAACTCTGAGATTCCGAGGTGCCTACTTTGAAGGGCTGAGGCATCACTGTCCTATGTACAGTGTTTCTTGTATCTTCAATAAATGTCTTCATTTTTCATATTACATGGCTGGATACCTTCTGGACAGACTTCATATACTGAAAACCTCTATGTATTTGAAGGTACTGACCAACTAGTACATTCAGATAAAATTATTTTCCTGTCTTTGAGAGTATGGGGGAGGGCAGTAGCCAAACCCTAGAGCTCATAAACTGAATTGTACTCAGCATACATACCAAGTACCCAAATGAACACATGATTAATTTACACCAATCATAAAAATGAGTTATGTTAGCAAATACTAATCTTAACTTTCTTTAAAGTTGAGATAACCAAGTCTGCAAGTGCTACTTGAGATTTAGGAGCTCTGGAGTCTTATGAAATATATTTTTTTCCAGCTGGATCTCAGTATTCAATCACACGACATGGGCCTAGTTTGGATTTTGAACTCCATCATTTACTGTGCAGCCATTTGAAGTTGCCATAGTCCAACTTGTCTTCGATGTCCTGTGTTCAGCAGGAAACTGGTAAGTTTTTAAGTGAAATAATTCTTAGGTATTACATCCCAACCAGAGTAAAATAATTTTCTTCATAGTGCCCCACTGGCTTAAAGTATTGCTGTTTACTTTCCCCCAAAAGCAAACCAGCACCTTCATTTTCCCAGAAATACCAAGGCCTCATTTCTGAAACCAAACATTTTTTACTAGTCACTGCCTTGTTTGCTTTAATACCAGCGTATTTGGTGTTGGATAAGTCTGGGAGTCCTAATTATTACCTGAACATCTAAGAACAGCCTCAAAAAGCACTCTGGCTTCAAAGGAGGGAGTATATGCAGTCACATGAGAGTTGATGGTACTCCACAAGAGCCAGCCCATCTCCAAGAGGAGGGCCTCAGAGGTCTCAAAGCATCCTGGACACTGGCTTGCTTTTAGTTTGCATTTGAAACAAGGAGCATTGGACATGTGGACTGTATGAATGGGCAGGAAGGCTGAGAGGAGCCTGTCACCTTGCAATATACAACTGAGCATTGAGAGGACATTCTAATGTTCCAGCAACACACAACGGGAAGTGTGGGTTCAGTCTGTGAATAGAAAAACGGCATGAAAAGAAAAAAGACTCAAAGGCTGTCTAGGATATTGTATGAGCATCCTCTAAGGAAGCAGTTCTTTATTTGCATTTAAGAGTGTGAACACATAAATGAAAAACGCTGCAGACAGGCCGACAAAAAGCTCAGTACCTTTTAAATTGACTTCCTGGGACAAAGTCAGAGTCATCAGGAAGCAGAACAATGGAATGCAAACATAAGAGAGTACCTATGGTTCACCTTAGTGAGTAAACAGTGTGACCTAATTGCAGCCATTCCCAAGTGCCCTCACTCAAGGTAAATACTAAGTAAACAAAATGCCAAGGTATGTATTTGAAACAAATGTGATGCTGCATATACTGGCCTGGTGTGCAGAGAAGGAATTTGGATTAGACCATGACAAAGGAGACAGATGATTATATGGAATCAAAAGCACATTTCTTGCCCTGACCTGTGTGGCTCAGTTGGTTGGGCATCATTCGCAAAGTGAAAGGTCGCTGGTTCGATTCCTGGTCAGGGCACATGCCTAGGTTACGGGTTCGGTCCCAGATCGGGGCACCTACGATAGGCAACTGATCGATGTTTCTCTCGCTCTTTTTCCCCTCCCTTCCCTTCTCTCTAAAAATAAATAAATAAAATCTTTTTTTAAAAACACATTTCTTTGTGGCTAGGAACGTTTGACTGGCAATGCTAACTGTATAATACAGACGTTAACTGGAACAGTAGCTTTGTTTCTCTTGCCGTCCCAAAAGAAGCCCAACAGATAGGAAACTGATGTAAAACAGAGGAGGATATTGTTTACCAGGGTATTTCAGTGCAGCCTGGGGGAATGAATACACAGAGTTGGCTGGAGTAAGGGTGCCCTCCGCTGTATTCTCCATGGTTCTGTAAGTCCTGTGATGGTTATTTACAGAAGGGCTAGACAAAATGGTTAATTACTAAAGGTATCCAAAAAAGGCCTGAGAAAATCTGGTTAAAATGTATAACCTTGTATTGCTACTGATGGGTATAGTTTTTATATCTTTTAAAAATAATAAAAAGATTCTGTTAAAAAATATATTTATCCAGAAAGATGTTGAACTCTAAAAAGCAGTGTGGAATCATTACTTTCCCTTTTGTATGCAGAGCCATTGGGTTCCATTTGTAGCTCCCTTTCTGATTTCCACCCTTCTCAACTGAGCCGAGGGCATGTACTTGGAGGGCCTTCCTGGACCTCTCCGCATGGAAGTTCCGCACCAGAGAGGGCGTGGAACACACACTCTGGGTTTGGTTCTGTGCTGTCAGGTGCTTTGGCCAGCCTGCCCATTTTAGGCTCAGGTTCTCCTAGCTGTTCCCTCAGGGCCAGGATTGAGCTGCCTTGGATTTAGCCTGGAGGATCCTGCTCTCAAAGGAACTGCCTTGACAAATTCAAATCAGATCCCTCAATAAGGGAAGTGAGGTGGTTTGAAATTATTAGTAACTTTTAAGGCTAAGGCAACATCCGTGGTCACTAGTATATCTTAATTTGATGCAAATAGTTAACTGTAATCTAAAATAGATCCTGTATACACCTCCCCTCTTTAACATTAGCTGGGGATGGAAGGAATGGAATAAGGTGGAGATGGAGGAGGAGCAGTGATGGTGTCCTAGAAACCCTGTATAAAGGTAAAAACAAAAGAGCAGATCGGCACAGATTATCTGTTTCTTTGGAGAACTGTAAAGAAGTACCATAAATTTTCATAAACCACACTCTACAAAGGCTGCTGCTCTCAGATATAAAAGCACCCTGACTCTGCAATAACTTGTTTTGTTACCACTTCTTGGTAAAAATGAACATACAAACCTGCGGGGATTAGGGTTTTTGTCTAAAGCTGGTAGAAAAAATGTGACCTGCAAGCCAATATAGCTCATGGAAAGTGACAGGGCTCTCCTCCCCTTAGCCTGGAGATGTGGCCTGCCCACCCCCAGCCCCTTCACCAGGGAGTGTCGCGGGCGGACCAGGGAGCACCTGGTCCTGCACCTCTGTAAAGAAGGGGGCAGCTGCCATCTGCTGCGCACGTGGGAGGTGCAGTGCCTTAGCCTCAGGGTCCTGGTATCCTAGCACCGCTGCAGCCCCGAGCCTCTGCTCTGCGCAGCCCCTGGGCAGAAAGCTCTACTTGTCAGTGAGAGACAGCTGTAAGACTTGCTGGAGCTCCGCCTCCTCCTCCCGGAGCCGGAGCTCCCGCTCCTCCAGCTCTTTGGCAGACAGCTCCATGGCCAGTTGCAGGTCGCTATCGAAATGGCTTGTCTCACTTGAGGCACCAGGGCACAGGCCTTCCGAGCTGGTGAGGAGGCTTTCCTGGATGGCTCTGGGTTGGAAAAAGGGGAAAAAAGAAAGTGATAATCATCATCACCATGGCAGCAGCAGCAACTACATTTCAGAGCTGCTTACTAAGTACACGCCCTGCCAGGTACTTTACATGCACTCTGTGCATGATGCCATTTGATCCCGCATAACCCTGGGGGCCTGCAGGCCTGGGAGCCTGAGTGCTGTATATAAGTGAGAAACCCGAGGCTCAGAGGGTTAAGAAACCTGCCCAAGATCACCTGGCTACTAAGTGAGGGGGCCAGAACTGAACTTGGATCTATTTTGAAGCAAAATCCAAATTCTCCAACAGGCTTTCATGTATGTCTAAAGTTTAGGAAAATGCTTTGTAAAATGAACCTTTCTGGCTTCCTCCCTTTAAAAATTCTAATCATCTCTGTAGCTTTGCCCCAAAATGTCATCATCCTTAAAATTATAAACGTCCCACTGAAGGCATCTAGACCCTGTGCGATCAGACCAGTCAGAAAACATTTATTTCCTCGGCGCCTGTCTGCCAATGGTATTGGCCTGTGAAAAAGTCAGCAATTCTATCACCCATTCCTGGAAACTCCGCCACAAGGGGAAGCAGGAGGGCTAACTAATCAAGTCTCGCCTGCCAGGCACAGTGCTGTGCATACAGCATGTCTGTGTCAGCCTCGGTTTAATCACCAAGAGTTATGTCGGTTACCTCTCATATTGGGCATCATAGACGTGTGTCTGGCTGATCCCCCCATTCGAAGCTGGTCCTGAAAGGTCCTAGGAAAAACAGACGCGATGGATGTGAATACCTCTTAGAAGGAATAGGTGTCATACTGATAAATGAAAACAGCGAGAACAAAATTTAAAATATTTACACGCTCATTATTGATAGTGCTGTGTGAAAAACTAATAGCGACTTGAGTTATCTCTGAAATGACGCCTAAGTGCCAGGCAGTAGATGGTACACTACCTTGCTTAACAGCTTTTCATACTTGACACAAAATCAGTCTATTAAAAGCAGCTAACCTTGGGCAAAGTTTAAATGAACAGAGCAGGTGATTCTTTCAGAGCAAGGTTAGAACACATCATTCAATAATCACGCACCACATTAACAAGGTTTCAGTCAACGATGGACCGTATATGTCAGTGGTATACTATATAGCCTAAGTGGGTAGCAGGCTCTACCATCTAGGTTTGCGTAAGTGTATTTTATGATGTTTGCACAATGACAAGATCACCTAGCAATGCATTTCTCAGAATGTACCCACATTATCCATCGTTAACCAGTGCATAACTGGATCTGTCGCCTGTGACTCTGGCTACTCCCCTTTGTAAAACTACAGTCAACAAGGTTTACATATGTATTGGAGGAAAAAGTAAGCTCTCTTGTATAGGGAAAGAAAAGGTGTGCCGGACTGACAGTGATGTCGGGGGGCCGGGTCTTCTCCCAAGAGGCCTCTCAAAGGCACTGCACCTGCACTGGGGTGTGGCCCTCGGCCCAGCAGCCTCAGAGAGCTGCACGGCTCTAAGAACGGGTCCATAGGAGGCAAGAGTGGGGCTCACGTTACTTGAGCTCTGAGACTCAAGAATAAAACCAGACTGTCAAAAACCTGAGCCTGGGGAAACCACAGGATGGAGAGGACAGAGGAGATTGATGATGTGGGAGGAGGACCTCATACCCTGGACTGTCCCAGGCAGGTGAGGCCCGGAAGAAGAACCACAAGAAAACAAAAAGCAACTGTTCTTAATGCTGGTCAGTCCTGTTCTTAGCTCTGCTTTTAGCGAGAGAGGCAGAATTTGGGCTTATACCTTTTATACCAGAATAAAACATGAGTAACAAAAAAAAGTTAGCGAATCAACCAACACTTTCATCACGCCCTTATTGAGCAACCAAACACAATGACTGGTCTTCCTTGAGGAGGAAGTTCAGATTAAAATCCACATACCTTCCTATGAGACTGCTGACACACCGATAATATTCTAGAGAAAATACGGTGTAAACTAGCAGGAGTTTACTGTTTCGGTACCAGAAAATTATACAGCATGTCCCAAAAGATACACAATTATTAGCTCCATGGGTGAACATAAGGAAAAGGAAAGTCCGTCAGGAGACGTCCAGTGAATGATGCTGCCAGGCCATGCAGATTGTACGAGAGAGAGGTATCTTACCCAGAGCGGGGCAAAAGCACATTCACAGTTGTTCATATGGCATATAATACAATAACTAAGAGATAATAATACAAGAATAAACTGTGTTTCGTGTACTCACAACTGTAAACCTACTTTTGCCTCACCCTGTATAATAACCTTTTGGAAAAGACCTGGTGTATAAAATACAAAACAATCTCTGTAAATACCATAAATATGCCAAAGTTGTTTTTTTAAAGTAAATGTTTCAGGTTAGCCACAAACTGAGGCCTCCCTCAGTTTGTGGCAGGGGACACCTCCCTGCCCTGCCATTTATTCTGATAAACGCACCTGACTCCTGCTAGACTCCAGCAAGCTCTGCTGGATGGCAAACTGCATGATGTCATAATCTTCATCCTGCAAATGCATGTTTTTGCCATTGTCTTGAACATGGTAAGATTCAGGAATTTCAAACACAGATTGGTCAACCTCAAAGTCTGTGTCCGGGGACGCTGAAACACAGAAGACGACAGTCCAGTGCCTCAGTTAGTAAAATAAATGTCCACTTCAACTTTGTATACACATTTTCTAAATTAAAAAAATATGAAAATTAAAACAGAAGTTTGCTAGTATGTGAGAGAGATTTTGAGGGATAATCTTGACAGACAAAAGTACCAGAGAACTGCTTTTCTCTTTTTGCCTTATTTTCTTAGTAATAAACTTAGTGCAGTCATTAAAAAAATATAAAGAACTATAAAATGAAAAATGAAGATCTCTCTCCCTACACCCTTTCTCCTATTTCCAAATTCCAGAAGTAACCAGTGTTTTACTCTTGTGTCCTTGGAGGAATGTGACATGTATATATATATATATACACACATAGTTACACTGATTGGTCTTTTTATTTTTCCTTCTTTTATTATGAAATACAGCGAACATATAAAAGACAGTATATACATATCTGTAAACTTAAAAATGATAATATAAAACAAACACCTGTGTATCTTTCAACGAGCTTAAGACACAAATTTTACCACAATTTTTAAAAACTGAAAAAATTCAATTATATTTCTATACAAAAGCAATGAGTAATTGGAAAATAAAAATTAAGAAAATAAACCCACTTACCATACCATCCCAAATATGAATTGGGTTGATGGCTAAGGAGCCTGAGGAAATTTGGAAGGGATGATAGAAATGCTCTTTGTCTTGACTATGGTGATGGTTATATGAGTGTATACGTTTGTCAGAATGCACTGACCTGTCACACTTATAAAATGAGAGCATTTCAGTGCATATTCATTACATCTGAATCAAGTCATTTTTTAAGAATATGCTCTGTTTTTAATACAAGTAGGGTCATAACATTTTCTCAAATTTTTTCACTTAATCTGAATCTAAAATTTTCTTGATTCAGCACAGAGATCTGTTTTATGAGATACTCCAATCTCAAACAGAATAATAAGTATAATGACTAAATGTATGACTTCTTTTTTTAAATCACAAAACCCAACTTCCTTTTACCTGAATTAGCCTTGGTCCCATCCACGTTTTGAGGTACAGTTTCTTCAGCAGTGCTACAGCCATTGACATTTCCAAATGTAATCCGTGCATTTAAGACATGAAACAAGGGAATTTCTAACAAAATAAAAGCTTTCATAAATAACATGACTTAGAAGAACAATAATAACCATGATTTAGTAGTTAGCGGTAAGTGCTTACTATGCTGGCACCATGCCAAGTACTTTGTATGCGTGTGATTTCATACAGTCTTCATAACAACTTTTCCCAATATATCGATAGGAAAACTGAGAGTCAGAGAGGTTAAGCAACTTCTCCCAGATCATAGTGAGTAGTAAGTGATCCAGCCAGGGCTCAAGTTTCATGAATATACAACTGTCCAAAATGTAAATTTCTCACAAGTCACATATATTGTATATGATATCAATATCATGCATATGACTTCAGGCCCTAAAACATATTTATGTATCAAAGGATCTTGGTGTCACTTGTCTTCCTCGATTAACTACCTAATTTGAATTTTTGCTTGGGGTCTGATATTGAGACAATGAATACATCACATTCTTAGGCCTTTTTACATCTGTCAGCACCATCAATACATAGAACCGGTAGTTGGGGACTCTCCTAATTTGGTCATGTGCAATGATCAAGAATCATGACGCTCCTTGAAGCCAAATTAGACTAGAGGACTCTGACCTCCTCTGCTTTGTCTTCTACTGTGTGCTGTTTGTGACTAAAGTGCTCCAATTCCCTAAAGCACACTGTCACCCACAAAAACGACAGAACCTATGAGTGTTCCTGTGGTGCATTTAACAGTACCTATTTTGACAGGAAATCCAGGTGGGAATTCCAATTTGATGAAATCTCTCAGTCTTGCAAAATGAGCGCTAGTTCTGGCCATCAGGTCAATGATGGGAATGACCTGCTCCACGAGAGAGAGAGGAAATTCCTCACACATCCACAGCGTTGCTTTGAACCTGCAGGGAATGACCGACAAAAGACGGGGGGCCGTCACCACCTGACAGGGAAACTGAATTCTATGCAGTTGGCTAGACAACACCTGCTTCCTTACTCCACTGTCTCCCCAGTAATCTGATGTCTCAGTTCAGAGCTATGAGGGACTAGACCAAAGGGGAGTTCAGATCGCTCTGAAAGCCGGCAGTTGGGGAAGCGACTGCCACTACAACCTGCAAGAGCCTTCACTGATAGCAAGCGGGAAGAAATCGCTGGCTGGTGGAAATCATTTCATTTGATCAGCTGATGCTTGCTGGCAGGAAAATACAGAATTCTTAATTCTAGTAAGATGGCCATCGTACTGTTAGCTTTTGTCAAATAAAGTAATTTAAAGTTCTTTTTAAAAGAGTGGGACAGAAGAATGACTGAACGTGACCCCGTAAAACAGCACGATTCTGACACAAGTAAGAATCCACAAGTGGAAAATGGCCATTGACCCTCTCTTACTTTTGTGTTCTAATCGTCAGCTCTTTCGGCCTTCCGATGTCCCTGTCTCTCAGATCAAACTCTTCGTCGAAGTACTCGTCAGGCGTGATGGCTGTAGGGTTGTTCGCAGTGGCACATTCTGTGGTGAGGTCCTGCCGAGCCAGAACTCAGGGGAATCAGAAATGCCCAGTGGTCTCACAAGCGGAGGCCTATGGCAGTCAGTCTCTGAGGTGGACATGTTAACCAGCTACAGATCAGGGAATTCTAGTCATTAACATTTTTTAAATTAAGTTACTGCACAGAACAAGAAAATCTACAAAGGCGTTACTAAACAACCTGGCAAGTCTAATGGATTTCTCCATTTCAAAATATTTCTCCCCTCTCTTTTGCACTTTTATCTCCTGATTCTAAAAGACTGAGAGAGAAATATATGAAAGCCCATGAGAGCTGGCAGACTTGGAGTTTAAGGTCCAGTTCTGTTATTGTCTAGTTCGTGACACTGAAGAGAGGAAGTTTCATTTTTTCTGACCCTCAGTGACAGCCGTTGTAGCAATTTCATATAGTTATTGTGAGGATCAAGTGAGGAAATGTTTCTTAAGGTGCTCTGTTAAAATGTAAAGTCCTGAATCCTTTCTAATATCCATTTTTACAGAGAGAGCCTAGTTTATAACACATAAGAGAGAAAGCATCTGATTTCTATAATCTCCACCCCTCCCGTAAAAATCTTTTTTTTTTTTAAAGACTCGCTCGTCTAATTCTCTTCCAGGAGAGTGCCTCAAATTTCCAGCTTGAGAGTATTCCTTAGCCTTTTCAAAGAGAGTAGCCTCTTTGAGATTCAGTAAATGCCACCCCCAGAACAAAAAAGTCATCACCTGTCAACTGCACTGATAGCACGTTGCTTCAACTTACCCCTTGAGCACCGAACTGGTGTTCCACAGTTCCCAACAAAGATTCCAGTGGGTTCCTGTCCGCTACAGAAGGGGGGAAAGTTTAATGTCTAATATTATACTTGTGACTGTAGAAAAAGATTCTCACCATATCTAAAGTCTCTGATTCAAGCTGCCTGCATTAGGAAATACATTCACGGACAGACTCACAAAATCATCCACCATAACAATCAGCTAATTCATTCTTTGTAGGACACTTTTTATTAGGATCTCTGAATTGGATGAAGCACAGTTACAAGAATTAAAGCAGAGCAGTGGAAAGAGGTTGGATTTAGAAGTGAGCCAGATCTCATCTTGGTTGGTCACTGCCCATGGGTCCTACGCCTCGGTTTTCTCATCTGTCAAGCTGCAGTAAGAGTCCTGTGTTGTTATAGTTAACAATAGCAGTGGTGGTTGTTAATAATTACAATGTGCTAGCCACATAGTGCAGGCACTGCTTTAAATATGTACATGTACTAATTCATCTCGTCCTCCCAATAACTGTAAGGAAGGTGTAGGAGCACCTCCATTTCATCTTGGCAATGTTTTGGCTCAGAGCCCAAGTTCTTTCATGGTGAAAGTTTGGAGCAAATCACTTATTCCAGTGATAAATATTCTCCAATAATCTTTTCTACTTTTTCATCCAACAACTGTACTTTGTAACATACAAACAAGCCGTCGTGAATGGCTTTAATTACAACTGAAGCCAACTAAGGAGAAATCTCTCCAAGAATGAGTCAAATTAAGGACATTTTTATAAAAGGGAAGTCAGGGTGAGGATTAACACAACCGGTCACATTAACCCCTAAATTTAACAGAGCCAACAGAGGCTCTCTCTAGGCTGAAAAAAGGTGCGGAGGATTACCTTTGTATCTCTTTTTTTCTTCCTCGGTCAGATGTTCTGTCCGTATTTTGGTTATCACACTCACATTATTTACTGAGTAAACCTTGAGAGATGTGTGCAAGAGAAAACAGTGACACAGGGAATCAAAACTTGAAAAATAAGCATAGCAAGAGCAAGAATGCTGAAGCAAAAAAAAAAAAAAAAAAAAAAAAAATTCCAGCAAAATAAAAATGAGAAATGGTTATCATTAGGATCCTTCAGAGAAAATACACAAGCGATCAGCTTAGAAATGCATCAGCAGTCACTTTGCCTCTCTGAGAGTTTTAAATACTGAGGAGTTAACAATGACAGGTTGCATCTCCCTACTGGCCCTTCTTGTTGCTAAGTGCTCTCAAAGAATGTCCTGCAATTTAGGGCCTCCCTCCCATTGGATTTCTTTTGTATTAAGCATCCAAGCCTGTACTGAGTACTTCTACTGATTTCTGGTCATCTTATAATATGGCTGACTTAGCCATCAGCTGGGCAGAAGGAAAAAGGAATGAACACAAGGTTCTCTACGCTGGTAAGCTTTATAACCAGCAAGTCACTATTTAAAAGGTATGCCGAGTATTGACAAAAATTATTATAACTGCCAGAGTGGGTGCTCTGTTATCAAGATGGACTGGGGCATCTGGAAAATCAAGTATCTCAGTTAACAGAGAATTAACTGCATCTGCCGTACATTCAAAGGTTCAAGAAACATGCTCAGCGCTGCAGTGACTGTTACTGAATGTATCTTGCTGAGCATGACATAAGCTTTCCTTGGGGCTCAGAGGTCACCAGAGGACCCTGCAGTGCCTGGCTCCGCCCTCGGAGCCATCAGTCCCTGCTGCACTGCAGGGCCAAGGGAGGGCCTGGAGACAGGGCTGTCCAGAGGACAAAATGCCAGCTGTCGTCTCCGCTATGACAACTGTGTTCTAAATTCACTGATGTCACGTAAGTGGGCTGTAAGCTAATTGGTTACAACTAGGCTAACAAAAAAAAAAAAAGAAATTGGAGACTCATAAAAGCTACTTTATTCTTTTTTAAAACCCACTCAGGTTATTAAAAAAGATGAACAATCATGTTAAGTCCAAGCCTTTCTCTTTTCTTTCTTTTCTCTTTTTTTGTCATTCCTACCAGAACTGGTACCTGTACTCTTTTCTCTACAACACTGTTTCTCTTTGGCATAACTAGAGACCTCCTTGGGACATGCTATCCCATTTTCTGAAAGTCAAAAAAAATAAAAATCCAAGGAAGAGACACACTAGGCAGTACTTTTCCCCCAGAGCATCTCCATGGCACAGATGCATGACAAAATCTGAACAGACTCCTCATTTGCATAGAAGCTAAATTGCTATATTAAATCTTATTTTAAGAGTTTCCTTTTACCTTTGCTTCGTAACCATTAACAACTTCTGCTTTATCTGTCCTCCAGCCCCAGAATCCGGATTTAGTTCTGATAAAAAGTGAACACCACAAATTTCTACATGTACAATATGCCATTCAGATTTATCCCTGCAGCCTTTATAGTTTTTTCCCCCAGCTTAAGTTACTGAAGGACACCTGGAAATCACGGTCCAATTGTCCACAAAAGGATGTTATCAATGACAGATGGCTTAAGCATCCCCCACCCCGCTCCCAGCTGTTAATCAACTTGCCTCACCCCGGCACAGAAAACCTCTTTCTTGGCTTCTTTACAAAAACTGCCAGCATAGGTGAAAAGGTGGTGACATTTATCAGACAGCTGCCCTAAAGAAGTGAGTGAAGATGACCAGCGTCCAAGGGCTCGCCACACGGTGGTATCTGGGTCAGAGCATTTATCTGGGTCATCTTAACTATGGGCACAGATGTCAGTGGCTGTCCCCATAAGCAGTGGCATCTTAGTTGAGGAGTTCTTAGAACAGGAGGCACAAGCCTTCTTGCTCCTCGGGAGAGAATCAGTCGGGCAAGAATTCGTCACTGTGGCAAGTTGCTTAGAGAAACCAGCAATACCTGCTAAATGGCCTAGGAAGTCGGTCATGCATTTTATCAGGCTTGGTGCAGCAGGGGAAAGGATGGTAAAAGCAGTCTTTCAGCCCAGCTGAGGACTCCAGCTCGGTGAAACTGCTTTTAAGGTAGCCCAGCATCCTAGCAGCAACTGCAGCATTGATAAAATGCCCAAAACCCAGCTATTCCACTCAACACACTCGTGGGAAAAATGCATTTAGGAACCAAGAGTAGCCAAGACGCTCTGATTCTTTTTCAAAGCAGCACACCCTGCGAAATGCTACCACTCACAGGGGAGGCCTGGCTGGACTGCCCCTTTGTCTAGGACATCACGTCCTAGCTCCACTGTGACTGTTGCACTTGAACCCATGTAGGGCAACTGCCTGCCTTCTGCTCTGACCCTGGAGTGAAGTAGGGCATCACACAGGAAGCTCCAGGAGCGGTGGCATGTTAGCCAACTCACAAAGAAGGTAGGCAATTATTTGCATATTGTGTTCCCAAAGAGTTTGCTTTTCTACTAATGGGATTTGGTAAATGAAATTAGGCCAGACAGAGTGTAAGGAGTTCTATGTGTGCATTACAGCCAATTAGGGAAAGGGACCAAAGCTTTACTTTCCCTATTAGCTCCTCACAATTAGTACACCACAACCCTTGGAGGGAAAGAAAGACAGCCTAAAGGAATTACACAAAGTTCTAGCTATGTCCAAGTGACATTTCAGAAACACAATAATCCTGGGGTGCACGGGGCTAGGGGCCACACCTAACTGATTAATAAACCAGAGCGCCCTCTTAGTCAGTGATAACTAAAAATCAAGATATTCCTTTTAGTTAACAAATTCAATCCTCAGTTCCTTGTCTGTTGCTAAGTCACTCAATGTTTCAGTGGGAAATAATGCTCTTCTGGCACACAGTCATCCGAGGTACCCAAGGATGCGTAGGTCTGCTCCACTTCCTACTTCATAGGGGCTGAGAAAACAGGACCACACTTTTCTCCCTGGAAACCACCGTGCTCCTCGCTCCTCTGCTCTGTCCATGATGCTGACTGTTCCACTCCCTTTTCCATTCCCACTCTCTGACAGGTTAGTTCTGTTTGTTTTTCAAAAAATAAAGAACTGCCCTGGCTGGTGTGGCTCAATGAACTGGGCACTGGTCGGCAAACAGGAAGGTCACTGGTTCGATACCCATTTAGGGCACATGCCTGGGTTGTGGGCCAGGTCCCCGGTTGGGAGCAGGTGGGAGGCAACTGATCGATGTACGGTGTCTCTCACACATTGATGTTTCTTTCCCTTCTTTCTTTCTCCCTCCCTTCCCCATCTCTAAAAGTAAATAAAATAAAAATAAAAATAAAGAACTTATTTTGGTAGTTCCTCAATAATGATGCAAGACACTGAATTCCATCCAGTAAAGGCATATCCTTTGGGGTAATCTGAACAAGTACCAACCAAAATGGCAACATCCACTAATTGGGCACCAGTTCCTTCAGAGTCCATCCACTACTCCACCATCTTGACTGGAAGTCCTCAGACAGTTTAGTCATTAAACTCAATGTCTACAACCTAGTTTAAAACCATGACTGCCCTTGATTAACTTTACATGCAGAGGCATCTGAAAATGGTAAGAGAACACCCAGCTTCCCTCCTTTGCCATTTTCACCTCTGCCTATCTCCACCGAGACCACCATACCAAAGGCCATGTAGCACGCGCTGTGGCTTGCAGGCTGCTACACAATGTGGAGGAAAGCTATTATGGTGGAAGGGAATGTTTTAAAGTGAGCAGAGCATGACCTTTCAGAGAAGAGAAAACCCAGACTGCAACCAGAAGGTATATATTAGGCCAAACATTTATGTGGGAAGGATAATAATTTGCAAGTATCATGCCCAAAGTAACAGATTAGAAAAAAGAGATAGGTGAAAATGACTGTCATAATACAAGAGATCTACATCTTCCAAATTCAATCAAATGAATGCCTGTACCTCCAGAAAGAAGTAGGTATGCAGTTTTTCTATGCAGCAAACCTCACACTCAAGAGCACCTCAGATGCTTACTCAGTGCCTGAGAAACTCAATAATCGCGTAATTTAATTCTGAGTACCACAAAAAATTGCAGCTGTCTTCTAGAAATTCTCTCTCAGCAACCCAATGTCAGTAGCCAAAGGAGGATTAGCTTGAACCGTCTGAGGAACCTGTGATCACACAAATACAAAATGCGACTACAAATGCGATGACAAATGGAACATGTCATCGTTTCCCACCTACTCTCCGTGGGCGACAGCAAATGACCATCACACTCTCTTCAGAAACTGCATTTAAGAACAAGCAAGTAGCAACTCGGCTGATGAACTAGAGGGAACAGCGGCCCTGTCCATGATCTCTTAGGGACATGCACTTCAGACACTTCATCTCTAAGTCCATGACTTTTTTTTTCCAGTGGAGAAAAAAGAAACCTGAAGGGATTAAGCCACGCCCAAAACTGCTCGGGTAGCTGGTAGCCCTGCTGATGACCCTCAGTTCTGCCAGCTCATCACTGCTGCTGGGATGTGGCAGTAGGGGCAGGCTCCCCTATCTTCTGGCTTAGCAAACAGAGCCCTAAGCCGCAGGGCCTCCCTGTCCTCACAGGCACGTGCCAAAGACTGGAGATGCCTTTCCAAGACCGTTACTGGTGAAGCCTCGGTCAGTCCCTAAACCTGGCTGTCCCTGGAAGACAATGGCTGTCAGCTGGGGAGGCCAGTGATAGACCGATGGTGATGGGGCACAGACCCTGCCTCGGGGGGTGTCCCTACCAAAGCAGCAGCACACTTGGTGTTTTGGTTTTCTCTGCTGCTACAATAAATACCCTAACTCCACAGCTCGATCTAAATGAATGGAAAAGGGCACTTAACAAGTCTTATGTTTGAACAGAAACCTCACGGTTTTGTCAATAGATTTTATATTGGAAACGAAGAAGAAAAGAAAAAGAGAGGACAGTTAGCATACTTATGAAGAGAAAAGGAAGCCTAAATCCAGGAAAATGCTGTCCATAGTAGCTCACACTGCGCGGCTTGGGTTTACGGAGACCTGGATGTGACATCCTAGGCGAACACTCAGGGCTCTTCCAGACTCCCCTGGTTCAGCATGTCCTATGGTAGAAACACTCAGGATGGCAGCTGTGACAGCGTCTGCTCCCCTTACGGAGGCCCTACGCACCTCTGCACAGCCCAGAGGCAGGCAGCCAGGCCCAGAGCTCTCGTTTGGGTTGGCCGAGACGCAGGTCTCTCCAAGGTTTCTTCGGGCAGAATCTGGAACAGAACTGAACCCCCTCCAGACTCTTACTCTAAACTATTAGGCCTCACAGTAGTGGAGCTGGGAAGCGAGGACAATATGTAACTATGTGAAAGATGTGAATTTGACTAATAATCAGTATAACCACATGCAATACTAGATCAGTTCTAGCTGCTGGAAACTCACAGTTCCATGGTTTAGGACTAGGGAGCCTTGCGGATCCCCAAACACCAAAGCAAAAATAAAATTCAAGTAAAATTCATTAGAAAGGGCCTATAAAAGAATATGAAGACATTTCTCCAAGACTCAACCAATGTGCTAGAAAGATGATATGTGATGAAGGATGTTAGCTAAGGTTTCCATTTGGTGACAGCAGAGATTAACTTTAAAACACTAGTGCTTAAATTGCCATATTAGAAAAATCCCAATCCATCCATAATTTCCAATCAATACATACATCCCACTAAAGATGGCAGTAAAGGGATGAGATATTAAAATGCAGAAGCTAAATCCGTACCTTTCAAAAGCAATATTTTTAGTATCGAGGCTGGTGTTAATGACGGGGCTTGTGAGCCGCCTCTCAACTTCCCTGCTTGTTGGCTTCATCAAGTCCAGAGTGAGGCGCTCCATTTCCTGGGAAAGATCAAAGTGTTCAGTGGTGACCACTTTGTCATCATGGTTGACCTCCATCAATTCCGCCCAGTTGTCTGTTAATGGAAACAAGGGCACAACTAAGCAAAATGCAAGTAAGATGCAAAAGCAAGAAAGCCTCATATGTTAAAATGCATCATCTTTCCAATTTTCCTTCCCAGTACCATCTGATAAAACCTAAAGACTATTGGTAATTGATTACCTACTTGCACAAGAATTATCTGGTCAGCTACCACAGCACATAGGAGGCTCTGGGCCATCTTCCCCAAAGATGCAAACTTTTAAAATAATTTGCATTCTTTATTAACAACACATTGATCTGTGTACTTTTTAAAATATATGATTAGCCCTGGCTGGTGTTGCTCAGTGGACTGAGCGCCGACCTGTGAACCAAAAGGTCTGCTGGTTCAATTCCCAGTCAGGGCACATGCTTGGGCTGCAGGCCAGGTCCCATGTTGGGAGCATGCAAGAGGCAACCAACTGATGTATCTATCTCTCACGCATGGATGTTTCTGTCCCTCTCTTTCTCCCTCCCTTCCCCTCTTTCTCTAAAAATAAATAAATCTTTAAAATATATGATTACAAGATATAAATTATTTATGCACAACACTGGGTAAGCCATGCCATTTCTCACCCTCCATAAGTCGGCGGGGGGGTGGGGGGGGCGCGTTGTGCCTGATTATGGAGGGAATATAAAGAGATACAAGACAGAGGCTTGTACTAACAGGCTCTGGGACATGAGACAGATACATGTCAAGAGGGTAACAATGTTGGGTGGTAAATAATACACAGAAAAGAACTATATGGATAAGAAATAAGATAGGAATTGAGAGGCAAGTAACTAAAAAGAACAACAAAAAAATGCCCAAAAAGGATCAGATAAAGCACACGAATGTGAAGACATTTTCTGGTTAAAAATCACTCTGGAATTTAGCATGCACAGTGATTACTACAACAGACTCACTCACCTTCTCCCTTAAATATGAAGCTACGCCTCCCTCTTATCCAGCTCATGTTCTCAAATCCCAGCAACGTGATATCGACACGCAGTTTGGCACCGCTTTTCCAAATGCGGCAGACATCATTTGGGCATATTCTAGAAACCAAGGGCACTGAAGAAGAGAAGCACACTCTTGAGAAAAACCTGAGGGCTGAGCAGAACACCCAGGCCCAGAATCAGGATTCCGACTTTAATGAAAGGATGGGAGTAGCAAGATGGTGGCCGTCATATAGAACTGGACTTGGCTGCCTTGCTTTGATATAGGAAGTCACTCTATAGCTCTTTATGAAAGTGAAGATCTACGTCTTGTCCAGAGAAGGCTCTAAATGAATTTGCAATCACAAAATGAGCCTCTGTCACTGACTGCCACCACAGCTGGAGTGTGTCCATCTGGCCTTTCCGGTTACACAGGCAACTCTTGCCATATGGCTGTGACCTACCATATCGTCATAGCCACCATTCGAAATATCAGATGTCTAATGTGCTGCTTTTTAACAAAACCTGAAATCAGAGTGATTATTTGCAGTAGAAAAAATTCATTTCATAGAAGAATCTGAAGTTCTCTTGTTTTATATACTTTTTACTTATTTCAGTGTTTCATGACAAATAGGAGTTCTTGCTTGAAAGGGAAGTCTCAAAGTGAAAATGGCTGAAAACTGGGAATTAGGAACTGTCATGAACTGAACTACAAGAAAAAACGTAGAACATCTATGAAAATGACTGTCAGTCAATTTGCCTTACATAAGATTTTGGAGCAATACATTCATTTTGTAAAATAACAAGCTATTCCAATATTCATCTCACTTCTTCCTTGGAATAACAAGTTTAAAAGAATCAAGCTGAAACACATAAAGAAATGAATAAATTATGGTAAATCTTACTAAAATATTAGCCTTTTAAGAACTAATGATACAGAAAAATGTCAGCCTGAAATGAGAAAAGAGACAAAGTCGTCTGTATGTTATCTTTACGGATGCCTGGGGGAAAGGGTCCTGTGTGTGGGGCAAAGACTAGAAGGAAAACAAAGCATTGACCACGGCTGTGCTTTAGTGGGGTTATAGGTGACTATTTTTCCTTATTTTTATCTATGCATCTTCTAGATTAAAAAAGAAAATACAAGTAACTTTTATAAAGGAAAAAAATGAATGTACATTCAGGCCAAATAAATTTGGAAACAGAAATAAATTACAAGCCCACAGCCACTCACCCCAGCTGGTGAATTCCCATTTCATCTGCACATAAAAATCCGGAGTCTGAAGGACAAAGGTTTAAAAGAAATTACCCTTGGCACTATCAACTAAACACAAACACAGTAAGGGGTAATAGGGCTTTTTAAGGGGTTGGGGGGAGAAGAGAGAAAATAAGAATACAAGTTGCAAAACCATCAAAATAAATGCTTATTTTATATGCAGGCAGTGATTTCCTCTTGATATAAAGTGTCTAGACAGTTAATAAAGTTAACTGAAAGCAATACGGTTGGAGGGGGATGAAAGTCAAATCTGATTTAGGGGCTCGGTCAGGGTCATAACAGCCCCAGAAAGAGGAGCCTAGGAGGACGGGCTTAAGTTCAGCCAGGCACCGCGCCTAACACGCTGCTCCAAGCAGAAAGGAGCGTCAATTCCATCTACTACACGGGGAACTTGAGCGTAAAAGGCTTTGTGTTCTGGAAAAGCACTTCGTGTTTACTGGACCACTCTGTGAAACGAAAAAGAGGCAGCTAGACAGCACTTCCCCAGGAAGCTGGTATTTTCCTCCAGTGAACAAAAGACGTGTGCCCCTACTTTACTCTTAAACTTTTAGATTTTGGCTTTCTGACGCCTGACACCACCACAGCAGTGCCGTGTGAGATGATTTTCTGACCTACTATGAATTCTTAAAGAAGGTTCTTGGAAAGCTACTTATTTTAAGTACCATCCTACTTAATTTCAACAATTATTATCCAAGAAGAGAAATGCTAGATATTCCAAGAGTTTTCCTGTTCCCTCCCACCTCCAAGGTCTTGCCGTGGTTTTCACAGAAACACAAGGCAGGAAGACCAAGAATCTACCCTAGTTTTAAATGATGGGTGACGACGCTGTCCAAAGGCAGCGGATGAGAAAGGGGCGCACGTTGTGAGACAACGTCGACAACAGCCTCTGGTGCTAATGAGCACACAGGTCATTTATGGGCGGCCTGTAACTCCAAGCAGAGAATACAGTTCAATGCAGCTCACTGTTATAGATCAATATAAGCAAAAAAAAAAAAAAACCAAAAAAAAAAAAACCCCAAAACAAACAAACAAAAACAAGAGAGAGAGAGATAAAATCCTTTACGCTGAATTTTTAAAATGAGGAGTGACTCCACATTAAATAAGTCATTTTCTGTTTTGTCAAATGGACAAATGATGTTTTTAGTTCCTCCTATAGTAATTAGATAAGAGAACTATAAATCCATGTGATTGTTGTAAACTCACACATACACCTATTTTAAAAACACTGCATAAAACTATTTCATATGTCATAGAAGGCTTCCTTGCAGTACATAGAAAATTAGCATCTTTGGCAGGGTTTAGTTTGCACATCACAGAAGTATTTTTTCAAAGAGTGTCAGATAATGAGCAGCAATTTGCCTAACTTCTAGCAAAGTTGTTCCTTTTCTTAACAGACCTGTTCATTTTTCTCAAGAAATTTGTTCTGATTAACGTGGTAAAGCTGATTAATGAACGAATATCTTTGGAGGTATTTTGGGAAGCTCACTTCTGTGCTTAAATTGAGAATAAATGAGGTGAAAGTGGAACCACTGGTACGTTCTTGTCTCCTGCTGCCCTGGGAATATTACACCTGGTTGACTGGTAAGATGGTTTTGTAGGCAACAAAAACTATCTGAAGAATGGCAACCATCAGCCAAACTGATCCAGGAGCCTAGAGTCGCAGAGCCCATATACTTTAATTCACAAGACAGGTAAACCTCCCAAAAGCCAAAACATGTACATAAAATAAGGCAGAGGATTACAAGTCGCAAAATACTAATGGCTAGAAGTGACAAGAGTGACAAGGAGAAGGTGCACCTAGACCTCTGTACCTCAACAGGCCCTGAAAACCCATGTCTGTTCACTGATGGCCAACATAACCTCCCCAAGGTGACCTCTGTTTGGGGTGCTACTCTGAAGAAATCAGGCACCTAGACAAATTAATTATTTGATGTCCATTTGTCTTAGTTCTAATTTTTAAATAGCATTTAAAAGGGTAACGCTAGCGACTTAGAAACATAACTTGTGGAGGACCTCATACATTTAACAAGCTGGAAAGCAAGAAATAATGCTGCTTAGTATTCTATACATTGTATTCATGATTCATAAAACTCTTCAGGAAAGCACACAAGAATGCCAAACTGTCTCTAGCTGTCGTAGCAGCATGTAACGCAAAGGATGGCAATGCCATGTTTTCACGAGTACCTCCAGAATCTTTTGGAGCAGCTCAGGAACTGCCTCGAGGGCTGTAGACGTGTGGTGGAAGTCTCGGTGCTGAAGGACCGTGTGCACCATCTCGGGGTCCCCAGTGCTCACAGCCTCGTGTAAAACTGGGAAACAGAAAGGTGGAGTGTAATCACCCAGGATTCTCACACTTGGGAGCAAATTTCAAAGCCGGTCCAAAAAATATCTATAGAGATCTAAGACCAACACTTTCTCCCTGGAGGGAGAGAGGCTGCAGTCCTGTGTTACCATGCATGACCGTGACTCCTTATCGATAGCTCTTTAAAAAAATTATTTATTTCTATGGAGAGGGGAAGGGAGGAAGAGAGGGAGAGAAACAGATGTCGATCAGTTGCCTCTTGTATGCCCCCAGCCAGGGACTTGGCCCGCAACTCAGGCACGTGCCCTGACCAGGAATTGAACCGGCGGCATTTTGATTCGCAAGCTCGTGCTCAATCCACTGAGGGCTTACTGCTAGCTCTTAAATAGATAAAAAGAGAAGAATACAGTACTCTCAGCCTCTTTATCACACCCTTTCATCCTCCTCTCATCCCCCTTTCTTACCATTGGTCATGAAACCCTGACAATGTCTTCAGAGAGCTGGCTTTAACAATGTGATCCCCAATTGTGGTTACATGTAGATCTGGCAGGCAAGGCTCATACTTGTATGTATCCTGACTCAGTCAACACAAAACTGCCCTAATAGTAAGAGAACTTGCAAAAAAAAAAAAAAAGGGGGAAATGCCAGGATTTCACTGGAAAAGGCCACTTCTAGCCATAATTTCCTTTTGATTTTGCGTATCCTGATGGAGTCATTGTAGTTACCATCACATAGCTCAGAGAAACCTGGCCTCCACAGTTGTGTCTGGTGGAAAGGGTTTGCACTGAGAGCTGCTTTCTAGATGAGGAGTAGTCGCTTTCTACCCAGGGCTTTTGGCCCAGGACACAATCCAGGCCATTGTGCTGCTGCAGATTGGCCAGCAGCATCCGAGACTCTCATCTCCTCGCCCCAGCCCCTAGTGCCAAGAAAGAAAGAGTCTTAAGATAAAGATGACTCTGAGGACAATGATGATTGAGACTGGCCTTTATTTGGAAAGAAAAACTAAAATGAAAGGCTTTAAAAGATTTTAAGCCCTGGCCAGGTACTTCAGTTGGAGCATCATCCCGATACACCAGCGTGGCAGGTCCGATCCCCAATCACGGCACAAACAAGAATCGACCAATGAATGTGTCAGTGGCACAACAAATTGATTCTCTCGCTCCCTCCCTCCCTCTCTGTCTTCCTCCCTCCCTAAATAAATAAGTAAATGATTTTAAAAGCATACTTGCCTGTCCATCCCTCGCGATTTTCTTTGGTAACATCTGCTTTATGTCGGAGCAAGACTCTAGCTGATTCTAAATGTCCCAAAGAAACAGCAAGATGCAGTAAGGTTCGACCTCGTGGATCCACAGCCTCCACATTCTGTAAAGTAAACACTGGCATTTATATAATTGGATATAGTATATAAAAATGTGGCAATGTGTTTGAGAGAGAATCTAAGTATAAAAACAGAAAACAGTATTTACCCATTAATTACAGCAACATATGGAAAAATGAATGCTTGCATGTGGGCATGGTTGAAGCAGAATTTGGAGGCTATAAGTAAAGATGGTAGTTACTGAGTTCTTTTTTTCTATAGAGTTAAATGCCTAATAAATAAATACTGGCTCTAGGCCTCAGATCATTGACAACCACACTTAAACTAACTCTAAATAAGGCTTTCATGACATACAACCACCCTGTGACATGAAACAGGGGATCTCTTAAGCACATATCAGCATTCAAGTGTAGAACAGGAAGTATAGATCTTTAATCAAAACAAAGTATGGGAAGATAATTTGGGTCAGAATAAAACACCACTCTCATTCCTATGTATTGAGCTCAAGTGGCCTGAAGTAGCTACATCCATGGGCCCTTACAGACAATGAGCATGATCTGCCAGGCATGTATGTGGATATATTTATAGATAAATGTAAGAACACACACACACAATCAGTCCATTTCCCCTCAAGGGCTTTCTTCCAGGTGCTAGACATGCCCATTTAGCCTTTCCTCTTTGTTCCTATCCTGGCCCTCCTTCCAGCACCTGCCCTGGGTCTCCAGAGCCAAGTGCCCGTTTCTCTGGTGTGAGCTCACTCTGATAGCTGGGCTCTGCCTTCCAAAGACGGCTCTGAACTTTCTTCCAAGGACACAATACACTGCCATGGGACTTTCGGAATATAAAAATTTAAAGTGCCATAATACTTCCTAGAACATGTGCTTTGTCTTGATTTGAGATGCTAGTTTTTGTACATGAATCGACTGCAGCCTCCAAAGATATCCAGAACATTCTACTTATTGGCTGCAGGGAAGGAAGGTAAGCAGCACGATGGGTAAAAATAAACTGCTATGCCCTGACCAGTGTGGCTCAGTTGCCTGGACATAGTCCCGCAAAACAAAAGGTGCCGGATTGATTCCCAGTCAAGGTACAAGCCTGGGTCGTGGGCCAGATCCCCGGTTGTGGGTGTGCAAGAGGCACCCGATCCATGTTTCTCTCACACGTGGATGTTTCTCTGTATCTCCCTCCCTTAGCCTCTCTCTAAAAATAAATAAATATATTTTTAAAAAGAATTCCATTAAAAAAAAAAAAGGAATGAAGTAACTGATACATGCCACTACGTGGATGAACCTCAAAAACATCATGGTAAATTAAAGAAGCCAGACACAAAAGGCCACATGCTGTACAATTCGATTTATATGTGATGTCCAGAATAGGCAACTCTAGAAATAGCAAGTAGCTTAGCGGTTGTCTAGGGCCGAAGGGGTTGAGGGAAATGGGGAGTGATTAAGGAGTATGGAGTTTCTTTTTGGGGCGATGAAAATGTTCTGGAATTTGATAGTGGTGATGGTTGCACAACTCAATGAATATACTTAAAACCACTGAGTAATATACTGTGATGGGTGAACTGCATGGCAAGTGAATTATATCTCAATAAAGATACTTAAAAATCAATGTATGTGTTTTCTGTAGTACATAAAACTGATGCATCATCTATATAGTGTTTGATGAGTTGCTTAATTTCTCCTGAGATTCAGTTTGCTCTCTTGTAAAATGAGAGCAATAAAAAACAAGTTCTTCCAAGGGCCAAGACACAATGCCTAACCATTGTGAGCACTAAGGAGAGTTAACTCTTATTATCATACACCCACACTATGCACTTTCACATAAGCTGTCACTTTCTTCCTAAAAGAGATTTGTTCAAATTTCATTACAGTTGATAGTGAGGCTTAGGGTCTTCAATGGATTACATTAGTTCAGTGAGCAAGAGTTTTCAGAATTTCATTGGAACTCACTTTGGAAGCTTATCGTTTTTTCTTTAAGTTTCTTCAGTCCTCAGTGTACCAAAGTAAAAATACCCACCCCTTTTAACTATAATAGTGCTCCCTGAAAAAAGAAAAGGAATGAGATTTCTGCACACCTTCTTCCCATTTGTTCATTGAAGCCCACTAACGTTTCTTGCTCGAAGACTCCTTTACCATCCCACCATCCCCGGAGGCAGTAAAAGGCCGAGTTTTGCGTGCAGGCCCACTTCTGGGCCCCTCCCTCGCCTTGGGTGCAGGGCTCACCCCTTCTGGGCCCAGGCACCAGCGTGAAGTAAGTGCTTTATGAACCATCACTGTTACCTTAATGAGTTCCCTGACTCCAAGTTGGGGGAAAGGTATCCGCAGGCCTAGTGCCCGAAGGTGAGCCTGAGTCCCTGGGGCCCGAGGGGGAGCCCCAGAGAGGGGGCTCTAGACTCTTTACCTTGGCTGCCCAGCCCCTGGCTCACAGAAGGCCTCCAGCCAGCAGGCACTGCCTTGAATCCCTTGCCACAGGCTGGGGAGAGCACCCCAGGGTGGTTCCCTGCCAGGCTCCGAGTACTGCTGCCGCCTCGACCACTCCCTTCCCCTTGCCTGAATTTTGCATTTCACCTGCTGGCACCTCGCCGGGGGGCTAGCGCGAGAGTCAGGCCTCATCTGCCACCCTCTACCCCACCTGGTCCCAGGGCTTCCCCTCCCATCTCAGGTGCACTGATTGACCTCTGTGTCTGTCCCCTCTCACTTGTTCATTCTCCCAGCATTGGTAAGAAGGCCAAAGATGTTTCACAGGCCTCTCTGGCTAAATGACAAACGATATAGCCGTAACACAAATCATTTCAACTGCACCAACCAACTTCAAGGCCCCAGTGAATATTAAAGACAGTAAATCTGACAGGTTAAGAGGCACTTAATAAAGTGCCTCTTCTGAGCAAATGTTGACAGCCTGAAACAATCTCATAGTTGACAAAGTGAGTTACCAAATAGCCAACTCCAGCTATTGGTAAGATGGTGGGTTGGGGAGCTGACTCCCACACACTCGGAAGCACATACTTGTCAGCTTCATCTGAAAAAAGCCGGTTCTTTCTGTGCTGCTGTTGCTAGGACAGAATAAAATTCTTACAGCTACCAGCGTGCCTGCTTCAAGCCTCACTCGCGGAATGGAAGGAATGAAGGAATGGATAGCAGAAACTTACTGGCAAAAAAACCCCACAAAACATTAAGTGAAACAGCTGGTTTTATGGCTGGGGTAGTAGGAACTTTTTGTTTTTAATCATGCAACCAATATGTGTTCCTTTGTAGAAAAACTGGGACATACAGAAAAGCAGCTAAATATCGAGGACGATCAGCAGAACAGCAGCAACTGTGGCAAATGGTACTGTGCCCATTTACTACGTGCCTGTGTTTTCAGGTGGGTTCACTGCCTTCTTTTCCACAATCCTGAAATGCAGGTCAAAGAAGAGTAGTGGGAGGGTTAAGAATACAGGATTAGGGTGGAGTCCAACTTTCTGGGTTCACATCCTGGTTCAGCCACTGGCTAGGCGCACAGTGGACTCTCTCCACCTCAGCTTCCTAATCTATAAGCTGGGAATCAAAGCATTCCCCACCCCAGGGGATTGGAGTGAGAGTCGCATCTAAAACTGCACATAAAACATTTCAGCACAGCACCTGGCAAAACAGTAAGCTTTCCGTGTTACTTGACCAGTTTTTTCAGGTGCTAAAACAATTCAGCGAGCATAAATAACATACCCATTCTCACAACTTAATCAGCATTATTACTGGCCATTAACTCAACTGCCTCCAAGTCACAGAAGTAGGCAGAGCAGGCAGCTGTCTCATAATCAACAAAGGATCTAATAAATATGAAAGCGACAAAATATTTCCTGCCTCATGTTTTAATGATATCAATGATCAAATTCTTGGCCCTGAACCAGTCACATAATTTGCAGGGTCCAGTGAAAAATAAAAACACAGGGCCCCTTATTCAAAAATAATTATGAATTTCAGAACAGTAACAGCAGAACGTTAAACCAATCGCAAGCCCCTTCTGAGCACAAAGCACCACACCCTTGAACCCTGCCCATCCCCACCCCTTCAAATAGCCCACTTTCAGGATTGAAATCGGATTGCGTGGTCATGAGTCAAGCTTCCACACAATCAAGATTTTCTTTATGAATTCATTTTAATTATTTCTTCCCCAAAAGGGAACAGGTACAATGGAAATGATCTCCAGTGATAACCAATAACAAAGTCAAAACCAAATAACTGGCAAGTATGAACAGTCTTCCTGGACAATGGAACTCATGAAGGACCAACTCCAGGAAAATCTGCTGCAAAATAATAATTTTCCAGTCATAAGCGTCCTTAACATTTTTTGAGTTAAGAGGCACAGAGAGCTTTCAATGAACACTTTTATCACAGCTTGCAAGAAAAAGAGATAGTTCAACCAAGCCACATTTTTAGATTTTTAAACCAAGGCTTTGTTCTTGACAAAAAAGTTTTCATATCAAAACAAACTGAAGCTTATTTAAGCTCTTTTCTTCATCTCCAATGACTAGAAAGTGGGCTGTTTTCAGAAATTAGTATTGAAAGAGTGCGGTTATATCATGATGGTGAAACGCTCTATCAACTGGGATGTTAGTTCTGTGACTTTGTAGTTTATCTCGCTCTTTCATAAGAAGCTGGACGCCCCGATATTGAGGAAGTGCAGATGTAAAACACAGCCGATCTAAAAACCAGACCTGTCCAGTCATTTTTAAAGTGTTCAAGGTGAGACTCACAGTTAAGAGCAAAATGATACAGGCCTCCCTCCACAACAGAAATGGAATTAAACCATCAGGTATACCAGGATGACTTACGGTGAATCATTTACTCTGGGGGCCTGATATAATTAAGACCTATGACTTATAAAAACTTTATTCTCCTTGGATGGAGAATTTAAATGAAAAAAGTGACTTTTTACTTTTAGTGGGTGTTGAATAGATTTCAAAGAAACAGGGCAGGGCGCAAGCACAGGCTTAGCAGTAACTGATCCTCAAACAAGGTGATGCTGACTTTGTTCAATTTTCACCAACCGAAAGACAATCAACAGTCCTTTCATCTAAATTTCCTTAACAATTGTAGTGTCAATTTTGACCTATTAAAAAACACAGGACACTTTAGCACGCTGGATAAAATAAAATCAACAAGAACGATCCCATCAAATCACTATAAATACTTATTCTAACTATTAAGTTCATAAGTTAGTAATTTGAAGGCACCAATAACTCCCAGAGTTGAGATGCCTTTAAAGTAGGACTTCTCAAGCAAAACACTGACATTTTGGGCCACATAATTCTTGTTTGCAGGGGACGGCGCTGGAGTTGGGGGGGGGGTGCTATCTTGTGCCCTGTAGGATGCTGAACAGCATCCCTGGCCTGCACCACGAGATCCCAGTAAGCACCCACTCCCGCCTTGTAACAACTGAAAATGTCTACATGCATTACCATTCGGAGGGATGGAGGGACGTGGAGTCAAAATCACCTCCAACTGAGAACCACTGCTTTAAAGAGAGAGCAACAAATAAAAGGAATCGATGTGCTTTAGAACAGGAAGGGATTTTAAGGAGCCTGGGCACCAGTGATTCTCAAACTTTGGTATGCATGTCTTTCTGAGCCAGAGAGGAAAAATGCCTTGCCAAAGTTCACAGGGTTCACGGGGCGAGTTAGAACCTGGACTACAAACCCAACCAAGCCCTTCCTACAAAAAGGGTGGGTGGGATAAGGGGCGTGTGTTGTTCTTCTGTCTTTGGGATGGGCAGTAGAGCCTAACTGGGTAAAACCGTGCGCTCAGGAACAAGCCGGCCACAGTTAAAATCCCGACTTGGTATTCAATAGGTGGGCGACCATGCGCAAGGCACATAGCCTCTGAGAGCCTGTTCCCTTTTCCATCGAAAGTAGCAATAACAGTACCTACCCCCTAGGGTTGTTGCAGAGTCAAAGAGTTAATGCAATAAAACCCTCAGCACAGGGCCTGGAACAGCAAAAGCTCAATCCGTGTCCTGTTATTATTACTGCCCCACCACTGAAGAACAGTAGGGGTCTGCGTAGCCCCGACCGTAGAGGGCTGGAGAGGGGCTCAGGGAGGCCAGAGGACCTCGGATTTCCCCCTCCTTCCCTCACCGGGGGCGGACCCACGCCCCGCCCCTCACCTGGCCCCGCAGCTCCTTCTCCAGCTGCCGATAATCGTTGTTCCAGACTAGGAGGTGCAACGGGAAGTGGGCGCTGATGTCACGGGCCGAGGACATGGCGAGGAGGCCGCAGCCGGGCCCTCACCGCCCGCTTGCCAAGCCTCAGCCCCCGCGGGGTCTCCGGCGCCCGCCCGGCGGCCGGCGAGCGAGCGAGAGGCGAGCGAGTGAGGGGCGCGATACGCAGCCCAGCGGCCTAGTGGGACAGGTGTGGGGCGGCCTGGAGGTCCGGGTCGGGTCGGGGACCCGGTCGACCGCGCCCACCCCGCGCCCCGCCGCTTTGCCGCCCGCGCTGACAGCTCCCGAACCGACTTCTGGGGACCGAACTGCCCCAAACGGGGAAGTGCCGGGAGCGAACCACCTCACGCCACGGCGGGGGGGAGGCGAGACCAGCCACCCGGCGAGGGGTCCACCCAATTCCAGCCATCTCCAAGTCCACGCCGGGAGACACGATATAATCCCTCAAAATTTTTAAAATTCTCTCCCTTAGCCCAGGATCTGGACTTGGAAAACTCTATCTACCCGTCTCCAACCTCTTTCCCCTTCTTCAGACTCTTTCCCCTTCTCCAGCAACCTCATATGGTTCAGTCCACAACTGGGCTACTTCCAACGACTCTGCGGCCAAGGGGTGACAACAGGGCCCTGGGTCAAACCATTCCAGCTATTGACTCCCTTGCAGCCTTTTTGGACGTGGGCAGATGCTTCCGTGATTGGTCAGAAGCCACTTTGGAAGTGGGCAACACCAAACAGTTTTGAAGGGGAAACTATAAGCCCTGGGGAAGTGCCATTAAATATTTGCAACATATGGAGATAGTTCTCTCTCATGGTTTCTCAAGAGAGGGCATTTTTGAACCAGAAAATTCTTTCTGTAAGGGTTGGCTTGTGTTTGTAGGATGTTGAGCAGCATCCCTGGCCTTTCTACCCACTGGATGTCAGTAGCCAGAAAAATCTCCAGACATTGCCAATTGTCCCCTGGAAGAGGAAAGTTACCCACAGTCATAAACCACTGGACTATCTGAACTCCAAACTAGGCTATGATTCAGTTTACTATGGTGGTGGTTTATTCCACATATGAGTGCCATTCCTTCATGAAGCTAACTGAATGTTGGGTTATGGCTGAAAAAATTAATAGGTAATACCCAGATTTGACCACAGTCTTCAAATATAAAGGTCATTTTTTGAGTTTCAACCTATGACACTATGGCTCCTTGATTCAATGGAGAATCAAGTCAATTTACAGCTACTGCACAGCCTGAGCTTTCTGCACAGCTGTCTACAACTAGACCACATAGCTGGGTGAAGTTATTTAATGCATCCAGAAAGCTTACCCTCAGCCCTCCCTGCTTGTGCACATCCAGCTTTTCAGATGCCTACAACAACAGCTGTTCAAGAATCCTGGCCTAATCCATTCTCTACACGTGTTGAGTCCAGAAGATTTGTGAGTCTACCATCCAAGACAGGATGCAGGAGCATCATGATAGTACCCAGAGGCTCTAACTGTGGAATAATGGGAATTATGTGGTTATACCCACACCATGCACTTACCAAAATGGAGAGATGGACCAAAGACCAGAGCTTCTGAGACCTCTTTCAGGACTTCCTATCCTTTTAGAAACCTTGTGCAACTTAATCTTCTTTCTCATCTTCATCCCATGTTTATTGAACATTTTTCTTATTCACTAGTTGGAAAACTCCACAGTGGCTGCTTGCCAGAGTACCTAAAGTCAAAACGGTGCCTGGCCCATGAGAGGTGTCCAAATATTTGCTGAATGGAGCTCATAGTTATGTTTATACATGAGGAATGAGTGAGGACAACAAGATCAAGTCAGTAATGCCAATCTGACTTAAAATGGAGTCTCTATAGTCAAGTTGACAAAACTGGTCCAGACGAAATGGACCAAAGCATGTGGAATAGAATATTTTAACAAGCTTGAGCTTGAGGACTTAAAATTTTGAACTTTTCAGTTATGCGCCAATGCCTATGGATAGAAATTCCTATAGTTAATCCTCTAAAGGACTTAGGAAAGAATGAAGAACTTAAGACCGTTGAATAAATCTTTGTCATTTACTTGTAGTCAAAGCCTCCCTGACTCTTTTGTGCTCAGTTGACATATATAACAAACACAATAAATATTCATAAGCATTACAGCCACTTTTCTTCTTCAGATTGGTTAAATTCATCTTATTGTGTTTAGCTCACAGCATCCTGTAAATTAGTCTAGGCTATCTATTTTATTAAAAAAAAACACAAACCTGTGATTAGAAAATAATAGTAATAACAAATACCAATAATAATAGGAGCGACTATTATTGGGGGCATACTAAGGGATAGGCACACCACACTTTTCTGTAAATTATGCCATTTCTCCTTAGCTAAATAGTAAATATTTAGTTTTGCAGGTCTCATGTGTGTTTTGTTGAATATTCTTCTTCCTCTTCCTCTATTTCTTCTTTTCCACACTTTAGAAGTATAAAAATCATTCTTAGGTAGCAGTCCATACAAAAGCAAGTCGAGACTTAGAGGTAGATAATACATTACCTCCATTTTGCAGAGGAGACTAAAACTGCAGTCTAAAGACAGCTAACAAAATCTTATTTTACTTAATTTATTGTAGGTCCACTGCAGTAGAATGTAAGATCCATAAAGACAGGTTATTTTGTCTTCTTTGCTCATTACTGTTTCTTCACTGCATGGAACAGTGCGTGGAACATAGTAGGTGCTCAATAAATATTTGTTGAGTAATGTAATGAATAAATGAATGAACTTAGCCAAGGTTATTACTCGCAACTTGACTATTGTCTCAGTATCATTGTGGGTGCAGAAATCTGGTCACTAGATTTTGCTGCCTTCTCTAGTATTAATCAGTGGGACGAAGCGACTCTCTTCCATGGAGAGAGATCCAAATTCAAGATTCATAAGCAGGACATAAGATGCTAGGGTACATAGCTGCCCTCACTCAAGATGGCGACAAGGCAACGTGCCCTTTCCGGTCACATGACGGCCCGACGCCAAAGGGCCCCTCCCCACGCGTGCGTGTTGCGCCGCAGCTGCGAGGCGCTGAGGGGAGAGGCTCCTCCGCCAGCGCCGCGGTGGGGACCCGTTAGAGCGGAAGCGCTACAGCCGCCGCCACCTCTTTCGCTGTCCCGGCGCCTCAGGTACCCGGCAAGTAGGAGGCGGGAGCCATGTCGAAGAGGCTCCGGAGCAGCGAGGTGTGCGCTGACTGCAGCGTGCCGGGTGAGTGCCACCGGCCGGGCGCGCTCCCCTCTGCGCTCCTGACTGGGACCCTTGCCCCGGGGCCGCCCCCACGAGTCAGGCGGCGCCCGTCGGCCGAGCCCCACACTCCGTGGCCGGGGTCGCGACTAGGAGGAACGGGGACAGTCTTGGGGCGGGAGCCGTCCCAGGCCTGTCAGAGCCGGGCGGGCAGGGAGCCGCCGCCCTCCCTTTCCTCTCGTCCGTCTCGTCCCTTCTGTCCCAGGCCTTGCGGAAAGAGGGCGGTCTCGGGGCCGGGGCGCTTCTTCAACAGGAAGGGGCTTGGGCAATGCACAGGAAGGCCAATTACAGAAGTAAAATGCGAGCGTCCTCCCAGCTGCGGCCCCCAGAGGCTGCAGGTGTCACCTCCTCGTTCCCCGTTACCCCCAGCCAACCCAGAGCCCCGCCGCTCGGCCAGGGAACCCTGTCCGGGGTGGGCGACCGTCTCCGCTTCCCTCCACCGAGGCTAGCCCGCGGACCCATAGATGGTTCCCCGCTCCTGACATTTGGGCTCCCCCTCCGCTGGAGAGAACCTCCAGGATGCCGGGGGCCTGGAACGCGAACCGGGCACTTAGGAGTCAATGCGTATCTCAAGTTGTGGCATTCGAACAGCCTGAGTTCAAACTAGATTTTGCCTCTGGGTGACCTTGGGCTGGTGACTTCGTTCGGCTGAGACTTGATTTCCTCATTTTTCCGATGGGGATAATCAGGAGTACCACTATCAATGGCTAGGAAGAGTCAATGAATACTCTTAGGGTCATCTCATTTAACTTTTTTCCCCTCTCTGTATTGTATTCTTTAGTCCAAAACTTTTGTAGCCCTTGAAAGCTCGAGTTGAATTTCTAAATCGTACATTAATTGTAATTTACAAAACGAACACAAAGTCACTGTGCATTCAGGCAGTATAGGCATTTGGGGGCGTCGAAAAGCCAAAACCATACCTCCCATGTATGATTTTCAGATTCAGAGCTCAGATCCATTTTAGCAATTGGAAATGAATTGACAGGTCTCTTTGATGTTTTCGGTGCTTGGATTTATCTGCTTTCAATGGGAAGTAGTTCAAAGGTAAGATGGCTTCCTTGGCACAAAAGCGTCCAATAAACAATCTTAATGAAATCCCTGAGCAGCAGTGTTTTTGCAACAGTTCTGGGCTTCATCTTGAGAGAGAGGAGTGGAGATCGATTTTAAACAGTACTGTGATAACTCTAACCTTATGTGGTTATTTCATGGCCTGTGTAGTGCCAGTGATGTTAACCAATTTTCTTTGAAGATAGGGAGGGGGTGGAGGAGTTTAAAAAGAGGTGTTTTATAAACCAAGTTAGTGTGGGTTATACAGCTCCATTGTATTCTCTAAAAACGTTATTTGTTCCACTTCCTTATTTTCTTGCTTGTTCTCAGTGAGCTGTCTGTGAATGCGTTCAATTCACATGAGTCTAGAATCAGACTTCCTCTTGGAACGCATATTCTCTGGTTCTCAATAGATGACATGGGGCAAAGGAAAACTTTGGCTCCATTGCCACCCTAAATACTACCTTGCACTTCTGCAGCATTGTGTGCATTTCAGAACATTTTTCTCTCCCATTGTATCATTTTAGTTGTCTTATATGCCAAATCTACAGAAACTTGAGTCACTTCCTTCCTGTTTTGAATATAATCAGGTTACCTTGAAAAGTTCTGTGAACTTGAGCAGCCAGGAATTTGTGCTGGGTTTTTTTTTGTTGTTGTTGTTTTTTAAATTACAAAACGCTGGTGAAAGAGTTACCTTCATGGTTAGGGATCTCTTTGAGATTGTGATAAATGCTAAGATCTTTTTCCCAGAAGATGCATGCATACTTATTCTTTCATACAGTATTTATGTTAAGATTCCTCAGCAGGTCACAGACATTTCTGAAGCCTATTTTGTGTGTTCCTAGAGCCCAGGTTGAGTAGCTCTGGCATTAAGCTTCAGATACACTGGAAGGGGTTCATGCAATATCATTCATACAAACTCGATTTTACTGCGTTAAAATTCTAATACTCCATGGGATTCTGATCCATGATGTGAAAATGATTAATTCAGAACCTTGCTTAACGTGTGTTAAGTCCTTGTTGTCTTGTTCAAGTCTAATTTCCTCCAAGAATATTGTGAATCTGCTGAATAGATATGTGAAAACCAAAGCTATGATTCAAAAAGTTTCTTGTTTTGGTCACCAGAAGTGGTACTGTACTGCAAAAAGCAATGCTATCTATCTTGGTAGGAATCCTTCATCTTGATGTTTCCAAGCTTTGCTTTTTAGAATGGCATAATAGTACTGAATAATTTGTTTCTGTGCTGTTCCATGGCAAACATTTAACCATGATCACATCTTAGTAAATATTTTATTTTTTTCAATGAATCTAGTTCATTTTAAATATATTCTACTTGAATTTAACTGAGACTTTATTATAGTAATACAGTATTCACATGAAACATTCAACATTTTAAGTATTAAACATCAAAAACTTTTTCCAGTGGTCATGAGTTTCAGTATAGGCTCTTGAAAATATCTGAATGGTACTTAGGAAATAATTTAGAAAAGTTATAATAGTTAACATTACTGATCACTTACTATATGCAAGCAACTTCATTTACTTTTTATGGCCTCACTATCCTGAGATGTGTTATTATTCCCATCTGATATGTGGTGAGGGTGCTCAAAAGAGAAAGAAAGGACGGAAGAAAGAAAGAAAGAAACTTGTACCGATCATTGTGTGAAAAGTGGGAGAGTTGGGGTTCAAACCCTGGACGGCTTGTTGCCAGAGCCAGTCCTCTTAACCACCACACTCTCTGACTCCTAGGATTTGTCTTTGACTGAAATCCCATAACTTTTAATTATATGGTTGGAAAGGGTTTGAATAAACTGTTAAAAATGGTAAAGATGGTATACATGCATTTTAGAGATTTTTGTGGACATTGGAGAATTTTTAAATATAACCCTTAGACCAGGCAGCTTGAGTGGCACCTATTGTCCCTGTATTGTGAGTCTGATGAAATGTAGGTCTGTGTTTTTGTTTGTTTTTATTTCTCAGTACTCAGTTTACTTAAGCTAGTGTGAATTATTCTTACCGCTTATCAGTGTGAATTATACCTGTTTCAAGAGATGTCCAATGACGTTCTGCGGGACTTCATAGGAAAAAAGTAAAACACCAAAAGCATTACTTGTTTTTATATTATACCTTTGCTTCCGTGAAGCTGCTGTTCTTTCAGGTCAGTTGCAAGATTAGACTCAGTAGTTTATTTAAAACAACTAATGGATATCCTGACATCTCCCTAGTGGGGGAGGCCAGGTTTCCCAGTTTGTCCTCAGAACCGCAACAGCTGAGCAGTTTTATAGTTTTGCCACTCGCAGCTTTCCACTAAGCAGATGGGCATATAGATTTGTAGCAGTCTTTTCACCATTTTCTTCTGCTAACGCTATGTGGATCATTCACTGTCACAATGATAGTATCTTGCCGTCTGTGGAGATGGATATAAATGATGCATCTGTATCCTCTCAATTGCTTCTCATGTTGAATGAAAGAGCATGTATCTGAGAAAATAGATCCCATTACAACTTTAGACTGTGGCCCTGAACCAGAAAGGAGATAACTACTCATATAGGACTTCAACTCACGTTTTCAGTCTCAATTAACATTGTACACAATCAACCAAGATAGGTGGTATCATCAGAAAAGGTCACCAGCTTGATATTTTGGTCAGCATACTAAAACAATAAAAATGTCTTGTTTTTCTGAAAAAACATACCTCAGTCATCTTTTGCCATCTGGCAGTAAAGCAACAACTGGTATCCTCGCCACTGAGATTTGTTTTCCCCCCAGATCCATCCTGGGCATCAGTAAATCGGGGAACTTTCATATGCGACGAGTGCTGCAGTGTCCATCGGAGTCTAGGACGCCATATCTCACAAGTAAGGCATCTTAAACACACACCGTGGCCTCCAACCTTGCTTCAGGTAAAGGAAGAATTCTTCTCATGGTTTGTAATTTGTTTTTAGGACTCATTGTTTTAGCAACTAAAATTTCTACTACTCCTTAAATCATACAAAAATGTTTGAATCATAACTGAATAGAGGTGCTGTGACCATCTTGAATTCATCATAGACAGATAGATAGTCATTGAAATTTCTTGGGCCCTGGCTGGTATGGCTCAGTGGATTGAGTGCCAGCCTGTGAACCAGGAGATCAATGGTTAGATTCCCTCTTAGGGCACATGCCTGAGTTGTGCACCAGGTTCCCCATTGGGGGCATGTGAGAGGCAACCAATTGATGTTTCTCTCCCTCTCTTTCTCTCTCTCTTCCCCTCTCTCTGAAAATAAATAAATAAAAATCTTAAAAAAAAAAATTTCTTGGTACTGTTTCACTGCTGACTTTCTAGAATGTTTCCAGAAATTGTTTTTACACAGTCCACATTTTCTACATACAGTGATGAATGTTTCTGAAAGCTACTGCCTTAGAAACTTTTTGTTAATATACTTATCCCTGAGTACCCACTAATATATTTAGGACATTTTTTTTCCTGCTTTGATAGAAACATGGACTAAAATTCCTCAAATTTCTGAAACATCTGATTTGTTTTAAGTTTTCTTAAAGATCTTGTTACTAATTAGAGACCAAGTTCAGTTAACATGTTTTGATTGATTGCCTAACACTGCTAAGTGTTGTGTGTTTAATTTAGGGTCCAATGTCATGTCATCTGTACTTCTATTTTGGGGTACACATTCTTCAAGTTCTGTTGGAAATAAGAATTGAGCATGTGTTTCCCTTTCATTTGTCTTGAGTACATATTTTACTAAATTTATGGTAGCTGCACAACCTGTTCTCTAAACATGCCTATACAAACCAATGGACCAGAACAAGTGGGTTTGGGTCTCTGATGTTACAGTATCTCCACTAATGTAAAAAAAAACAGATGTGGCCATGTCAGTAGTCACGCTTTGAAATGAAATTGGGAGATATGGCTTATTAATAGCTTTTACTCCCAAGTTTCTAACAGCTTATTCTCACGTGCAGGTGTTTTTTTTACTGTTCTCAGGCCTGTGTTTACAGATTTTATTAGAGGATATGAATAAAGTCTACAGATGAGTAGTTTAAAATGCCAAGGTTGGTCCTAGAAACAATTCGCAAAGTACGGCTCAAAACAGTGGTGCTCAAAACAGATGTAGATAATACTCCAATATTTATTTTGGCAGTTGCATTATTTTAATGTGTATAAGAAAACTGTAATAGCACATCAAACCATAATTACTATTAAAAGTTTTAAAAATGAATGGATTTAAATGAGAATCTTGAGTGGATAGTCTAGATGGTACATGAGTTGTTAAGAATCTTGCAAATAGTATTTGGATATTCAGTTTTAGGAAACACTGCCCTAAAGTGTCACACTATTCTTTCTTCATAATCTGTAAGAACAATATAATCAAACCTATTTACATATTTAGCTATCCTACTGGTCCAACCTGAATTCTACATACAAGTTCTTCTTTCATGCTTTAAAATCAGAAAATAATGATGTGTATGATGTGCCAGTCATACAGGCGTTTGTAATGGGACTTTGTTTTCCCATTTCAGTCACTGAATATTTGTTTAAAGAAATTAAAATATGATTTTATACTGTTTGTTTTTAGATGGTTGAAACCCTGTATAATAATGGTGCTAATTCTATATGGGAGCATTCTTTGCTGGACCCTGCCTCTATTATAAGTGGAAGACGTAAAGCTAATCCACAGGATAAAGTACAGTGAGTGGAATGTTTATAAATACTTTTATTTCTTCATAACACATGGGGCCCACTGAAAGGAGTGCAGATATTTTTGACCACCCTCTACAAGGGCAGCACAAGAGGTGTTTACCCGAATTGTTCATAGAGCTCTTTGCTATTAGAAATGCAGAACAAGGCCAGGCATGGGACCATCTCCTTTGCGTGGTTACCCAGCACAAGTCAGTGGTTTCTCCAGTTTGAGACTGAGGTTTGCGGGTTGTTGGCGTAATCAAATTTAAGCTTAGGTACTAAACAAGTGGCTGTCAGACCAGAAATCTAGGTTCTGGGCTCTAGGCAGCCTGTCGACTCACCAATAAGATGGGATGAAGTGCTGCTTTCTCACAAGGTTACTGGGTCAATTAAGAAAATTACACAGGGGAAAGAAGAGGATATAAAAAGGAAGGGTATTCTGCAGTCCTGGCCATTGTAGTGACACATGTTTTCAGATTTCAGATCTTACCCACTGCTGCAAACTTATTTCAGTATTCATTTTATTCTTGAGTAGGGGATGTGGGTCCTAAAAAATGGGGTATATGCTGTATCTGAGGGTATGCAAGTGAATTATTTTCTTTTTTGTTTTCCATCCAGTCCTCATAAAGCGGAATTCATCAGAGCCAAGTATCAGATGCTAGCATTTGTTCATCGTTTGCCCTGCCGGGATGATGATAGTGTGACTGCCAAAGATCTTAGTAAGGTGGGTGCCAGCCTTTTAAATCTCTAAAATTGTTGGATGAAACAATGTCTTGTTTTGTTTGGGGGGAGAAAAACTTGAAAAGGAAGAAAAGAAAAACAAAACAAAAACTACTTTCTAGTCACTAAATAATAATAGCTTTTTGTTGCAATTGATAATTCAGGTGGCAGCTATACATGTTAGTAGAGGTAAGGGAAGAGAGGAAAAGTTAGTATCTAGAAAACTATTTGTGTTTTTCAGATATGGTTTGAAAATTATATTTCTCTAAGTTTTTTGTTTTATTTTGAAGTAGGAACCCCCTCAGTTTCTAGAAGGGACTAGAAAGTTCGTGGGATTTCTCCAGGTCCCTAGGTAGTATACTAAGTAGGATCTTCAGGAAGCAGGGTATGACTTAAACTATAGTACATAGGATAGTTTATTATATTTGTAAAATGAGTAGATGGTTTTCTTTATTGGGCCTTTGCCTGTTTTCGAGAGATGCTGCAAGAAACATGCATCTCTATTTTCAAAGCATGGGCACTCAAGGTTGAGAATTTTAAACTTTGTATAGAAATGTTTATTTCTTTGTTTCTTATTACTTCCATGTCTTGTTACTTCCATTTATTAATAAGACTCGGTATGGTTTTTTTACCACAGTTTTTAAAAAGAAATTTAATAAATAAGGCTTAGATACCGATGTTAGAGTAGATATCTTTATTCCTAATGATAAAGATTATTGCATTTTGACAATTCAAGGTCAGGCATGAAGGAAGGCAGCTCATCTTCTAAATATATAAGCACTTTTCTTTGGTGGTACAGAATTTGGTATACAGCAGGCCCATTTCCCACCCTGAAAGGCTTTATTAGAATATTGTATACAAGGTAAAGAATAATGTGGAGAGGGTGCAATATAAGGCAGCACCCTGAGTATGCACAGTGTAGGATATGAAGCCCTAAAGCCATAAGTCAAATAGCAACAACAAATAATAATAATTATTGTTATAATAGCAGCTGTATTCTTTGAGCATTTCCTAGGTACCAGGTTCTGTGCTAAGCATTTTGTTACTGATTCCTTACAATAACCCTGTGAATAAGCGGTATTATTGTCACCATTTTAGAGATGAGGAAACTGAGGTTCACATTGCTTAATAAATCTCCTCAAAATTACACGGCTTGAAGGGTGTATGGTTTGAAATTCAGGTCTGTCGGACCTCGGAGCCATGCTCAGCCACTTCCTCATACTGCCTCTCACTAAAGGTATAATTGTGCCACTTAGGTCCTGCATTTGGGCAGGTCAGCTTTACCAGCCCTAGTTTCCTTATTAGTAAAATAGGCCTAACCAACCCCACCTTAGCGCCCAGGGCTGGTTGTGACCAGCAAGGAAGAGACTTCTACATCCACCCTTTTGAGTGAAGTATTTCTAACACAGTATATATTGAAATGGTCTGCCAGCTGCTCTAGTACGTTAATCTTTACACTTTTAACAGTATTCTTTTTTGTTTGTGTGTTTTTCAGCAACTCCATTCAAGCGTGAGGACAGGGAACCTTGAAACCTGTTTGAGGCTGTTATCTTTAGGAGCACAAGCCAACTTCTTTCACCCTGTAAGAAAGCATGAATTGATCCACATATTAAATTGAAACTAAGTGGGTTATGTTTGTGTAGCTTTTTCTTTATTTAATTTGCCTTTCTCTTTACTTTTTATTAATGATTCTTAGGAAAAAGGAAATACCCCGCTCCATGTTGCCTCCAAAGCAGGACAGATTTTACAGGCAGAATTATTGGCAGTGTATGGAGCAGACCCAGGCACACAAGATTCCAGTGGGAAAACTCCTGTTGATTATGCGAGGTTAGAGGTGTAGATTCTTGTCACTTCTCTCTGTTTGGGCTTATTTATGTTGTATATGATTCATTAAGTTGCTAAATTGTATAACATTAACATTTAATGATTTACATTCAGTTATTTTGCAGATGATCTTTCAAACGAGTATGAGCTCAGAGCCTGGCAAAGTCAGGGAAGGTAGAACCATAACCAGTCCGCTTAGTTTCCAGTCTTTTATGTGATCCTTTATAACACTATGTTATTTGAGCTATAGTTAGAGTCCAAATCAGGTACTAAGAATGGCAGAACCCACTCCTCAATTTTTAAATATTTTTAGCCATTGCTTAAACTTAAAAACAAATGTATGAGTAGGTAGATATGCAATTAAACAGTTACAGTAAAATGTTAATTCTACATTTTAGGTAGTGGACATCTATGTGCATTCTTTAGATTTTCTTTGTTTAAAAACTGAAATGCTGGAAAAATGAATAAATAAATCCATAGGTTAATCTTGAATATCATTTAAATAACAGAGGGTGGCTCACCTTTCCTTCTTTTTCCAAATTAACTTTATTAAATGCAAAGCACTTATACTCTGTTCTGCAGAGGATAAAATGGGTGAAATGACAAAACTGCCTTCTCAGAATTTACTGTTCCATGAAGGAGATGATTAATAAGTTCATGAAAGAGTTAAACGGGGCAAGATAATGTGGAATTTGTTGCCAAAAAGGATAATAGGTTTTAAAAGGCATATATAGGTTCTTCATTGTGTCCCAAATCATTTAAAAAAAAACACACACACACAAAACTTCTTTTAGTTGGTCTTTGAAGAATAGGTTAGATTTGGGTGTATGACGGAAGAGCTCAGCCATTCCAAGTGAGAAGAAAGGCGTGAGTCAAGTTCAGGAGGGAGGAGTGGGCCAGGCATGCCTGCCACAGCAGGGGATCTGCCTGGGGAGTGCGGAGTGTGTCTGAAACAAAAGCTAAGGGGTGGAGAAATATAGTATTTCATCAGTTCTAAGACTCCACTGTTTATACAGGTTATCGTTATTTTTTATACCACTAAAAAAGAAAAAACTTGGCCAATTAAATGATGAAGTATCATCAATTATTGATTTCACAGATGTTAAAAAAGCGTGGAAAAAAGATGTGCATCACATAAATCAAAGATAGGTTGGAGACTATTCTGTAGTCCTTTAATGGTGGGAAAAGATACTAACACACTAGACTTTATCTTTTAAAAGGAAAAGATCCCTCAGGAAATGATACTTATGACTTACCTTGAAATTTTTTTCACGGGTACTTTGCATATAGTGGTCTCTTGATGTAATAATTTATATATATGCGTTGTTACTAAAAGAACTTCAAGCAACTTATATATTTCATGAATGAAGAAAGGTAAACTTTATATTTTCTATTACGGAAATTGAATATAAGGAGGTGAAAGTGACTACAGGTGTGGATTAGGTAGGTCTGTCTCTGAATTGAAGACTTAATGTGGTTACGAAACTTTCATCCAGAGTCAGACTGGCTCCATCAGAAGCGTCTAGGGGAAGGACCTTTAAAATATTGGGGTCCATGCTTATCCCATCTTTACTGGTTCAGAATTTCCAAGGATGGGGCCTGGACATCTGTATATTTTTTAAAGCATGTTAGTTAATTTTTGAGAATCTCTACCTTAGACCATTTATTACTTTTATCTTCTACCTCAGATGAAATTTTTTATCCCTCTCGTAAGTCCTTGAATTCCTTAATAAGTATCTTGTCTTGTAAATTTAATAAAGGAGAGGGAATAGTTCAGATTGTGAAAACAGTTTACAAATGTGGGAAACAAAGTAGACCTTGACAGTTTACCTCACACAAAAAGGTTGATTATTCTAAAAAGTCATGTTTGATAAATTACTCAGGTGTCTCAGGAGATGTCTCTGTACTTTTCTATTCTGGAGCCAGTGGCTGGTGAGCAACATAAATGGTACTTTGTTTTCTCTTGGTAGGCAAGGAGGGCACCACGAGCTGGCAGAACGCCTCGTAGAAATACAGTATGAGCTGACTGACAGACTAGCCTTCTATCTTTGTGGCAGGAAACCAGGTGAGTGAAAGGATAGCAGCCTCTGCACACCTCCAGGTAGCCAGTATCTGGAAAAACAAGTTGGTACACTATTATTTATGACCTCTGCTTTAACATATTCTCCATAAAATTGTGAATAAGGATTTCTGTTTGAAATGATAACTATGGCATTTTCTGTTAGATGTAAAAGATGTGGGTCAAGTCATCTTGGGTTTTAGTTTTTATAACTGTAGCTCTAGAGTAGTGACCGTTTTAAACATCAAAGAGCATGATCAAACCAAAACTGAATGTGCACCACAGTTGTCGTGTACAATGGGACTGGGAATGGAAGAGCAAACTAACCACTTCTGTAGTTATTTGAAGAATTCTGCTATCTAAGGAACGGGAAAAAGGCCAAAAGTGAACTTCGCCTTCAGCCACCCTTATTTGTAAGGTAGAACTGGGGTCAGCAAACCATTGCTGTGGGCCAGATCCAGTCTATCATCTGCTTTTTCAATAAAGTTTTTTGTAAGATACCCACGCTGATCAGATTGCCTGTGGCTGCTTTTGCACTAGAGCAGTAGAGTTAAGTAGCTTGAGTAGTTGTGACAGAGACCATGTAACCACAGAGCCTAAAATATTATCTGGCTCTTTACGGAAAAAGTTTGCCAACCCCTGATGTAGAATATCTTCATGCATGTATGCAGTGGTTCTCTACCCTGGTTGTCCATAGAGTTAGGAGCCCCTCGTGTGGTTCCAGTTCCTGGTGAGATGGAGTAAGCACACTCCACCCTTTCTCTCCTGAATATAATTAAAAAACCTGGGCCAAATGCATGCAGTCGCTATTTAAGAACTTGGGCTGGTAAATTAGGGAACTCAAAGTACCATCGAGCTTGTGGTGAGTGTTCTGTTTGTTTTACTTCTGACATGGCCTCCATGACAACCTAAAACCTGGAACTGTGTAACAGATGCAAAGAAGCCTTCCCTGTCTGGTATGAGGAGCAGGAAGTAGTACAGGACAGAGAGGTGGGGGGGTTCCTTTGGGGTTTTTTTCTCCTTTTTCCTCTGCCCTAGTCCCAAGGCAGTCCTGTGGCTGTAGTAGTGGCAACAGTAATGGCAGCGCAGGTGCCTAAATCTCTGGCCTAGAGCATAAGGGGAATCCTGATTGCTTCACTTTTCTCTCTACTCTCTCACTGCTTGGCCCAGGAGGCAGAACCTAGTCAGTTGCTGGCTAAAACAAAAGTACTAACATTATCCATAAAACTTAAGGAAGACTCAGAGTCTTACCACATAATATTCAAAATGCCCAGTATACCAATTGTAATGACTTGGCATATGAAGAACCAGGAAAATCCTAAAGACTGTAAGGGAAAAGTTAGTCAACAGGCACCAGCCCCAGATGATACAGTTGTTGGAATTATCAGACAAAAATTTTAAAGCAGGCAGAAACAGCATGCTCTTAAAAGTGTGAACATCTTGGAAACAATAGAAATATAGGAAGTCTCAGCAGAGAAACAGAAGATGCAGAAATGAACCAAATAGGAATATTAGAACTGAAAAATATAACTAAAATTTTAAAACTAACTAGATAGGCTCAATAGCAGATTAGAGATGACAAAAAAAAAAAAAAGAGTGAGTGAATTGATGCCCTGGCTGGTGTGGTTCAGTGGATTGAGAGCTGGCCTGCGAATCAAAATATTGCCAGTTCAATTCCCAGTCAGGGCACATGACTGGGTTGTGGGCCAGGTCCCCAGTTGGAGGCGGACGAGAGGCAATCAGTCGTATCTCTCGCACATTGATGTTTCTCTCCCTCTCTTTCTCCCTTCCTTCCCCTCTCTCTCTTAAAAACAAAAAACAAACAGACAAAAAAAGACACCCGTGTGAATTGCAAATAAATCCCTAGAAATTACCCAGTTTGACCAATAGAGAGAAAAATAAGAGTGGGAGGAAAATGAAACTAAACAATGCCTCGGGGACCTATGGAACAGTACCAAAAGGCCACATTTGTATCATCAGCCTCTCAGCAAGAGATCAGATTGTGATACAAATGTATATGTATATATGAAGAAGTATTGCCTAAAAACTCTAAATTTGGCAAATGACATGTGCTACAGATTCAAGAAACTCAGATAACCCCAAAAAGGATAAACTCGAAGAAATTCTCACTCGGGTACATCAAAATCAAACTGGTAAAAACCAAAGACAACAAAAACATCCTGAAACAGCCACGGGAAAAAATGTCATATATTGCCCTGATTGGTGTGACATAATTGGTTAGGCGTCATCCCATCCTGCAGGGTGAAAGGTTGCTGGTTGGATTCTCGGTCAGGGCACATGCCTGGGTTGGGGGTTTGGCCTCCTGTCAGGTGCATACGAGAGACAACCAGTCAATGTTTCCCTTTCACACTGATGTTTCTCTCCCACTCTTTCCCCCTCTCTTCCCCTCTCCCTAAAAATAAATAATAAAACCTTTGAAAAATGACATATGGAAACATGTTTATTTGAATGACTGTGGATTTCTCATCAGAAACCATGGATATGAAAAGGAAATCAGTATTTTTGAAGTGCTGAAAAAAATTGTCAACCTAGAACTCCATTTTCAGTGTAAATAACCTTCAAGAATGAAGGCAAAATAAAGACAGTTTAAGATGAAGAAAAATAAGAGAATTAGTTGCTCTAACAGATGCTAAAGCAAGTTCTTTGGGTGGAAGGGAAATCGTACTAGGAACCTTGGTATGGAAATCAAAGGAACCTTGAAACTTCAGGAACGAGAGAAGAGTAACAGAAATGATAAGTATTAGGCTAGAAATAACAGACTCTATTTTGCTGTTAACTTCTTTTTTTTCTTTAAGATTTTATTTATTTTTAGAGATGGGGAGGGAGGAAGAAAGGGAGGGAGAAAAACATCAGTGACAAGAGAGAAACATCAGTTGGCTGCTCCTTGTATGCTCCCTGACTGGAGACTGAACTCATCACCTAGGCATGTGCCCTGACCAGGAATCAAACCAGCAATCCTTCGCTTTGCTGAATGACTCTCAGCCAGCTGAGCCACACAAAAACCTGTATGTGAATGCTTATAGTGGCTTTATTCACTGGCATGGGGTCAGTGTTTTCCAGAAGCTGGGTTAGTATGGAGTCAGCGAGCATTGTAGGAAACGGAGCCCCTGCCTTGATCTGCCAAGACCACCTTTCCCAGCCCTGACTGCTTTATACTAATTGATTGGTTTCAAGGTGAACCGCTAAAGCTCAAGGAAGCTCCACCCCTGCCACATGGAGAGAACTTATGGAAGCCTGCTCTGAGTTAATTCAGCTCCCTAAGTGTTCTTTGCATGGCTGAAGATCATCAGTTTTACTGGGAATATACAAAACATAAGGATTAGGGTGAGCATAGGCTTTCTGTTTAATGATGTCTAGACTTTTGTACCAGAAGGAAACAAGGATATGATCCTTGTTACTGGCCAGACCTTTGGGAATATATAGCCAATCTGGCAACTTCTATTCCCACACATAATTCATAATTATGGGAAGATACTAATTGCAAAACATAAATTGAGAAAATGTGGTGGTCTTTTACAGATCTTATCAGTATTTATACGAACAAAACTTTGGTTTCTGTTTCAGATCACAAAAATGGACAGCACTTTATAATACCTCAAATGGCAGACAGGTAAGGTCATTGAAATATCAATTTTATCTCATTAATATTTCCTTGATTGTATAGTGTTGAAGTGTTTAATATTTTGTGTTTAACAAAGCCCATACATTTTTCTCTTTTATGGCTATACAATTTGGAAATAAGACGGCTGTAAGTAAACCACCATATAAAACTTAAGTTTGAAAGAGCACAAGTAACAAATTTACTGATCAGAAAATTGGAGTCAGTGATATTGTCACAGTTTAGCCAGTTGTGACAGTATATTTTATCTGTAGATTATATTCTTTACCATAAAAGAGTATATCTTTGTCTATAAGAGGGATTGGCAAGTTTTTCTTGTGAAAGCTAGATAGTAAATATTTCGGGCTTTGTGGGCTATACATCCTCTGTCACAACCGCTCAGCTCTACCATCGTACATAAAAGTATCCAGTAAACTCTATTTTTAGGTATTGAAATTAAAATTTCATATACAACTTTCACAAGTTATGAAATACTATTCTTCCTTTGTTTTTTTCCCCCAACCATTTAAAAATGTAAATGCTATTTTTAGCTCATGGGCTAAACAAAAAGTGGGCTATAATCACCCGACCCCTGGTCTATAAGTTCAGATGAGTTGAAGGCTGCAGGAATGAACCCTTAATTTAGCCAGTTATCTTTGCACAACTACTGTCGAGAATTTATGAAATGATTAATTGGTATTCCAGATGTAATCTTACCATTCTGGTTTTTCACAGTCTGCCGTTTTTGTATTCTATCATGCTTTTTTTAATGCTTCCAAAATTGTGGCTTTTCACATTAGTTTTTGTCTTTTAGTTAGTAGGTGATTGTTTTTCTTTTAACCATGTTACATGATTCTAAAAGGAGTTACTTTCACAAAGTTGTTATGTTCAAAATTTCCTCATTGAGTATTGGGCTGTAGAATTTTTGGCTCTGATCATGTCATGAACTTTAATTAGTATCTCGATCCCTTGACTATCTTTATCTTCTACAGAGCTCATGCAAATGATTTTATTTATATTCTTATTAGCTTTGTACATTTTCTTAGCAGCCTGGATTTGTCTGAATTGGCAAAAGCTGCTAAGAAGAAACTTCAATCTGTGAGTATCTGTTTTCTAGTGAACTCCAGTATGGGAACTGTGTCCTGTCAATACCTGTTTTTGTCTCGTTACCTGTTGAATCAGATGACTATTTCATAGTCTTACATGTTGTTAAATCAGAGGCAGACCATTGAGTATGTAGCGGTGAAGACTAGAAGTACTGTTAAGTTCAGTGTATCCAGTTTATTGGATCTGCTTCAAATAATGCCATTTTTCTCAGTCATTTTAAATGTGAAGGCTGTGCCTTTGACATTAGGAAGTTGTTTCTCCTTGTTAGAGATTCCTTGTTTCTCCCAGTGTAAATGAGTAAGTGGGACACATTTCTTGGGATTATGTCCCCTGGTCTTATAGGATGCTAGAGGTTGATAAAAGCAGGTCCTGGAATCATGAGTGCCATAGATTCACGTGCTGCCATTGGGATCCAGCCTCCATTTTAACTCTGGCGTATCCCATGCCATTCATCAGAGCTTGAAGAATTCATGCTTTAAAAAGCTGGTGGTCCTGCCCCCGGTATGTGCTCAGAGTTTGCCCAGGTCTGCAGGTCAAATCTCACTTTAATTTGAGTATTTCTTTCCAGCCTGCTCACCTCAGGTTTAGTCAGGAATCTTCCTCTCTGAAAATGATTAGTCCCACAAATGAAGCATCACCATGGCACTTCCTCAGCTGTTTTAACCACCAGATCACACTCCTCAGCTGTTCTCATTGCTCTCTGGATTGCAACCAAGAGTCTTTTTTCCGTAACTGTAATGGCATCATCCAACTCTCACCTTTCAGTTCCTGCCCTACTTCCCTTCTGGTTCCCATTGTGTATGTGTGCGTGTAAATATTTTGTTGTTGGTTAGCATTCTGAGGCCATTATCTGCTGCCTTCGCGTCCTCTTTCAGGAACCCTCTTTTCGTCTTTTTCCTGTAGCATTCCCCTTTCCCAGCTTCTGTCCCTCTCATTACTCAGGCAGCCAAAATCTGACCATCTTCACAGTGTGAATAGTTGTTTTCCCAAAGCCCAACTGAAATTGCAAGTCCCGTAATTTTTTACTTTCTCTTCATTTCCCTTTTCACAGAAGACCCTTTACTAGAATGTCATATAATATTAAATACTATATATTACATAAAATGACTATATCATTACTAGTATTCAACTGTAATATGAAATAAATGTATTTTATGAAATTTGTTTGCTGTCTCTGTGTTCTATATCTATGGTTTTGTGTGTCTATGTTTTATCGCCTTTCTTAAATTATGAAGGTCATGTAGTTAAGATGATAAGCTTTGGAGTCAGATAGCACTAAATATTCTGTGATTTCCTTTTAATTACTTATGGTATATAAGCCTGTTTTTATTTTCAATAATTCTAATATTATAGAAAAAACCCAGGTTCCTTTGACTGTCCTGTATTTGCCAGGCTGAAAGCTGCATGAAAGCCGGGTTATGTGTAGTATCTCTAGCATGTGGCAGCACTTGGTAAATATGTGGGACCAAGTTGAGTACAGCTCTCGGGAACGTGGGCTCTGAGTCAGACTGGCCAGATAGTGAGCCTCTGACAGGCTCCTTAGCCTCTCTGCCTTGGTTTCCTCTCTTAGAAAGGGAGATAACGATGCAGCAAAGGTGGCAACTCAGAGCCTCTCAGGGAGGGGGAGCTGCTGTTGACGCCACTCTGTGGTCTGCTTAGAGGTGAGAAGGGGAATATTCCCACAGCGAACTTTAGGTGCCAATTCAGTGTTTATCCTACAGTATCTCCCTTACTACCTCCATCTCTGCCTACCTACTTCCTTCTTCCTTTCCTCCCTTCTGAAAAGCTTAAAGAAATATACTAATACTAATGTATTCCTTGAATTAACAAATGTTAACATTGTGACCAACATAAACTTGGATCTCAGACCTATTATGTATCGGCTTTATGACTTTAGGTAAGTTACTAACTTCTGTGACTCAATTTCCTTATCTGTAAAGTGGAATAGTAGTAGTTCCTATTTCATAGAGTTGTGAGTATTAAATATGATGTTAGCACAGTGCCTTGGTTGTAGGCCCTCACTCAGTATTGTTGTTGTAGTTATTGTTAGTAATAACAGCATTGGCTTATAGCTCCTAAGAGGAAAGAAAGTAGATATTTAAGATGCAAATTCAAGTTTCCAATCCTCGTCACCTTATCTAGAGCTTATTATATATGTAATGTAACCACACTAGAGAATATTTGGAAAATAGAGAAGGGGAATCATCCTATTTACCATCCTAATCCATACTGAATGGATTCAGACTCAGTATTTTGGTATATTTCTTCTAATTCTTGTCTCAGATACATATCTTTTATTTTTTAACTGAAGCTCAATCATAATTACAGAATTTTATACCTGCTTTTTTTCACCTAACAATGTATTGTACCCATTTTAATGAGTTCCTGTGAGGTCTGTGTAGCCAGCATTTAAAATTGCTGCCTAAAGTACTCTGTGGTCAGTGTGTGGTTGGATGTATACTGAGCCCCATCTCAGTGCCAGGTACTGCATGTGGGTGTGGGGGACACAGTAGAGAATAGGACAAATTCAGGCTACTCTCACAGAATAGGGAAGCAGTCAACTAAAAAGTAACAGCCATCAAGCACCAGGGTGCATTTTATAAGGAAAAAACGCAGAGAGAGCCAAAGACAGCCTGGGAGGGTGGTAGCCTCATCTGGGTTGAGGAATACCCTGGCTGTCCTGGTTGCTTCCAGCCAGGCACCTGGTCTGGGTGGGGAGTATTCTGTTGGCTGAGCCTGCATAGCATACTGATCAGACTGGCTACTCTTCGTTGGGGATGCTCAGTTCTTCTGGGGATTGGAGGACTACTACTGAGGAAGAGAGCAAAGAGGTTTAGCCAAGGTCTGGTTGATGGTTTCGTGCAATGTCCTGTTTTGGCATCTTTACCCTGCCAAGGCTTTATGACCCATTGTATCTGAGGGCATTGGCAAACATTTGCAAGAGTAAAAGAGGAGACTTAAAGGGTGAGATCATACAGAGTGGAGTACTGGGGCCTTTGAGGTATGTGCTTTAGGCGCCTCTTACCTTCTCTATAGCACAGCCCTATCTGTGTACTATAGAGGAGTGAGGCTGTTATACACAGCAGATAATTTCTAGAGGATCTGTACTATTTTGTAAATGTTGGCTGTGTTACAGTGGGTATTTACTAAGCTCTGGCTTTGGATTAAAACACTAAAGATAAAAAAGTGAGTAAATCACAATCCTCACTCATTCTGCTTGTGTTAATTCTTGTCCTTGTGTTCCTGATATTTTTTTACTTTCAGTTAAATAATCATTTGTTTGAAGAACTTGCCATGGATGTGTACGATGAAGTTGACAGGCGAGAGACTGATGCAGGTGACTTAACATGTGGCTTTATCTAATAAGCTTGTTATAAGTGGGCAGTGGCAAGCTGCCAGCCTCAGTGTTTTACTTGCCCAATTTTTACTGTCCTGATAGCACATGTATGGACATCTGCCTTTATGTGTGTTGGCTTTGCAGTGTGCTTGAGTCTCCCTAGTAAGGCGGGGACCGCGGCTCTCAGAGGAGCGGTGGCACGCCCGTGGTGATGAGATTTTATCTCTCGCTCTTTCCTCTGGCTAGTCTGGCTTGCCACGCAAAACCACAGCACCCTGGTGACTGAGACAACCGTCGTCCCCTTCCTTCCGGTCAATCCTGAGTACTCTTCAACACGGAACCAGGCAAGTGGCTAAGTGTGAAAAGGCACCCGTAGTGATATTTTGAGAATAGCTGATGTCTTGGTGTTTTATTTTTCCAGGATAGGTATTTTAAATTTTTTGATTGAGTCAAATGTTGGTAGCCTTTATACGCACACAAAATTCACAAATTGATGAGAAAAGCAGTAGATAATAGTAGATGCCTGGGTAAGAACGTAAAGCAATTCACAGAAGAAATATAAATGGCCTCCAAATATGAAAAAAATGTTTGACCTCATCAGTAATGGGGGAAAGCAACCTAAAGGCATCAATGAAAGTTTCATCAATTAAATTAATAACGCATATAATAAGGGGTATTCTGAACTGTAAGGATCTGGCAAGATGGGCTATCCCGTGCTGCAGATAAGAGTACAAACTGTTGCAGACTTTAGAGAAGAAACTTGTTAACCTGTTGCAGACTTTAGAAAAGCAGGTTGTTAACCTCAAAAGTAAGTGCTCAGCCTTTCACATGGGAATTCCTTATTTGGGAATATGTTCTAATAAAATAAAAATACAAAGATTCATGCACAGTGATTTTCATTGAAGCACTGTATGTAATAGTAGAGCATTAAAAACAGCTTCAGGACCCATCAAGAGGAGCAAAGCTGATTAAATTAGGACAGTCTTTTCATTTTTATTGATTAATGGCTCTATGTAATGATGGAGTCCCAGCATTATTCTAGACTATAATTTTTTATCTTGAAATTTTAAAATTTCCCTCCGAGTTAATTTTTCATCACTAGGTCTATTGTTAAACTGACTTAATATTATGAAAAAGCTTTAAGTACAACCATTTTGTTTTTGTTCCCAAAAGTAAATATGCATTGTGAGAACTTAAATGTTATATAGTTCTTTTATGTAAATGGTTTTAAACTGATTGCAAGGAAATGTTAATGTTTGGTTCAGTTATGGCCATGAGTGATGACACCTTGATCATGCTGGAAGGTCTTTGCTTAAGTCTAACAATAGTCCCACTACTTTTACGTGGATATTTATTGTGTGTTTTTACATTTGGGAGTATTTCCAATTTTTTTGACCCTCAGGGCAGACAGAAATTAGCTCGATTTAACGCCCATGAGTTCGCCACGCTGGTTATTGACATTCTCAGTGATGCCAAGAGGAGACAGCAAGGCAGTCCTCTCTCTAGTTCAAAAGGTAACTGTTTCACACCTCTCAATGTCTGCTGCTCTGGCCTTCCAAATTTCACACAAGTGTTAGATTTGAAGTTATAAAGTAATTAGAGCAGTCATCAATGGAATAGCTAAGTTAAAGCCCTGTAAGTTTTCTTGGTGCTATGTCGTGACAGAAAGTTTACCTCATGAAGCCCTGGTAAATTATAAATATTTCAGCATTATTAGCTGCTATTCAAATATATCACATATATGGGTTGTTTCTTTTTTTCCTCTTGGGTCACCTATCTTTATTCCTATAAAATTGCATCTTGAAATTAATCTAAAAGTCTGACTTAGATCTTGTTAAAGCACTTAAGAAAATAAGCCCTCTTTTATTCCTAATCTATTTTTAAAATATGTTTTTTGGAAATAAATGAGCTTTGTTCACAGACGTTCTCTACTCCATTTTCCTAAAAGCTGCCGCTGTTGTCCTTTACATGTCGTTCCTATGTTTTCCATAATAGTTATTTTGGAGGGATGACAGTCTTTCTCTCACCAACCCCCCCCCCCAAAAAAAAAAAATCCTCTCCATTCATCTCATATCAACATGGATGACCAAATTCTAATGAAAAGTGACTTCATCAGTGATTTTCAACGCCTAAATAGTAGAGGTAGCTCAGCCTAAAAAAGTGGGTGTAGAGCAAAATGTCCCCAGTACTGAAGAAGGGAACTTTTAGTTTCTAGAATACACTTGCTCAAGAGGACCAGCTGTGGCTGATTCGCCAGAATCCATTCACTTGCTCTCTTTTGAGAGAACTGTCGCTCCATGCGGGACATCATTGGCACCCCCAGCCTGTCAGCTGTACTCCCAGGACTCCTCAGCCGCAAACATAAGCCCTCTTGATTGAACTCATAGTTCACCTTGTTGCTTACCTACAAAACTGAGTTGTAAATACTTTCAATTTGCTGCTATAAACTTTGTATGTCTACAGTGAGAATTATTGTGGTTTAAAATTGTAAAGAGAGCACCCAGTGCCTGTTTCGGAGGTGCCCTCTTCAGTCTAGTTCAATGGCTCAGGGTCCTGTCCCCCTGCTTAGAAACATGCTCCATTCAGCCTCAAAACTGTATCCTCATTTTCTTCTAATTATAAAAATAATACAGCCCTGGCTGAGTGTTTCAGTTGGTTAGAGCGTTGTCCCCATATGCCAAGGTTGTGGGTTTGATTCCTGGTCAGGACACAAACAAGAATCAACCAATAAATGCATAAACGGAACAACAAATCAATTTCTCTCTCTCTCTCTCTCTCCCCCCCCTTCTTCCCCCCAAAATTAGTAAATAAAAAATAAATAAAAACAATACATTTTATTGTAAAACATTTAAACAGAAGAAATACATACGATAATAATTAAGTTTTCAGTCAACAACACATTCCCCAGCAACAGTAAGTACTGATTAACAATTTGTTCTTGATTTTACTGGTTCAGCCAGGAGTAAGCAAATTCTAAGAAAGGTTACTAAACTTTGGTGAAGTACAATGATAAGAGCCCTTTCATCATAAATTTGGAGTATCAAAATGTACATGCTCTTTTGATTTGATGCTTTCATTTCTAAGTGTTAATTGAGGGGAAATAGAGATGTTATATATATATTTCTATAACACTGAAAACAGAAACAATAGAGAAACATTTAGTCATATATTTGAATAATACACAACTTTCTTTTTCAGAGAATAGGTAATGACAAGGATAAAGTAATAATTTTTAAAATAAAGGTTTTGTATAATCCCAATTTTGTAATGAAAAAGTTTATGTACATATATGTACAAGTGACTCTGCCACATATAAGTATAAATTTATAATCAGTCCTCATTATTCACAGGTTCTATATTTGCAAATTCACCTATTCACTCAAATGTATTTGTGACCTCAAAGTCAGTACTCACAGCACTTTCATGGTAATTTGTGGACATGTGCAGTGTGTCAGAATATTTGAGTCGCTGAAAATACATGTTCCCAGCTGAGACTGAATAAGGCCACACTTTGTCTTTTGTCTCAACTTTCATATTGTAAACAAGTGTCCTTTTCAAGTTCTAGTTTTTCACATTTTTGTTCTTTTTGTTAGTGATTTCACTGTTTAAAATGGCTCCCAAGTGTAGTGTTGAAATGTTCTTTAGGGTTCGGAAGCATAAGAAGGCTCTGATGTGCCTCATAGAGAAAATGCCTGTATTAGATAAGCTCTGTTCGTTTAGGCATGAGTCCTAGTGCTGTTTGTGAGTTCACTGCTAGTGAATCAACAATGCACGTACACTAAACGTGCCTTTAAACACAACACACAGAAAACAAGGTTATGCCAGAGGCCTGCAGAAACCTTACCCTGTGTTTCCACTCAGCAGTGGTTCAGTGTTTGATAATTAAGTCTTCACAGCAACTTTATAGGTCGTAACTACTGCAAATAATGAATACATGTATATACTTAGGGAATAGAACAACATATATCAATGGCTATAAATGATTCATTAGTTTCAAATTTTCTACGTTGAATATTCTATAATTAGGTGATATGTATATTATAAATACTAATTTTAAAAACTAAATTCCTTTTATTTTTTCAAAAGATTTTATTTTTAGAGAGAGAGAAAGGGAGGGAGAAAGAGAGGAAGAAAAACATCAATGTGTGGCTCCCTTTCATCCATCCCCCTGCAACTGGGGACCTGGCCCGCAACCCAGGCATGTGCCCCAACCCAGAACTGAACCAGTGACACCTTGCTTCTCAGTCTGGCACTCAGTCTACTGAGCCGCACCAGCCAGGGCTAAATTCCTTTTACATAACTGTAATTTATCACCCAGATATTATCCATCAAAATATCCAGAAACAACATTGGACGCTAGAGGTTAGCTTGAGTTGCCTGAAAGAAATTGGAGAGACTTGAATAATACGTGAACGTTTTTATTCAAAATGTGTTAGAGCCCATAGAATCATCCCTGCTCCCCTGTAGACATACCTTCCTGATAAGCATATGTATGAGTCTACTGGGACAGTCTTTTTTTCTTTCTCTGTCTCCCTAGCATCCAGCTAAATATCAGTATGCCTGTTCTTAGAGCACTTAGCTTCTGCGTTCCACTTTAACAATTCCCTTTCGATAATTTTTAGAAAGATTTTATTTATAAAGAAAGGGGAAGGGAAGGAGAAAGAGGCAGAGAAACACCGATGTGTGAGAAAAACAGCAATAGGTTGTCTCTTACATGCCCCCAACCAGGGACCTGGCCAGGAACTGAACTGGCAACCTTGCCTAGTTTGCAGGAGGTCACCTAAGCCACTAAGTCACACCAGTCAGGGGCCTTTCTATCTTGACTCGACATTACCTCATTAATCGCAGTTAGCTTGCATTAGTACAGCTTTATCTTCATGATTTGGAGCTATACTCTATCTCACTGAATGATTAGAAGCTTAGGAACCTGCTTCCTTCATCTGAGCAGCTCTTTCATAAACCATCTAATTACTTGCGCACAATTGGTGAGAAGCTTAAAGGGATGCTTATCTCTCTGTGCAGTGCATAGTAGGCTGTAGGCTGTATGTCTGGTTGATGACTTGCTCTGTCATCCCTATGTTGGTGTTAATATAATATTGCTATTTCTGTCATTTTGGGTTTTGTTGTTTTTTTTTCTTTTAAATGACTACACCCAAAAATCCTCCCAACGGTTTTTTGGAGAAAAGTTTATTTTAAGCCTGACGTAAAGTTATTTGTTTCTATTGCTAGACAATGTGGAACTCATCCTGAAAACAATCAATAACCAGCACAGTACTGAGAATCAAGACAATGACCAGCCAGACTATGATAGTGTTGCATCAGATGAAGACCCAGATCTGGAAGCCACTGCAGGCAAGGCAAACAGGCAGAAGGTGAGGTGACACACAGAAAGGGGGACTGTTTCTTTTAAAAATGTTTTCTCCTTCAAAATTGCCTTACTTGTAAATCACTGGAGGGCTAGCCCTGTGAAAGTACTGTGGAGGTCAGGTTCCATTTACTAATGAGATTGGGCCAAGCAAAGGTCAAGCGAGGTAAATAGTTTTAAAAGAGGGGATCCTTGGTCCCTGAGTCAGTTGCCGAATCATACAACCTGCTGCAATTGCAACTTTATAAAACTTGCCAGGAGGGACTGGTGTGTTTTTATTTTTCAACAAATATTTACCGAGTGACTTCTCTGAATAATACGCTCCTGAATGAGGTCTAATGTAGTTTCTTCCTTGTGAGGTGGTCAGTCCCTAAGAGGAGAGATAGCTGCATTCAAAGGTACACAGTGATACATGTCATAAGAAGCATAAACAGAAGCAGGGCAGGTGGTGAAAAGAGACACAGCTTGTTGCTAAAAAGAACTACTAGGAGTATCTTTGTAAATGGGATGGCTCTTACTGTGCCTTTAAGGATGTATGGGTTTGGGCATGTGGAAAGGCAGGGAAGGGTGGTCTAGGAAGAGAGAAAGTGAAAGAGAGGCCTCAGGGTCGGGGGGGAAATGGTGATGTGTAGAGACAGCCTAAAAGGAGTGGGACTGAAAGCTGCAGCAGAGGGCGGAGGTCACACCATGCAGGAACGTCATGCCAGACTGAAGAGCGTGGACCTTGGCAGGCGATGCAGAGCGCGGGGAACTTTTAGGCACGGCAGGAGGCAATGGTTAGCTGCTTGGGGTCCTTCATTTTGGGAGGCGTGTTCTGGAGGGTCAGAGAGTGGAGGAAAGCCCAATTAGGGTACTCCTGAAGAGCTGGCCGGGCCACTTCACGGCTTGGGCTGGGTGGGTCCAGATGGTGGAGGAGATCACCGTAGTAGATTGGAGCCCGGAGAATGGACAGCGGGGTTCTGGCTGGTCCGCCCTCTGCTGAATCCCCAGAACCTCGACCCAGACCTGGCCCGCAGTGGGGCTCAGCAAACATTTGAGAATGGATGAACAGAAATATAGAATAGACTGGCCCTGGCAATAAGTTAGATGTTTGAGATGGGGAGATAGACTTAGAAAAGGTGTGTTAGGGGTTTCCCGCTCACAAGACTGTGAGAATGGTGGTGCCATTGGCAGATGTAGGGAATGCGGAGAGGACGACAAGGTCACTTGTCTGAAACAAAACCCTGCCCAGTTTCCCCAGCAGCACCAGGTTCACTTGGTGAAAGCAAAAGCGATGACGGGGTCCTCTGCACTGACGGGCCTCCCGCTCCTCTCTGCCCTGCACACCCTCTCTATCTGAGCTCTGCCACTGGCTGGAATGATCTCCCCCCAGACAGCCATTTGACTAATGTCCTCACCTCCTGTAGGCTGTTGCTCACATCTCACCTCCCCAAGGGCTTACCCCAGGCTGTCTAATTAAAATACACCCACCTTCAGCTCTACTTTGGCTCCCCTGCCCCTTGCCCTTCTCCATTTTATTTATTTTCCAGCACACTTAACACCTGTTGTACTATATAGTTACATATTTTTTGCCTCCCTTACTCTGTTGGATATAGACATCATGGAAATAGGAATCATCTATTTTATTTTCTTATAATATCCCAAGCCCCTAGAACACTGCCTGATGCTCAACAAAAATCTATTGGAATGAATGAATAAAAAAGAAAAATGAATAAGCAAGGAAAGGCAGACAAGACAAATGCACTTAGAGAGTCATTGTCAGAGTAGATTTATAGCCCCACTGCCTATTCTGTTAGAAAATATTGACTTTAAAATTTTTCAAATATTATAATAACCCCACCTTTATGTTTTATTTTTGCATTATCCTCAGAAGCCTTGATTTGGTTTGATTAACTTTGCAATCCAGCTGGCATGGTCAGAATTTGAAATTCTTTAGCTGTTAGTCTTGAATGTTATCATCATCTCAGATTGTGAACATTTTCCCCAATTTATTTTTAGAGCCTAGATTCAGATTTATCAGATGGACCAGTCACTGTGCAGGAATTTATGGAGGTCAAAAACGCTCTAGTGGCTTCTGAGGCCAAGATACAACAGCTAATGAAGGTGAATAACAACTTGAGTGACGAGCTGAGAATTATGCAGAAAAAGGTAACATGTTAATAAATGCCAGGATGATTGACGCTTTAACCCCTTAGTATAAGGAAGAATCCCAGGCACAATGCTTGTGGTCAGAGGGAAGAAAAACAGTTATTGTAACAGACCTAAAAATCTTTGGGCCAAGCTGTCTTTTTGGAAGCAGTGTGTATTTGGATATTTCAGATTAAATAGCTTTGATAAGAAACAAATCCAGAGTAAGCCTCCCAATAGAAGAAACATACAACCTATTAAGTGTTTGGATCAGTTGTAGTAACCCTTGCACTATTCTGTGCTTCTGGGATCCTGGATGCCACTCCATGGATGATGTGATTCTTCCCATTGCTCATTATGCTGGAAAGGCAGAGCAGATACGCTCCAGGCGTCTATGTGTGTTTATCAGCATTCCACATCATACCCCACCCCATGCCACGCAAGGGGTGCTGTCTCTGTTCATTCTTATTCTAAGTTGTTATTCACCCCCACCCTAGCAGCCCTGTCCCACATGCCCGCTTTTTCGCTGGTACTTAACCACTGATTTATGATGTCTTCACAGTCTGGAGCGGGGCCTGCCACAGAGCAGATTCTCAGTGAATACAAGCATTTCATTTGTACTAGTGAGAGCTGTACACGAGTCAGAAAGAACCCCTTTGCTCAGCATTTTCTCATTCACTGCCTTTTAAGAGAGTAAGAAATATATGGCCAATGGTAGCAAGTAATTTGCATAAGATGGGAGTTATATACGTAATTTTTTATGAAAGTTCTAAGAAAAGGGAGTTGAAAAATTCTAAATTCTGCCCAAAACTTTGTGGGTACTGATCCCGTCATATAGTTCTCTACAACATGAGATTTTTGTACACTTCCCTTAAACAGAAACAAAACAGTCATTTGAAGAGTAGTGCTTCAGAATCATAATCAAGAACAGAGGACATGGTGCACTTTATTTGTGGCTGGGCGCTTTGCAACGGTGCTTCCTAAAGGAAGGCCACAGAACCAATAAGAGGTCTGTCAGGAAGTGCCCTGCAGTGCACCTGCCTGGGCTTGGTCTAAGATTCTTTCAGTATTGAGTTCTCGATCATTTTTTGAGACCTATTGACATAAACGACTCCACTACCTATAATAGAAGGAGACAGGAATGCCTGAAGATGAGTCATTTTAAACAAACACTTGATCTGTGCTGTACCGGGCCTATCTAGGCCTGGTGTGCAGCTGCGAACAACACAGACCAAGAGCCGTGTTATACAGGGCTTGCACGTCCTTTGTCTTTTCTCAACTATCTTTTGTTTAATGAATTATAGTTCGACCCATTAATTGAACTAATAATTTTGTTGAGGTGCCTTTTTCTGAAACATGCTGACTTTGCCACTGTAAATCAACTTGCTAAGCATCAACTTTTTAATTCTCTAATGCTCCTTTTAGTACTTGTAGAAATTGCCAGAGATAACCTATCTCTGAAAGCAAATGCCTTGAGCTTCTTTAAGAATTGCAGCGTGAAATTACTTGCTATTCCTCATGGATTATTTTCTCAATTCTTAGAAAATGCTTTTGATTTCTTAAAATATTGAATTATCTATAACTTTTCATTTCCTGTTACACTTCTTCCAAACCAAAAAAGTGTAGTTTGGTTCTTATTAAGATAAACATCATTCAAATTTATCCGAGGACATCTCTCTAAATATAGAATACTAAAAGTCTTAAAAATTGAAACCAGGAACTTGTGCTCACCAAAAAACTTGCAAGCAAAATCCAGACTGGATGTTTCGGAGACATAAAAAGTATTAAGATAAAGTTTCCGATTTCAAGGCCTTGTCTAAACAACTCTAAGAGAAGGCTTCTACAAGACATGTGACTAGACACCCCAGTCCTTAATTGACAGGTCTGTATCAGTTATGCTCCTCACTCTTTGGACCTTGACCATTTCTCCTCAGAATATAGGTTCCCTAATACAGTTTGATAGGCACCTTTATGCCTGTCTGTGTCCTGGAATGTAGGAGTTTTCAGTGGCTGCTTGGCACTTTGCGGCTACTCCTTCTTTGGAATGGGAGTTGCAGATATAAGTTATACCCTGAAAGCCTTTGTGGTGCAGAAGCAATCTATCATTGTTTAGAAGGTCATTCTTCGAGAAAGCCGAGAATGAGGGTATTTCTCTGGCAGAGGCAGTAAGTCAAGCTTTCACAAAAGTTTGGCACTATTAATATAAAGTATGTGAAATACGTTTATTCAGCAAAGATGTATTGATTTTATTTCAAAGTTAGGTAAAGTTTTTTTAAATTTATAGTTGACAAAGTAGCGTGATTTTTATCTGATCTTTCACATTTTAACAGTTGCTTGGAAAAGATGCTAATTAATGAAGAGGAGCAGCCACTATTGGTGTATTTTTTCACAGATCGGTGCTTTATAAATAAAAATTGAAAGTAACTCCTAACACTGAATGGGTTTGCTATTGAAAAAGTAATGATCTTCTGGTGCAAATAAGTTTGGTGCGGACCTCAGCCTTGACCCTGGTGGGGAATTTGGTCAGATTTTACAGTCTCTGTCAAAGAGTAGACAGCTGAACTCACACCACACCCAACTTATAAAATGTCATGGAAGATGAAGGAGCACCAGAGGGGAAGGACACTCTGCAGACTGGACTCAGTTAATTGTGTTTAAAATGCCAGACGCCAAAGAGTAACACGATTCCTTGCTGATCCCTAAACTCTTAACTCATCAGACACCGTGAAGCAGCCTGCATGTGAGGAACGGAAAGAGCATTCAGGGTCTCCGAGTGACAGACTCTAACTAAAATGGGATGGTGCCAGGCAGATTAGTGTTTAAAGCTGACACCACCATGGTCGCGATTTTGGGTGACAAAGCCAAAGGAGAGAGAGGCCACATATTCCGGCCATGACTGAAAGCTGATCAACCACCAGAGGGAAGCGAGCCTGCTGCATGGAATGTTCAGATGAAGATGTTAATGTAGTTAAATAGGTCTTCAGTTTTCTTTGTGATATGTTAATATAGCAAACGTACCATGATTCAGTTCCCTCTATTTTTTTAAAAAGTGCTAAATTGTTTGGAACATAAAGAATATTATGTAATAAAAACTTGTTGATCATAATTTTTCTTGTTGGCATTTTGGGAAGCAGTAGCTGATATGATTTTCCATGAGCTGAACTTCACTGTCTTTCTTGCTTTGCACAGCAACTCCAGTAAATTTTGTGCTGCTTCCATTGTGTCCATTGGCATTTTTGGCATTTGCAAATTGCTTATGGTTCATTTGAAAAGCAAGTTACCTAAGCGATGTCTTAATGATCTCAAGCTCTTGCTAGAAACAGCCTTAGGATAATCCAGAGCTTACCTATAAATATTTCCCAGGCCTGCCATGACCAAAATTTAAATGGTTAGACATTTCATGTTTACAAAGTCCAAACTGCAACCTTTCTACATTCAGAAATTAAGCTATTTAATATGCTTCAGTGATAAAGTGAGTTGATTGCGTTCTCGTTTGTAGTTGCCTTTTACTTTCAACTCAGCTAGTTGTTATTGTTCTTATTGTTTAAAGCTGATAGTTCTGTGTGTTTATTTCGTGTTTGCTTTTTCTGCTTGCTATAAAAAAAAACACAGTCCCACTGCCAAACATTTCTTTCAGCTTCAAACACTCCAGAGTGAAAATTCGAACCTCAGGAAACAGGCTACAACCAATATATATCAGGTGCAAACTGGTTCTGAGTACACAGACACTTCCAACCACTCTTCCTTAAAGCGACGTCCATCTGCCCGGGGCAGTAGGCCCATGTCCATGTACGAGACGGGATCAGGTCAGAAACCATATCTCCCAATGGGAGAAGTGAGCCACCCCGAAGAGAACAGGACGAGACTCCAGCCTTTCCCCGCACATGTAAGTAACACCACTGGCGCTTCCGTTGTTTGTTCTCTGTCCAGCATGACTCCTGCATTGCCTCTTCTGAACCTGCAGATGCCCACGTCTCTGCTTTGCCAAACTGGGCTATGAGAGTTGTCATTGTGTTTGCTGTATTAACATGTCGACAGATGATTGTGGAAGTGCCACAAGCACACAGGGCCATTGGCCAAAATTTTTCAACAAGGCTAGGGATTCTGGTTCTTGCTCATCGCCCCTCCCCCTTTTCTCCCTCGTATCCATAATATCTTTCCCAGCCAGGCAGTATTGAAATTTTTTTAATAACAAACTTTCTTCCCCAGTTACAAAAACAAACATTGTAAAGATTGCCAGTGTAAGTGCCAGCTTCTTTGAGGTAGACAGATATGTGCCCCTTTATAAACTGGAGCTCTGAGAATTCAAAGTGCCTCCTGTGCTCCTCCCACCTGGGCAGGTGGCATCTGTGGTCTGGACATACAGGGTAGGTCTAGAAGCCTCTAGGCCTCCACAGCTTCTACGTGTGTGGTCAGCGTGCCTGCTTAGCTTCTACATCCACCTCCTCCCCTTTGGGGAGAAAACAGTGCTTTTTCATTTCACAGGAGTGAGTGTAAAAACTCTACATCAATTTCAAAAGTTTTGTATTCCAAAGATTGTGTTCTGTAACAGACTATTAATATCTTATTTTACAATGGGATAAGTGTTACGAGGTTTTCAAACAATATATTTGTTTCAGATTGATTTATTTTCAAAATCTGTTTTGACAAAATGCTACAGACATTTTGAACTGATGTGATGTATTTGAGAGTTATAGTAATGTGTGTTTTTTTTAATGTCACAGTTATTTTTCAGTCAAATTTTATAGGAGTTTCCAAAAAATTCTCAGAGTAAATTCAAAGTAAAGAATATATGTGGTCTAATAAATTAAACCCTAGTTTAATTTTGTCCAGCTTTAGTGTGGTAAATTTACAGTGTTGTTATACTATAATTGGGAGTCTGTTACTTCCACTTGTTAAGTTGTTTGGGTTAAACATTCTAAAGCAATTGATTTGATATATTTGGCATACTGGGATTGTCAATGAACTAAGTTAAGAATCTTATTTTTGTATAACTGAAAACACAACTTAGGAAATGCAACCTATGTTAGCTTTCATAGTGTACTTTTTTATTTTAGAAACATTTAGAATGTAAGAATGTCATATTGCAAAAGTAATTTTATGTCTATTAAAAATTGATAACGTATACCAACTTTTAATCATTCATATAGTTTCTCATTTTGTATTACCCATCCTGATTAGAAAACTAGTATTTGTTTAAGCTTTTTTTTTAACTATCAGCAAATTTGACAAAGTATGCCAGGTATTATCTTTTTTCCTTATAGAAAATAAGCTTTATAAATTTTGAGTAATTTCTGGGAAGCCATTCAATAAAGGATCAAATATCTCAGGGAATCTGTCACTGGCTAGGCTGGCATGGCAGCCAGCACTGATCTCACATAGCAAGTGGTAGCTTTTCAGGACTCTTTTACTGGGAAACCTGGGCTGAAGGCAGGGTAGGTGGTAGGGTTTTTGTTGTTTGTATTTTCCCGAGTGTGTTTCTTTTTCCCCTTTCAGATTGGGAGGAGTGCGCTTGTGACCTCCTCTTCGTCTCTGCCTTCCTTCCCCTCCACACTTTCCTGGTCCAGGGACGAAAGCACCCGAAGGGTTAAGTACACTATGAATGGTCTGCTCTGTGGAGGAGGGGCCGTGTTCCTGGGCGCTTTGTGTTTCTGGCCCTCCTGTCCCTTGCTAACTGCCCTCCTGCCCTGCATGAGGCAGCGCTTCCCTCTTGGTGTGTCACAAGCACAGCAGTGTGCATGGGCACGCACGCACGCGCGTCTATAGGAAGCACTATAGGAAGCAGCCTCCCTTTTGTCTAACTCCACGTTATTCTGTTTCACGCACTATATAACGAAGTCCACAATTCACCCTGTAACATTTTTTCTGAGTGTACTATCATTTTAAACAATCAGAAAATTAGCTGGCTGCTGGTTAAATATTGTGGTAAGGCAAACTCTCAAATTTGTTCAGAGCTTCAGTTATCAGATTAAAACTAGTATATTTGACTAACTGAAATGCTAAATCATGCTTTTTTATTTTTTTTAACCTCTTAACATATTTTATGTCAGCACCCTACTTTACAAACCAAGGTTTTGCAGTCCCTGCGCCTGATGTAAGCATCAGAACACATAGCAGAACTGGAGGTGTTGGCGGCTGTTAGTGTGAAGCTGTTCACTTTGTTAGTTGGCCAAGTCCAGCTTGCTGTCGTATCACTTAATTCCCAGTAACAGTACATGATTTAGGTAAGCCCCTTTTAGAATAGCCAGGCAGCAAGTATTTATTAAGCATCTCCTCCATACCCAGCCTTTTGGTAAGTCAGTGGAAGGGTCCTAGGGACTTAGGTGACATCCGTGCTCCCAAAGATACTATCAATTTAAAAAAATACTTTTACACATGAAGAGGACATGATGGCAAGCTGGGACAGACATGGAAAGAGCACAAGTTTTGAAGAGATACAGTCAGGTCCCTTACTCAACTCTTTTTTTTTTTTTTTTTTTTAAGCAGAAGGGGAGTATAACTAAGGTGAGAGGAGGGAAGGAGGCTGTGGGTATGGGACCACCTTTGTAGACATAGTGGGATTTGCACTGGGCCATTGTCCACTTCCTGCACGTCTGTAGGAATGATGGAGAATCCTTCTTTTCCACTGACAGAGCCATATGGCACATCAAGGCCCTTTGGAGGTTCTTTTCTGCAGTTTCGAAGTAATCTATTAAAAATAACTCTTGATATGTATTATATACTCCAAGTCTTCTGAGGAGTTCTGAAATGGAACTGCATTGTTTTTTATTACGATATTTCGGTTAAGATAAGGAACAGTTAATAGAAATGAAATACCTCATTTGAAATTTTCGTAACAGTCAAGTAAACTTTTTTCCACTGTGAAATTTTTTTAAAAACCCCAAAATTTGTTTTGCTAGTTTGGGAATCATGGCAAGGACTGATTGCTGAGATGGAGTTTTACACAAAATTAACGTCATTTAAAGTGATAATCCTGAATGTTCCTGAAGGCTTCATCATGAGTTTAGATTTTTATGGCATGTCTGTATTAAAAACAAATTGGAAATCTATTAAACAAACTGAACCAGCACCAGCTATATGGTAACTTTTCTATTAACAGCTTTGAGAGAGCAGCACTTTTAACTAATGGATCTTACCTCTGCATGTTTACAGTAATTTCCACAAAATTAAATGCTGGCTAATTTGAAGTCCTGTACATATGTTTTTGTCAACAATGATGAAGGGCTTAATTTGTAAGTAAATGATTTCCTGGGTAGTTACCGCTGTGCATTGTTTTTAGTGTTTGAGAAACACACCCTGAATTTTATTACTCTTCTAAAATGTTTAAATGAAACTTAGTACTTTTAATCATTGTGGGGGTAGTACATTTGATTTGTAAATGCCAAGTTTACATCAAGGAAGGAAAAAGATTCATTATAAAAATGTGGGATTTTCTCGGCTTAATTCTATTTTTAGAAATTTCCACTGGAGTAGCTCTGGATGAATTTTCCAGAATAATTATTTAAATACAAGTTTTTTACATTACGTGTGTGTGTGTGTATATATGAAAAAAAAAGGAAAAGAAATTTAAAGATCGGTCAAACATTCCCTGTTAAAGGTAAGATGGGCTTTTGTCTTTGAGATCACCTCTCGAAGAGCCTGGTTTCACTGTTCCTGCATTGGACACAGTGCTTGCCTTCGGTCTTCCATCTAGATTTCCCATAGTCAGTAGCTCACTGATTGATTCATAAAGCCAGATCAAAATAAGGCAGCAAGTGAAACAGAACTGCTTGCTTGTAGGAGATATAAACAAAGGGATCTTAAAAGTTATAGCCAGTTTTACAGAACTGAAACTCTCCATATGGCTCCAGCTAACACTTTTAATCATTTGCCAGATGAAGTTGAGTGGGTACAGATTTTAGGAGCCCAGCTCAAGTGTCTAGCGCCTGAGACCAAAGCAGAGCACATGCGGGAATGTGAAAGATCTCGGCAAACAGAGAAAGGCAGCATTTGCCCAGGGAGAGGAAAGGGGGGCCTGGGGATAGTAAGCAAAATGTGATATGAATAAGGAGGCCCCCATGGGGGGGGGGTGCTGGCTGCCTTGCCTGCTCACATAAGGGCTTTCAGAGGACCAGGCAGCTTTACCAGTAAGGAGCCAATAGGTTTTATGTAGGCTTTCCTAAAACTGACTTACCCTAAAGTAGCCACCATTTTCGATGAACTGTAGGGTCTCCATATGTTTAAACAAGGCCCTTAATTTACAGTTAACCCTTGAACAACATGGGGAGTTAGGGACCCTTGACAAATGTGATGTCCAACTACCAGCTGATCTTTGAACAACATGGGTTTGAACTGTGTGGGTCAATTGAACTGTGCAGTTCAGTTTTTTAAAAAAATTGTGTGTCCGTGAACCCACGCAGTTCAAACCTGTATTCTTTAAGGGTCAACTGTACAGCTATAACTTTAGCAACATTTTATTGCAGCATTAATAAAATTCCTTGGTCACATGTTTTGATTAACTTTGATTAAATTCAGCTTATAGAGCATTTAGGTTGTTTTTTATAAAAGATTTGATTTATTTTTAGAGAGGGGGAAGGGAGGGAGAAAGAGAGTGAGAGAAACATTGATGTGCAAGAGATACATCAATCCCCACGCCCCCAACTGGCCACCCCGCCTGCCACCCAGGCATGTGCCCTAACTGGGAATTGAATTGGTGACCTTTTGGTTCAGAGGCCGGCACTCAACCCACTGAGCCACACCAGCCAGGGCAGTTTAGGTTTTAAATCAGCTTCCACTGGCTTCTATCCTAGATGAAGAAATTCTCAGACATTATGGATAAAATAAAAACTGAGGGAAAACATTTTTAGTAATCGCTTAAGAACTAACATAGTCCCCTTTAAAGGAACGCAATCCTCTTCAAATTCTGTCACTCTGAAAGACCCTAAGCTTAGTGCTGCCATTTGCATAACACGTTTAGCATTTTTTAAATCTCCACAGTTGCATCCAGTCTTTATATTTTAAGGGCTAGGTGTTTTGCAAAACCAGTAAAAGTGTTTGGACACTGGGTTAATCCATTTTGATTCGGAAACAACATGTGGCAATATAAATGACAATACTAGTTTTCTGGTGTGGCTCATACAAACTCTCTTAGGGTGGTTCTTGGAGAGCTATATGTGTTTTGAGCAGTGGTGATCCTCAGAGCTCCTGGCATGGAATATTGGAGATAACAGGAGACCTGGATTCTTGGTCCTGTTTTTCTGCTGACTCTGGCCTTGGGTGTGTCATTTTCAAATGGACCCTTTATTTTCTCATCTGATGTTAGACTAGATAATCTACAAGAAGCGTCCAGCACTGCAGGTCTGTGGGTACATAAGTGCTGGCATGTTTGCTATTTAAATATCTTCTTATGTTACAGTTAAATTCATATTCCTTAGGGAACTAAATGTGGGTATGTTGCCTTGTGGGTCTGTGTTAGTTGTACCAAGGATCTGTTCATGGAGTAGCCACTGAACTAAGAAGGAAATGGTACAAAAAAGGAAAGGAGCCATTTCTGTATCCACTGTTCATCTTTTACTAAATTTTCAATAAAGGGTTGGCCCCTGTCCCAAGTGAGACCTGGTCCATAAAGGTCATACGGCCTAATAGGTTGTATGATTCCTGGGGAAGGCTTCCAAGAAGTGTCTCGTGCTCCATACTAACGGGGGACACCTTTTCTCTCTTGTAGGCATCTAGACTGGAGAAGCAGAACAGCACACCTGAGAGTGACTATGACAACACTCCCAATGACACGGACCCAGATGACATTGGGTACATCTGCAGGAAGGATGTACCAGGGTCGGGCTCTTAAAGCAGAGACCTAACAGGCTGTGGTCAGGAAGCGTAGTTCATCACCTGCACCCTTTTCTCAATTTTCAGACCCATGAAGTCTTTTTTTGTTTTTAATTTTTATTGATTTGGGGGGAGGGGGGAGAAACATGGATTTGTTGTTTCACTTATTTATGCATTTATTGGTTAATTCTTGTATGTGCCCCAACTGGGCATCGAACCCGAACCTTGGCATGTCAGAATAATGCTCTAACCAACTGAGCTACCCAGCCAGGGCAGGGGTGACTTTATAATGGCACACCCTCCCCATTCCAGTTATTCCCTCCCTTTCCCCATCTGCACCCTTTCTAGAAGAGTCATAATTTCCAGCCCTTTGGTAAATGGAATAGCCTCCGTGTGAGCAGTGGCTGCCTGCTGAAACAGCCTACCACAGTCTCCTGCCTGGCAGGATAAAGGAAACCACAAGAGCAGCCTGCTCTTGCATTCAGCAAATACACATATCAGGCTCCTAGAAGCAGAGAAGGAGGTGATAAATACCTGTTACATTTAGCCTCTTCTTTAACATTCACAGGTCAAGCAGGAAGGGAAGGCAGAGGAGTATGGTGTGGCAAGGTGATGGCTTAGTACCAGATGTGGCAGAACCTGCCACTGCCCCAAGCCCCATCCTCCCCAGCACCGAAGATGTCATCCGGAAAACTGAACAGATCACCAAAAACATCCAGGAACTCTTAAGAGCAGCCCAAGAAAATAAACATGACAGGTAAGGGGACTTGAAAATCCTGCCTGAAAGAATGTGTATGTGCTCTGGAAGAGATGCTGCTGTGGTTATGAACAGGGATTTTTTTTTCCAACATCTTGATTTTAAAGGTTTTTGAAAAATTTCAGGTTTACAAAACTGGCTTAAGAACAAATTTGTAAATTCGTGTGTTTGGTTTTTTTTTTTACGTGGTGTTTTCAACTTTTCATTCTTCTTATGAAGTACTCTGAAAAAGTGTCTCTAGAAACGGAATTGCTGCGTGGTTGGGACAGTGATACTCCTAGTTCTAGATGGAGAAGGGAAAGGCGCTACCCGAGAGCTTGCGCTTGGTTCTCAGCAGGGCTGCCCGCTGTGAGCTCCTTAGATAGGAAAAAGTTGCTGATAGAAAAGGTATTTTGGAATGAACCTGATTTTGTATGCCTCCTGCATATGTATGTGCTTGTGTGTGTACATGTATATTTGTATAAAATGTCTAAGAAACAAGCAGTTTACAAGTAAAAGTGGATCGGATCTCTATTCAAATAACTGCTCTCTCTGAGCAGCATCACATCCGGCAGTCACTTCTTACCACAGGAAGGGACTGGCTCTTGTTCTGACTTACCCTTTTCTCTGACAACTTAAGGTAGGTTGTTAATTTTTCTAGGTGGCATCGTAGTTTCATGTGGCTGGCCCGGTTTAGGCACAGTCATGAAACGTGGTTTAATATCATCCCATTGAGTTTGGTCAAAGAAAGAAACAGTTTGGTCAAAACCCAAGAACAATCTCATTCTTTTTACAAGATCAGCAAAGTTTAGAGCCCTCAGTGGAGAACTGCTCTTCGTGCTTTGCACAAACAGAAGTTGTTCCAGGACCACAGTACTGGCACTTCTTTCTCCTCTCTGTTCTTGTCTTCCACATAAAGACGCACCCGTGTCTTGCATTCTCTGCTTTCCTGGCACTGTTGTGCTAACCGTCCCTTTCTCTGCCTCTCCCTGTTTTATACAGCACAGGCTTCTCCAGATGTCGTTTCCCTCTCAGGATGAGAGGAAGAGTCAGTGTTTGCTCAAGGATCAGAGTTAGGCTCAGTCTTCATGGCTGGACTGCTGGAGGATCCTCAGAGAAAAGGAGGAACCTGCGTTTCCCAGCTTCCTTCCACGAAAATTTCATAGCTGTTTATCTCCCACCTTCCCTAGGCATCCTCTTTATCGTGCGCTTTCATGCCTCACATACTGCAGCTGTTTAGTTCCTCTTCTCAGCAGCTCCCTTTTCTTATTACTAACGCAAAATGTCTCACAGTTTTCCAAGTCCAGTCTTTCAGTGATCTTGGTACCAAGGTGAACTCCTTTCCTAGTGCTCTGCCTCCATTTAACAATGTGCCTCACTTCTCATTTCCTCCCATTCAGACATACCATGCTGGTATTTCAGACTAACAAAAAAAGTGCTTAGGTTGCATTGTTTTCTTTGGTAGTTGTCAAAAATACAAATATCTGCCCTGCAGCCATTTCTGGTTTAAAAGAGCGCGATAGGGTTCTCGGTATAATTTGGGAAGGTTTTTTTTTCTTTTTCTTTACAAATTTATTCAGTGGATGTTATGATCTGATTTCTTTTTTAAGACCATGAGAGTGATGAGAGATCTTAATCATTAGCTCATTCTTTTAAGCCAGAATTGGTCTAGAGACTTTATATTTTACAAATTATTTCAAGTTCTGTTAAAATCTCTGGTTACTTACATATTCAAGACACTTTTATTTATAACCTTGCCTTGTGCAAATGAAACCCATGCCTTTTCCTTTTGTTTTCTCTTCTTCTTGATTTCATTGCTTGTGCTTATCCTCAGTAGACCAGTAGCCCATGTTGGCACATTCAGGCTTGGTTCCGGTCCCCTGGTCCCAGCAAGCTCTCCTCAGCCCCTCCCTCAGACTCTGTCCCGTGGGCCTCCAGCCTTCCTCCCTGTGTGTCTGCCTTTCTCTCTCTCTCTCTCTCTCTCTCTCTCTCTCTCTCTCTCTCACACACACACACACACACACACACACACACATGCACGTACACAATTACACAGAGTTCAGGCTTACTACCTATAATGCACAACAGCCTTTTTGAGGAAAGATCACAATTTGAAATTGTGAGCATTCACTCCCTCTGATAAAGGAGGAGGACTTTCTCACTAATCTGCATGTGCTTTCTTTAGTGGCTTATGAAGGACTTTCTAAAATATCTCCTAGTGAATGAGTGTTTGAGAGATTTCCTTAGGAAAAATTTCTTCTCTATGTAGCAGGGGGAAAGGGTAAATTATACTTTTGGATCAAAATGAAAATCCTAACTAGCAAAACATAAAACTCTTAGGTATGGTTCTCAGTTAATGTGATATTAATGGACATAGTTTCAAGAAACATTTATATCTGTTACAGAGGTCTCTGTGGACATAGCCTTTTGCTCTGAGTATTTATGTGACCAGATGGGTTGGTGCTCCTTGAAATTTGCAAGTTCAACAACTCCTTATGCATTGGCATTTTTGTTGTTACATGGTGCGTGGTTCTACCTGCTCACAAAGGTAGAAGTGAGGATTTCCCATTTGAAGATATTTTGAGATGATAGAAACCATTTTCTTTCTTTTTAAAAAAAAATATAAACCATTTTCTTGAAATATGATGGTTTTTTTAATCAGATTGAATGAACTATCTTTTTAAAAATAAATATTTATTTATTTATTTGAAAGAGAGATTTGTTCCATTTATTTATACATCATTAGTTGATTCTTCTCCGTGCCCTGACTGGAGATCGAACCCCCCACCTTGGCATATCAGGATGACACTCTAACCAACTGAGCTACCAGGCCAGGGAAGATTGAATAAACTTTCAAGAAAAGACTGGGGACTCTGATCAAACCAGATGCCTTCTGTTGGTGTGGGGTCCACAGTGGGCCAGCCTCGGGCTCAGCTCCTTCATTAAGGGAATATAAATGGAACCTGTACTAGCCTCTGAGTATTTGTCTTTGAATTATTTTATTGTCTTTGAATAACCTCTTCAATATTCTTGCAGTTATATTCCCTGCTCAGAGAGGATACACGTGGCTGTTACCGAAATGGCAGCATTATTCCCCAAAGTAAGTCACTTCTACTTACTTGGTTCATATCCTTTTAAATGAGCTGCATGAAATTCCTTTATGACCTTGATGTTACATTAAACTTTTGGTAGCACAAAGAGTCTTAAATCTGCAAACAATCATATAGGGCATTGAGATATTTCTGTTCTACATGAATATTAGTTTTAATAAGGCAAGAATGTCTGAGCCCAGTGCTAAAAAGCCAAGCATTAATAATATAAAATTTTATCTGGAATATTTCACTCAAGTGGATTAATATTTTTCAAAAACTACCTCATAATAGCAAGTATTACTAAAATATACTGCACGTGCTGTGGCCTTTGAGTTAGAGTGCTTCAGCATCTCTCACACCATGGTTGTAAAGCTTGCAGTGTTGAATGTTGAGAACCCCCGTTGAAAAAGTACGTGACAAAACTGCTGTTCTTTATGGAACAGTTGAAGTTGTTTTCAGAAGAATGCTTGTCCCTGCTCTTGGATGTCCACCCTGCATTTCATGGCCAGTGGCTCTGTTTTCTGTTTAGAAACCCAAGTCTGACATGGTGAGGACTTCCCTTCGCTTACTGACATCCAGTGCCTACCGACTCCAGTCAGAGTGCAAGAAGACGCTCCCAGGTGACTCAGGCCCGCCCACGGACATCCAGCTGGTCACGCAGCAGGTCATCCAGTGTGCATACGACATTGCCAAGGCCGCCAAACAGCTGGTCACCATTACCACCAAAGAGAACAACAACTGAACTAGTGGAGTGCTGACCCTTCTATTTTCTAGGCTTTTCAAAGTCCAGTTACAAATTGAGACATGGAACTCTTCTGATTTTTACCAGAAACAAACATTTAATGAAAGTTAAAAACTTTTTTTAAAAGCTCAGTATTATTTTTGCATGTTTTCTAACAAATTTTCAACTATTAATTTAACCCACTTGCCTTATTTTGTGACTGTGAGTTAATGACGGTAGACATCCAAAAGCATAGCTTCATTGTTGCAAGTTTGTTACAACTTTTCCAACCCTTAAAACTCCCTGCCTATGGTTAAAACTATAAATGAGATGTTTTAGTACATTTTCTTGAGAGTGTTGGGGAAAAAATAATCTACATTGTCTGTTCCCTACCAAACATTGTGCAATAACTGAATTTTCCAACCTATCGGAAGAATCTCTTAAGTTTGGAGTATCTCCAAGCATATATGTAGAGACAGGACTATGCCACTTTTTTAAAATAGCATAACGATCTCTCTTGGAAGGAAACAATGAATTGCTCCATTTAACTGTTCTATCAGATGTCCTTTAATTTTTCTATCTTGATCTTCAGTCTGTTCTATTTTACTATCATCCTGAAGTCTCCGTGGCGTCAGATAAGCACTCATCCTCCATGTCATGTGTCATCTGGCCACGTCCAGGTAGGAGCTCCGCCCTGTTACCCCACACAGCCTGCTGCTCTACCTTACCACAGGAAACCAGCCTTCATTCCAGACGTGCGGCAAATGGGAGCATCGGCCCAATGGGCCATAATTCATTCTGTACCACCCTCCTCTTTCACTGCCATAAACCATGGGAAGAGAAATAATCTACTCCCTGACCTTGTTTTGTACCTCTCACCTAAAACTCGGTTATTCCTTTAAACACTTAAAGCTTTCTCGCAGGACCTGCTTTACATAGCCTGTCACCTAAGGACTTATTGTAAGGTAAGATGTATACAATCATTTGAGTTTCTTTCTTTTCCATTATCGTGCTGATACTTAAAAATTGGACATCAACTTGCAAGAATTCCTTAAGGGGTATGATCTGGCTGACTATCCACTATCCCAGGGCTATGAAAGAATGCAGGTTTAAGTTCTGGAACGTGCTGAGATTGTTTTCTGAGTTGCTGAAGAGACCTTGTTCTGAGTGCTAAAGCATATTCCTCTACCTGCTTATTGCAGCTGTTTTGTGTGGGGGTGACTCAGACCTGACCGAGACCCGAGGCCAGGCAGCAGGGGTGAAGGTGAATGAAGTGAGCCAGGCGAGGAGCAGGGGTGGGGACACCGAGGGAGCCTAGGGCACACCCAAGGGGCACAGCAGCTCCATGCGGGCAGCCCTGCGGCAAAGTGGGCCCGGAGTTGCCAGAGCTTGTGTTTCTCAAGAGACTCCAGAATCTGGATGTTTTTTGTGCCATCTCTCTGTTCATAAGCGTTGGCAACTGATCTGAACATTTTCACAGCCCACATGTGGGTGGGCTGTGGTCTCTCCACCCATGGCCTCGGCCCTGGGGTCCTGTAAATTGTAGTGTGAGGTCCTGGCTTCCCTGGTCACACCTGGGTTAATGGTTGCACCTTATCCATAATGTGGGCACCCTGTCCTGTGTTAAGCTGCTTTTAGTCCTCATTTTACCCATATATTCTGTCCCAGAGTGCTCATTCACACACGTGAGGAACTCGATCAAAGTTGCCTAAATAGATGCTAAATAAGCCTGTACTTTCACAGAAGTGTTTGATTCAATCATCTTTATACCTTGACCGTAAACTGTCATGATAGGAGCACCATGATGGTGTTTGGTTTACTAAGTCACTGTGTGTGGATGCTTTTGCCGGGCTTTGCTACACGGAGCTTGAGGAAAGGGTCCACATCTCCAAAAGACTCGTCCACTTGCTTATCTGCACAACCCTAAGTGCCATGCTCCTGTCAGATGCTGAGGGGATGCCTTCTCGAAGGATGTCTTCTAACTGAAGTGCAAGCACCATCTGAAAACCTTAGCTGCATGCTGCGCACACTTAGCTGTCCCTTGTCTTTCTTGCAAACACCTGCCGTCGGATTGGGCACACATGGGGCCCTCAGGAAAGGCTCAGCAGCAGTCTTCAGTTGGCGACTGTGGCCTGGGGGGACAGACTTCTGAACAATGAGTCATCCACAGCGGGTGAAATGGCGTCCTCACCTGAGCACTCGAGGACCTGTGCCCTAGAGAAAGTCAAGGAGTGTGGGGACCAATGACGCGTTTCCAGTTGCAGGAACACCGCAGAATTTGCTGTTAGCCCACAGTGCCAAATCTCTGGAAAGAAGTTCCCAGGTGGAGCGACATGCGGTGGCAGGAGGGCCACAAGGCCCCCTGCCCCCCGAGTGCCTCGCACGGTTCCTCAGCCTCGTCTGAGATCTGGTGTCGGAGGTCTTCCAGTCCCGTTAGCGAACCGCACCTTGTCTGAACGGTGGTTCACTGCTTTTTGCACATGGGTTCCATAGCCTTGCACTAATGTCTGTTAATGTCATTTTTTTACCCTTTATTTTCAAATCCCCATCCCCCCTCCCAGAGCTGGTAGGACAGAGGTGCACTTTACAAAACTGGCACTTGTTGAAGAGGAGACAGCTCCCCCCCAAGCTCCTTTAACTGAAGTCATTTTCTGCCTCAGAATGCAAATAGTTCTTATTTGCCAAAGAACAATTGGGCCCAAAGATCAAATACAGCATTTCATGTGATTGGAACTGTAAATGCACAACTCAGGAGCTGTTGTCCAATTCCTCAAGAGATTTAAGCTGCAGAACCAAGAGTGAGGCTAGCATGTGTTTGTCCACAGCAGCTGTGAGCTTTCCAAACATAATTTTCCTCCTTTCCTTGTCCCAGTTGAAGGTCACTCTTGTTTTTACAAAAGGAAATGCTGCATAGGAAAAAATGAAATGCCTTTTATTCAAATGTGTTTTATCTATGTCACCCTTTATTCTTGAGTTGTTCTTCATTTTTATTGTACATTCTATTCCTGTAATTATTGTACAACCCTTTAAGCATTGTAAAATTGTTTTGGAATTTGTGCCTGCTAGTTATGCAATAAACAGGCTCTATAACAGAAGTCTTTGCAGTAATTCTATGTTTCCTGTCAGTTACTTGATGCTTCCAGACACTGTCAGAGTTCTGAGAAAGTTCTCACATAACCCCATCTTGAACGAGACAGTATTAAATACGCTTTTACCCTGGGCACTCTCAGTTTGTAGGAGTGATGTCCTTTTTCATCCTCTGTCCTTAGCAGATAGCTTTGTTAAAAGAACTCCTGCATCAGGGTATCAGTTCCAGGTATGTTATCATGATGTATTCGCTCCTTAAGTAGAATTTTTTTTTTAATTCATTGAAAGCCTGCCAAGCACATATGCCCTTACCTCCACTTACTTACCAGGTGATCTGGTCATGGGGTTAGTCTCTCTCTTTAAAAATTTTTTATTTATTGATTTTTAGAGAGAGAGAAGACAAGGGAGAGAGAAACATTGATTTGTTGTTTCACTACATTAGGCATTAACCAATTGATTATTCTATGTGCCCTGACTAGGGATCGAATCCGCAACCTTGGCATATAGGGATGATGCTCTTAACCAACTACCCGGCCAGGGCTTAATTGAGTCTCTTAAGGCCATCAGTCTCTTTTTAACTTTGAGAGCAAGGCCCATTGTGCAGGTTCATGTGGGGGACTGTGGAATATAGATTTACACCTGGGATCATCGGGGCCGCCCTCAGTCCCCAATAGTTGTCCTCTGGAGAGGTGACTTGGGGCTCTTACTCCCAGACAGGAGAGGGGATGAGGCAGGACCCAGTCATCACAGCAAGAAGTCTAGGGAAGATGGAGTGTCCTCAATTGTGGTCCAGCATGTCAGACCCAGAAGCACCTCCCAGGGCAGAGCTTGTCAAAGGAGCCAGCCCCCAGCCCCGGGAGGGCCTGCTAAAACATGGCCTTGGGCTCATTTCCGATTCAGCAGCTCTGGGGTGGGGCCTGGGAACAAGGTCCCAGGGGATACAGAGGCTGCTGGTGATGACCACACTCTTAGAAGCAAGGCTCTCAACCCATTTTCAGGGCTCCCTTCCCTACCACTCAGCTCCTTGCCCATCTGCTTTTAAACATGTTTTTATAATAATTCTAATTACAACTAACACTTATCAACTATTTGTTCTGCGCCAGGCACTGTGTGGGTTCTTCATGCGGATTAACTCCCTTGATCCTCACTCCAGCCCTGGGAAGCAGGAGTCGTTCCTGTTGTACATGTGGAGAGGTTTACACTCAAGGAGGCGAGCCCCACCCACATCGAGGGAAGAGGGGAGCATGTGAGTTATTGTTAGTCCAGTTGGTCCTTACTGGCCACCTTGAGCTTTCTCGACGCTTGCAGCTGAGAACCTGGCCTCGTGGGGAGTTGAAGCCTACATTGCCCTGACATTTCTCTAGATCAGAGCAGGGCCGTGGGTGATGTGAGGCTGTGTGAATACGTGGCTTTTTGGATAAATGGGCCCCAGGCTGCCTGTGGCCTTTGAGTGGAGGCCGTGTCTCATCCTTGAGCCCCAGGCACTGGGACCCCTGTGGCGTTTGTTAGAGTGACCAATGGGAAGGACTGTCTTCTGGCCCCCGAGCATCTCGAGCAGCCCTTTCCCGTCCATGGAGCTGTGCCGGGGTGGCCTCACCACAGGAGCAGCTCAGTGGCCGAGGGTGACCCGCTGCCCAGCAGGCCGGCGTGCAGGACTCTGCAGGAGCCGGCCCCTGTCACCCACAGAAGCCAGGCAGAGGAGACCGAGGGGTCCCCACCTCTACCAGCGGGCCACCGAGCCAGGAGCCCCACGAGGTGCGTCAGAGTCCTTCACTGCTTAACAGGGGTAATGCATCAGCCCTGCACAGAGCGGGTCCCCAGGGGAGGGTCCGCTGGGGACAGGAGGCATTAGCGTACCCTAGTTTCACCCCACCCCACCGCCATCTTCCTTCTCCGACCCCAGGCACCGAGCTGTCTTCCCAGCCTCCCAAACTGTCTTAAACACTCTAGGACCTTTTCAGCCCCATTGCTCTCCAGTGCAGCTCCTCTCTGGGGACTGGGGACCGTACCTCCTCCTCCTCCAAAATCCCCCCATTCCCCTACCCCTCTCCAGCCCCTTCCCTTCTTCGGAGTCACCTTCCCCTTGTCTCCCCTTTCAGGATCGCCCACACCCTTCCCCTCCCAACCCTTGTAGCAGGGACCTCTCTGCGTCCTGCCCCTCCCCTCCACCAGCTCCCCACTTCCCTTTCGGGAGCCCCAAGTAACTACCCCTCACCTTGTCTCTTCTTTAGTCCTGTGAGCCCCGTCTCCCACGTCTTCCTTGTTTCCTCATGAGCCTGAAGAACACACTTTGGAGAGGGAAGTTTTGAAATCTAATGCAGGTGGGCCTCTCAGCCTCCCCTGTACCACATCTGGCCATCCGCTTGCCTCCCCCAGCCCTGCCTCCCCCAGGAACCCACTCTGCTCTATTCCTTTTAGACCTGGGGGGCAGAGTTAACACTAGCACTGACTGTCGGCGGCCACCGGGCTAAGTACAATTTCATAAAGTAGGAATGGAAACTGTCCCCATTTTGCAGATGAGGAAACTGAGGCTCAGCCCTCAGAGCCCAGTTAGTAGCAGTAAAGCAAGTTAACCACAGGGCTGTGCAGGCAAGTGGCCCATCCAGAATGAGGAGGACTGGAGGAATGCAGCAGGTGGCAGAGCTTCTAGAAGCAGAAGTGGGTGGGGGGTGGCCACGGCTGAGGCCTCTGCAGAAGTAAGGTGGGAGGGACAGTGGCGCAGATGTGGTGGCTCCCGTCTCCTAACATTTCTCTGGCCTGGGAGTGTCAGAGTGGGGTGGGGGGCGGGGGACAGGGACGCTGGTCTCTGTGTGGTCCCTGCCCACCTTGGGTTGGGGGGGGAGCTTAAAGGACTGGAGCCTGGGTGGCCAAGTGTGTGTTTTGTCTTCCAATTCCTCATTTGTGCCACAGACATTCCTTTTCTTTTCTGTCTGTTTCAAATTGAGATATTTGGTAACCGCTGCTCAAGTGAGACCACTATGAGTGAAGGACGTTGCCCGATTCAACTGTTCCAGTGATTCAGGGACATCACAGATGCCACATGGCATGATGATTCGCCCCAAGTTAGCTGTTCCGGAAGCACAGACCTATGACCCCTTCAGGGCACGGTGTTGGTGGGGGGATCTACCACATCCCTGGAGTAGAGGGAGCACTCCCCCCACTGAGGGCGGGAGCCTGACTTGGTGGAGAAGAAGTGTAGCCTGAGTCTGACCTGCTGCTTCTCATTAAAACTAGATGAAAATACCTCCCAAGTCCAAGGGCAGAGACAACGGTGCTTCCACTGTAGGCAGGTTATTTCCTGGGGGCGGGTGGCATGCTCTTGGCAGGACACATAGGTCCCTGTGAGCTTTGGGCTTTCCGTCTTTGTCTTTCTGCATCCATGCATTGCCATCACACACTTCACAGGTGAACAGTGGGGTCCAGATGCTGGGGTGTCAGGACTAGAATCTGGGGCGTCCTGGGCCACAGCCCCCACTCTCACGTCTATAATTCTGCCCCTACCCCTGTGAACTCTAAATACTGACACATCTAAATATCTGACACATCCACGTAGCGGCCATCTATGTCCCCACCACTCGGGTCCTCGGGTCCTTCCCTCCTAGACTTCAGTGCTAATTGCTTCCTTGCTTTTGGCTCACCACCTGTTCCTGCACCCCCCAGGTAAAGAGCTTTGTTTTGCCTATTTCCAGGCATGAACACGGGACCCGACTGGTGTATTCTTTTCTTTCCCTCAATATTGTGCAATTTTGCTAGGTTCACGGGCATGCCCTTAGTTAGGATGTTTCCCATGTTGTGTAGTGTTCTTTGATCATTTACACCACCATTTATTTATCTAGTATTATATTGTTAGGTGGTTATTTTTAGTTGTTGGCTTTTATGAAAAAAATGCTATAACATTGTCTTTTGGGGCCTGTACGACCATATTTCTGTGGAGTCTATACCTGCGGGCGGACCTTCTGGGTTATAGAGTACCTGCTTCTCCAGACCTGTAACACTGTCTTCATAGTGTTGGAATGTGAGGTTTCCCATTGTCCTGCATCTTCATCAACAGTGGTGTAATAAGCCATTTTAGCATTGCCTGTCTGCTGCATTTGTAGTATTATAGTATCTCATTTTGATTTGCATTTCTGATTAATTATATATGGTTGTATGCTTTTCCACATGTATTAACCATTTAGATTTCTTTCCTCTTTTGTAAAGTGGCTGTTTGAGTGTTCGGCCATTTTTCCATTAGGTTCTCTGGGGTTTTTAAAGAAGCAGTCACAGAAGTTTAAAAATATATTCTGAACACTAGTCCTTTTTGATTATCTGTGCTACAAACATCCTTTCCCTTTCTGTGGCATGTCTTTTCCCTGCCTTAGGTGTCTTTCAAGATAGATTTTTTTCATGTAGTCAAATTGATCAGTTTTTTCCCTTATGGTTAGTGTTGTGTCTTAAGAAACCTCCCCTATGATTACTGTCACTTTTTATTTTGAAATAATCATAGATTCACATACCCTGGAGTTCCCCTGCCCCCGTTGCTCACTTTTCCCCAATGGGAACACCTTCCATAACTGTCATACAGTAGCAAAGCCAGGACACTGATATCGGTGCAATCACAGGCCTCATTCAGACGTCACGGAGTTCACATGCATGTGTGCACATGTGTGTTCATGCGTGTGTGTGCATGCACGTGTGTATGGGGGGGTCCCGTGCCATTTTCACCACATGTGTAGGTTCCTGTCATCACCACAAGGAAGATACAGGCCGACAGCATCACCACGGACATGTCCCCGGTGCTGTTCCTTTCTAGTCACATCCTGTCACCTGGCAACCATGACTGCCCTCCATCTCCATGATTTTGTCCCTTCAGGAATGTTATATAAATGGAATCATACAACCTGTGACCTTTAGAAACTGGCTTTTTCATCCAGGTTGTTCAGACACTGAGGTCCTGGATGGAGAGGGGCCCCAGACACCACCGGAGGACTGTGCCCACTAGAAACTGCCACCCCCATGCTTGGGAATGGCCCCTTAATTTTCCCTGTCAGAGGGTAGGAAGGAGCTGTTTGCCTTTTTATTTTTTAAATAACATCCTCCCCTCATTTCATCTCTGTGTCGAATATAGAAAAACACCCAAAATAAAAAACAGCCATTATCCCAACTTTTAGAAATACCCAGAAAATGCTTTTTCCCTTAAAAATGGAATTATGTAAATACTGTTTTTGAACTTTTTTTTTTTTTAAGAGGGGAAAGGAAGAAGAGAGGAAGAGAAACACTGATGTGGGAGAGAAACACCGATCGGCTGCCTCTCACACACGCCTCCCCCAGGAACCTGGCCCACAGTCCAGGCATGTGCCCCAGCCAGGAATCAAACCGGCAACCTTTCACTCTGCAGGACGATGCCCAACCGAGCCACACTGGTCAGGTAAACTTTTTAATATAGCATGAACATTTCTCCAGAACTTTAACATTTTTTAAGCATTTTATTTCATTTTAATGCACTGTGTATTATCCCAAACAGCCTCCTAGCGTTGGACATCTAGTTTAGCTTTTGCTGCTATAAGGAATGCTGTGAGGAACACCTTTGTACCAGTCTGATTGCCCTTTGTATTTCCTGGGCCAGGGGCAGGTTGGCGTACTCGGAGAGGGCCCTTGGGGGACCAGCCTGTATAGGACCTGGTAGGCCAGGAAAGCATTCGATCCTAAGTGCAGGGAGATACCATTGAAGATGGAAATTTTTCATTTCAGGTGTATATTTGTAAAAGATCTGAGTGCAGGATGTAGGGAAAAATGGGGTGGATGTGTCTTTGGATAGAAGTCAGTGGTAGCGAAGAAAGATGGTGCTGAGAGGAACCAAGTGAGGGGTTTGGAGATTGCAGGAGGTCGTGGTGGCAGGACACAGTGCCCCAGGCCGTTGGCTCCTGCAGTGGGCAGATGGATGGCAGCGCCGTTCAACACTGCAGGAGGGCCCGGTGGTTGTTGCTGTTGTCTGTTTAAGATGGAAGTTTAGAAGCGATCATTTGCTAGTCTTCTTTATTGCTAGCAAAGGTGCTGAGCTTGAGGCACCTTTGAGACAGAGTGGAGATGTCACAATGGCAGAGGATAAAGGAGTCTGGCTTAGAGACAGAGATCCAGGAGCTCCTGAAGTGGAGATGGCGCTGGAAGCCAGAGGCCTGGCTCATGCCCCTTGGGAAGGGCCTGCGTGGCGAGGAGGGGCCTGAGCCTCAAGGCTGGCACTTCTTGGGTTATAGCTGGCAAAGGCAAAGTCACTCTGCCAAAGCACCCGAAGAACCCCCTCTGCATCATCAACCCGGATGGAGTAAGAAATGTGCATGCTAACGGTAACCCAGGACACTCAGCTTGTCTCGAGAGTACCAAGTAGTGGCATGAAAACGGTGCCGCCGGGCTTGGGTAATCTCCACCCTGAATGTTTCTACATAGACACAGAGGCTGTATGATGCTTTATGTTTTATAAAACTACTTAAAGACCCAGATCATGAAAAAATATTCACTATAAGAGAAATGTGGATGTACTGCATGTATTTATTGTACAAGTGGCCCCTTCAGTCCCACAAGCTATAGCCGGCTGTGCCTGCCGATGGCGTCTGCTCATTCGTGTGCTGGTTCGATTCCTGTCACTGTTCTTGTTTGGCTTTGTAACATCCCCAGGCCTGGCACTGTGTCCTCCCTAGAGAGACTATGTGCTGAATGAGCAGGAAGAGTACATTTGTACACACAGAACAAAGAAAGAATCATTTTATATTACTACTGGCTTCAGTACCATCTCTTCTAAAGGATTAAACTTGGTAGAAGAATAATCTATTAATCATTAACTTTACAGTAAGCAGAAAAAGGTGTTTAAAACAATAAACCAACATGCGTATATAGAGCCGTAAAATAATCAAAATATATATGAGAAGTGTGGGCCATACCAGAAATAGTAAGACAGTGGAAGCTCTAAATTTAGAGACTTTAGAGAGCAAACATTGAAATATATTAGGGTAGAGAAACAGTGTGACAGTTTCTAATGCTATAGGGAAGATTACCGGCAGGCTTCAAGAAAAAAGAAATCTGAAGGAATTATAAATTTTCATGAAACATCTGAGTGCCTGTTTACCAGGCATTCTGTCCACATCAGCTCTTTACTGGAGCTCTGACAACACAGCGGCTAATTCCCTGTGGAGAAGAGGCTCTGCTGGAACTGAGAGGAGTGACAGCACCACTTTTACAAGAAAAATGAATGTAACTTAGAAAAAGTGACCAGTCACAGAAAATATCCAAACCTGTATATGTGGATTGAATAAGTAAAAACCTATCATTCTGCACAGCCCACTCTGCAGCAATTAATAAGAGCGACAGTAACAAATCCTGGAAGCGATGTAATAAACCAGAACTTTATTTCACAATTAGTGAACATCTGAAACAGGAATAAAAACTGAGCAAGTGGTGCTCAGGGGATCATATCCAAAGAAATTCAAGACAAGAAAATGAGAAACAGGGTAAGGAGGTAGTTTGCGGCCTCATTTGTTTTTATAGCACAATGTAAATGAAGGGCATCACAGCCCCTAGACTCAGGATTTTAAAAGAAACTGGTTTTTAATAACCTGAAATGGTAATTAGCTGTAATTTACTGAGATATGGAATCTTGAACACAATATAATGAAAGCTGAAACTTTAGAGAAAGAATATGAAAAGAGTCCAAGTCATAAAAATATCACTGCTGCTATAAAGGAACTTGTAGCTATTTGTGGAGATTAATCAGGCCATGTCACATTGACATAGCAGTGGGAAGGGAAACTTCTGGCTGATTTGTGGTTCAGTCTGATCTAGTTTCTTCAGGTTCAACGCCCCTTCCTCTGGGCACATCCCAGAAGGCTGTTTGTAGCTGAGACCTTCCTCACACACTAGAGGTGCAAAGTGTCATACCAAGAGGTAGCCATCCAAGTGACCTTTTGAGGTCCCCTTTGGAGGCTCAGTAACTACATGTTGGGATCACTCTGCCTCCTCCCCCCCCCCACCCCCGACAATTCCCATAGAATGGTCTATAGGAATTCTGCCAAAATTCTCCCTACAGGAAGAAAGACATTTCTCACCATCTTTCTGGAAAGCATCCATGGACCACATTGGACTGTCTCAGGGTTCATAGCTCTATTCTTCAGAAAACAAGATGCAATGCTTCTGGGACCCTAAATTAATAAACCCTGAACTAAACTTACAGCAACACCTACATGTTTGTCTTCAATAGAATAGTGTAAATAGCAATTTTAAAAATTAAAAAACTTCCATGTCCAGCTGGAGGCTTCACTGGAGGTTGAAAATTAGACGACAGGAGATCAGGAATCCTATCACGGAACACAGCCTGTAACTCCTAGTATGGACTTGGAAGCTTACATTATTTATAAACATATTACAAGACTGTCACAGCAGCGTCAACGTGTGACTATAAAAGCCCTGTTCTTGAATAATAAAGGCAGGAAAGGGCCTCCTTCTGGGTGTTGTCTGGCCAGACCCCTCATCCCTATAACCGTGGACCTGAACAGGCCCGCTGTACTCTTTCACGGTGAACCCGGCACTTGAACAGAACACTGTCCAGCTGTCCGGGGCTGCATGTCAAAAGCCTCAGCATCCTTGTTCTCTGCTTACGGTACCAAGGAAGTCAGTTCCAAGCAATTCTGGGATGTCCGTAAGGCTGAGAAAAGAAAACATGAGATCGATCAGATCAGCTGTCTCTGAAGCACTGGGAATTAATCCATTTTAAGTAAGAGCTAAAAGCACAGTATAACTGGCTGTTTTCACTGACAGCTGGAAAAGCTTTGACCCTAAGCCACAAATGAGGCACTCGATGACTTTTCCTAAAAAGTACCATCCCTAAGTAACATTTTCACCTGTGCTCTGTGACACCCTAATCCTGAGACACTGAGCAGTCCATAGTCGAGTAGGTTTAAAATGCTGCCCCCTACACCTCGAGAGCCCAGCCAGTTAGGGCATCAACGTTCTGCTGCAGGTGTAACACTGGCTCTGAGGGTGTCATTGGCCTCCCAGAGTCATCTGACCACAAAGGAGCCGGTTCCGTCTTGCAGCACTTTAGAGCACCCGGTGGCCCCATAAAGGAGGCAGAGGTGACAAGCTTGCTGGGCCCTCCGTCAGTTCCCAGGCATGTTAGCCACTGGCTCCTGTAGAGCAGAGGGCCATGTAGGTTTCAAAAGGCCGGGAAAAGAGGTGGGGGCGAGGGTCTGACAGCAGGGAGGGGCTTTGATGTCCAGATGCTGGGGCCTAGCACTGCCTTCACCCCTCACCAGCTGTGGCCAGCGCTCTTCTTCCCTGCTGTCCGTCCCCAGGAGGGTCGGCAGGCATGCAGCTTAGCAGTCAGGACCTCAGCCCCTGGGGGACAGTGACAGGAACTGAAGCAAAATCACCTCAAGGGCTGTGTGAGGCCCCGCCAAAGGCTGAAACAGACCCTGTGACGAGGTTCCCTGCTGGCAGAGCAAAGGGAAAATACAAGAGAAGAGCAAGGAAGAATCCGAGCTGGCAGGGAAGCAGGGCTGGGCACAGGCTTGTGAACAGTCCTGGGGGAGCAGGGCCCAGCCTGAGCGGCTTGGCAGTGGTGGCCTGTCACCCGCAGGCTCCTTACCCACCTTAGGCCGGAACCCCTGCTTGGCCATCATCTCTGCCTCCTGCTGCAGCAGAGCCTGGCTGAGCTGCTCTGCCCGCCTCGCCTCCTCCGCTTCCTCCTTGTCCTGCTGGTCTGCTTCCCATGCCTGCAGTTGGTGCTCTGCAACCTGGGCACAAAGAGCAAGTCAGCCTGAGACACGGCCCACAGGCAGAGCCCGCCCCTGCTCAGGAGGGAAAGCCAGCGGAGGACATGCCCTGGCTGGGGAGTCAGAGGACAGCACAGTGATGGGAAGTGCCAGTGAGTGGGAAGGAAGTGCATTTATGGTACCAGAGACATGTGTGTGGTAACATGTACCTTATAAAAAGTTCTGCATCTGGCCACGTTTGGAAGATTATTTTGTGTTACCTATTAGGTACTGAACTGAGTAAGTAGAGACGTGTGGCCCAGTGACAGAAATGCTCTCAGGTGTGGACAGGAAACAGAGCTGGTGGGCAGTAATGACAGCTGTGCTCCCATGTGAGGGAAGACCGGGAGTGGAGCTCGAAATACAGTGAGCAGGGCCGGTGTCTCAGCCGGAGATTAAAAGGGGTGCCCCGAGTTCTCAAACGCGGGCTTCACCGGTGCCAGGCAGCAGAGGTAAGTCCAGGGCGCGTGAACCCTGGGCCGCGACAGTGCGGGGCCTGCTGCTGCAGTGCCCTCCCCTACACCCGCCGCCCATGGGCTTGGCCCTACCTGGGCCTCCAGCTCCTGCTTCCTGGCTGATTTCAGTTCTTCACTCTCCTCTTTCTCACGCCGAGCTGACTCTCTTGCCTCCTCAAGGCTTTGAATAAGTTGTTCCCTGTGTCTTAGGGATTCCTCTTGCGCTTGTCGGTTTTGTTCAATCTTTTCTTGTATTTGTTGCTGTCTCCCTGTGAGGACCTAGACTCGGCAGAAAGGAAAAGGGAAGGTTGTAGCGTGACTCTAACAGATACCTGTTCTGCAAGCTGAGCACAAGCTGCAGCTGCACCTGTACCGAGACCCCGCCTAATCCTCAGCCTAGTGCCTGAATACGCCAGGCGTAGATAGGCAAGTCCAGACTACAGAATCTGTCCACACAATGTCGCCCATAGGTCCCACCCACCCCCATCACACATAATGTCCACAGACTGTGTGTTCTGGAGACATGACTGAGCACCAAGGAGCTCAAAGGAGGTGGGGTGGAGCTCCCTGCCCAGGGACACAGAGCCTCAGCAACCAAGTGACTCTCACTCCCTGTCAGCGGGTCCCAGGACAAAGAAACAAGCCCCAAGCCACGCAGATGACCAGAGGTAGAGTCTGGGTCATCCCTCCAAGCTTTTGCATTTAAATTCACTGCCCAAAGCAGCAGAAGCCTGCTGTTTTGAGACCTGACTCCAGAGCAGGATTATGGCCTACCATGGGCCCAGGCCCTGGTCAGGAGTCGGGGACCAGGAACGGCCAGAGGCCACCCACCACGCCCGACAGTTAGGTCTCTGGAGGGGACACATAAGGTGGCGACAACTAGGAGGAACATTTTAAATGGGGAAAATCAAAAGATGCTGGAGAATATCTGGCATTCACAAAAGTGAAAAGACACCAATTGAGACCTGATTTCCCGTGAATTTCAAAATGTAGTGTGCCGACAGGCACAAAATATAATTCCCCCTTTCAACCTCTTTAAGATAACTTTCAGTACATGGACAGTGAAGACCTGTTCTTCCCAAAAGATTTCCCTTAAGTTGGTGTGTGTCTTGTACACATTACTTAAATACAGCAAATAGTAAGCCCACTTCCAGTGATGCACCCCAAGATAAAAGTATGGAAAAGCTTCATGCATCAAGATGTGTGCTGAAGTATTTCTTGTGATGGCTCAAAATTAGAAAATAAAATCAAATACCCACAAAAGGGGAATGGAAAAACAAGCTGTGGTAGGTCCACATGATGATGTATTATGCAACCATCAGGACATTCACAAAGAGGAGGTAACAGCATATTAGAATGCTGGAAATCAAATGGCATGGTATAAGAAGAAATATGTAGATAAAAATGTTCTGTATAGAAGCAGAAATATAGAAAGAAACAGTGATAGTGGCTATGCAGATGATAGGAGTCTAGGTGACTTTTTCTATACTGAATTTTTTTCTAATAAAATTCTATTACACTTTTATAATGATATTAAAAGTGCATTTAAAATAACACAAGAGGATTCTGTTCCCAAAACATCTGGCAGGGTCAGCACGTGGTCACTAATTCCCAGTCACCGGCCCGGGGCCGGCCAGCCCTCAACCGTCACAGCAGGGATTACCTCGGTCATCAGCCTGTCTCGCGCGCTCCTCTCTCGGGCCCACTCTGCTTCTCTCTTTTCCCACATTTCCTTGGCTTCCTCCCTGGAGGAACACAAAACAATGACAGCAGGCTCCCCACCACCACTGATGGCAGAAGGGAACCAAAGGACCAACAGGGCTCCACACATCTGTGGGCCAACTTTCAAAGAAACTTACCCACACAAATGTAAACAGATTAAGGACAAGTTCACGGAAGGTGTTCCTATAGTAAGTTCTTCAAATGACCTTACTACTCTCTCTTTATAAAAAGTGCTTGTGATGACTTGCACCCAGGCCATTTCAACACTGAAGTGAATGAGACCGTCAGGACTCTGGGCGGGGGGGCGGGGAGGCAGACACTGCAGGGGCCTGAGCTCTGTGGCCACAGTCCCGCCACTGCTAGCTCGCCCTGTGGCCTGGTGCGAATGGGCAGCCTGACTACCCACCACCTGGCTGGGGCATCTGGCACATAATACGTGCTCAATAGATGTTACCTGTTACTTATTTCAATCTACTACGTTAATTTTTAGGATCCAGACCCATTTATATAGACCTAAGAAGCATGCAACATCTCCATAATTTAAAACAATTTCCTTTCAAATACCTAAGATTTTAGACAAACAGATCCTTTCTCTAAACCTTAATGATTTCTACCTTAAATAACCTAAAGGAAACGCCCCCACAAGCCAGGCCATAACAAAGATGTGCTCCTCTTTCACAACAAAGATGTGAACGATGAACAGATTACCAAGAACAGGTGATTCAAAAACAGACCACCCTCCCAGAGACCTGCAGGGACCGCAGGTGCCAGAGCAGCGACCGAGAGTGTCCAGCCTGGCCAGTTGCCGCCCCTCACCTCAACAGCATCTGCAGCTCTGCCTCCCGTTCCTTCTCCAGCTGCAGCTGCTCCTCGAGGACCTGCTTCATCCACGCCACGTCGGCCAGGGCCTGCTCCCGCCGGGCCAAGTGCGCACGCTGGTTCTCCTCCTCCTTCTCCAGGAGTGCCTGCAGGATGCGCTTGTCCGCCTCCTGGAGGACAGAGTGGGGAGCGCCGTGGGCACCTTAAGGAGCCCTTTGGCAGCCACCGACTCCACTCCTAGCAGCCCCAGCCCTTCTCTGGAGCCCACACTGCTGCCAGTGCTCTCTGGGTAGAGGTGGGAAGATGCTGGGATGCTTTAAAATGACACCGCAGAGGCCCAGGAGCTGTTCCCTGCCTAAGGGAGACCTCTCTGCCACTGTGCGCAAGTCCCTGCCTGTCCTCAGATGCATTTGGTAGCAGAGCTCTTCAGAACACAATCTGCAGCAATTCCACTTGTAAGAACAAAGACTACAGAGACACCAATGCAGAGATACACACACAAAATGCTTGCTGCAGCCATTCTGTAAGGGAAAACCCAAAACCCAAACTATTATGCACATCTATGCCGCAGAATGCTGTAGAAGAATGAGGGAACTCGCGAGGCCTTTAGATGGGAAAGGCTTCCTCAAGGGAATAGGCACATGATGACACCACCCGCGGCTGCCAGACGCTAGCAGGCGGGGATGGGAGGACCCAGGTCTGCTCGCTCACAGCCCTTGTCCCGCTCAGGGAGGGAGCCCATCTAAGTACTCGGCAGGAATGCTGAGCAGCTAGTGAAACCGAACAAACTCAATCTGGATTGGTCACAAAGTGTGAGATTTATTGTTAGGTAAATATGCTGAGGAGTGCAACTTCAAGTACACTTTTAAAAACCACCACTTCCCTACATGAGCATATGTGTAAACGTATGTAGAAGGATACGTGCCAAAACGGACACCTCTGGAAAGGGGCGGAGATTGCAGAGGCTGGCCTGGGGAATCTCACTTTGCGTTTTACTTCTTACCAGGACACATTCATTATTACTGAGCAATGGAAAACAGGGCTTTCAAAAGAGGGCAAAAGAAACGCCAGGCTCTCTTCAGACTTACCAGCTCCTCTTGGATCTGCTGTGCACGTCTATTGAGTTGCACGTTATACTGATGTCTTAAAAATCGTCTAAAAATGAGCAAAATATAGGTTGCCTTCAGGGTCTTATAAAGACTTAAGCGGAGGTCAGACAGCTCCTTATTGCAGCTGTACCCTTTCAGGTTTCAGGGATACCAAGGCCAGTGTGAGCAGGGGAGGGGCTCTGAGGGAGTTGGGGGGGGCGCCCTTCCCCACACACCCCAGCTCCGCCTTCTGCCGCAGGGCTGCCATCTGCTTCCTCTCTTCCTCCAACCTCTCCAGCTCCCACCGCTGCTTCAACAGATTCTCCTGTTCCTTCTTCAGTTTGGTGGCCTGCGGTTACAAGAACAGTAACCCCCAATGAGATCAAGAGAATCAGAGCTTCCTTCACTGCTCATCTCCACCGCCAGCAGGCCTACGCAGCAGCCGCTGGCCTGGCCCTCGGGTGGCCAGACCCCTCCCACCGCTGGGGCTCTGAGCCCCTGGCCCCAGCCTAACTCATTCCTCCCAACTCGGATGAGCCATTTCTTGCAAGGGCCTTTCCCCACCTGCCAATGGGGATGCACCCAGTGCTCTGTGCTTCCCCAGGACCCTGTATTGTCCTTGCCTGACTGTGACTTACCATCTGCCTCCTCCATCTGTCCTGCTTTTGCCATCCAGGTCTGTGAGCCTTGCTCACAGCTCTATCTCTAGCACCCAACCCAGCCCTAAGCATGTAGATTAAGTAGTGGGCACTAAGATGTAGTTCCTGAGTCATTCAAGTCTGGGGAAGGAGGTGCTTCCCTCAGTGAACTGGAAGATCCTGCTCCCTCAGGGAAACTGCATGGTATCCTCAAAATAACCTCCTGGACCAAACGCCCTCATGGTTTGTGCCGTGAAACCCAAAACCTGCTGGTTAGAGAGAGCTGTGCTAGGACATCAGACTAAGACAAGTCGACTCAGTGCATGGGAAACTCCAAGTGCTATGGAGGCCCTAGAATGTTCTCCATGTCGCGAACATTCTAGAACCTGGGCACACAATACAATCCAGGAGTGTGAAAAAAACCACAGACGGCAGCACACGTCAGAAGGGAGAAACCAGCATTGCTGTATTTCTGAGAATCATCTCCCCTGTATGATCTCTCTAGAACAACAAGCAGCCAAGAGGAGGCCATGTGGCATGGGCATATGTGGCCGTGGCGCGCCCTCACCTCCATCTCCTTCACCTTGAGCTCCTCCATCTGCTGGAGCAGCACCTCAGCCTGGAGCTTATGCTCCAACTGCCGCCGCTCTTCCTCTGCTTTCATCCGTTCCAGCGCTTCCCTTCGGGCCGTCTCATACTCATTTTCATACCGTTTGTTCTCTTCCTTCTCCGTGGCTTCTTGCTACATGGGGCCAAATGAACCCAGGAGATCAGCACATGTAACATGCAGCCAGCAAAGACCAGCTCCTGTGGCACGGAGCTGCCCGCAGGCCCAGCTCCTCATACCCACACGTCTACCCCAGAGCCAGCTGCTCAGTGCTCACTGCAGGGACCGCGGCGTGACTGCTGCTTGCCTGAGGGACGAAGCTGGCGAAGCACGCAGCCGCACAGTGCCTGGCTCTGAGGGAGGGTGCACCAAAGCACCTTCTAATGTGAACCCAGAAGCAAAGCAAGAGGCTGACGGAGGGTGTGTAAGCCACGGCTGTAAGCTTATGACATACATTTTATCAAAAAAGACCGCCAGCAACAAAAACACCCTTTAAGATGCACATTCCCCCTACCAGCAGCCAGCGCTGTCACCTGGCAACGATCACACAGGGTTCTAGTACGTGTAAGAGCAACAACCATTCAGTTTTAACGTGTGTTGGAGTCTATCCCTAGATCAGAGCCATGAACACTGAAAGCAAGAATCAAATTCAAAGACATGGAGGCAGCCCCCACTGCAGCACGTGGGACTGTTGCCAGAGCGATGTGCCGCACCTGCTTTTTTTCTTCTTTCTGTGTTTCCCAAGAGTCTATCACATGCTTCTTGTGAAGGTCCGATTCAATCTGAGGATGAGAAGCAGTGGAAAATTAACTTCTGTGCTGGGTCATCTAACAGATGTTCCCTGGGAGCCCAGAGCCACACACTGAAACATGACTGTTGCTTCCTTGTGTGAGGACCCAGAGTAGCCCTGGCGTCTGGTAAGAAAGCACATGATGACTCCAACACAAGTCAGTCAGAGAACCAAAGGACCAGGGCTCTAAGCCAATCTCAAGAGCTGGAACAAATTAACAGAAACTCCCCGCCCAGGTCCCTGGAGTTTAGCAGGAACAGTCCAGCAGACACTTAAATGGAGGTACAACCTCAAAGGCTGCCCTGGCTGGTCTAGAGGACGCCAGGCCTTGGGTAGCAGGAGCTGGCAAGGGACAGACTCAGCCCTCGGCCTGGCTCCCAGCGCTTCCTCTGCACAGCAGCAGCTGTGAAAACGTGTAGCACGCGCCCGTGGATGCAACAAGTTTGGGGGTTTAGAGAATCTTTTGGATCAGAAAATGAATTACAGCACTCTCTCCAAAAGCTTTTATTTGGGAAACTGTAAAAATTTGAATTTTCTTTCTCAACTTACAAATATGGGCATTTGCAACCAGCTTAATGTTCCAAATAAGCTCTTCTGAGTAAATGCCTTTGGAGGACTCACTGATCTGACAAGAGCCCGCAAGCGGCGTCTTCCCATAGTCAGCGCTACCTGCACGTCCTCCAGAGCACCGCGATGCTCCAGTAGTTGGTGACTGGCAATTTCTACATGTGATTACGAATACGGAAATTCACACCAGCCAACATGTACAGACTGTTAGTTGAGATCAGTGATGGGATTGTCTCCCTCCAGCCCAATCGCACCTGAACGGATGCCCGCCCTCTCCCTCCCCCAGATCCTAGATTTGCTGTCCTCTCTCCCACCGGCCCCCCTGCAGGCCTTCGCCATCACTCCCTTGGGCTGTTGGAACAGCCCCCGACTGGCACCGCCTCTTCCCACCCGACCTGACACTGTTGCCAGACGGCTGCTCCCCAAAATGCAGCTAGGATCCCATCGCACCCCACGCGCTCCCCGTGCTTCCAGGGAGAGCACACAGGCTGCCCGAGGTCTGGCCCATCTGCCTCACCAGCCTCGGCCCTTGGGGCTCCCCCTGACTTCCCAGCCTGCCAGCCACGTGTAGCTCCCTGGACTTGCTCTGCTCTCATGACTCAGGTAACGCTCACGTTCTTCTAACCTCCTCCACTGCAGCGACTCTGGGACACCTGCCTGCTCTCCGACTGAGCTGGGGGCACTGCGCTGACGCCCACCTTCCCAGTTCTGCCCAGCACCCTGAATCCTGCACTGTAACGAGCTGCCCACTGTTTCCCCCATTTGACTGGGAGCTCCCTAGTAGCAAGGAACCGCCTCTATAATCTGCACGGCCCCAAAGGTGGACATTACAACAGATGTTCAATAAACAGTGGCTAAACAATGGAATGAACCCGATCTTCTGCGTGGTGCTCTTTTCAGGTGGCTACAGTGTTCCTTCCTATCTCAATCCAGCACAAGATGCAAGTTTAAAACAAGTCATGTCCTGGCTGGTGTGGCTCAGTGAACTGAGTGCCAGCCTGCAAACTAAAGGGTCACTGGTTTGATTCCCAGTCAGGGCACATGCCTGGGTTGTGGGCCAGGTCCCCAGTAGAGGGTGCACGAGAAGCAAGCACACACTGATGTTTCTCTCCCTCTCTTTCTCCCTCCCTTCCTCTCCCCCACCGTCTAAAAATAAGTAAATAAAATCTTTAAAAAAAATAAAATAAAGCAGGTCACGAAACATGATTTCATCTACTTAAGCAAATCAACGGAAGGTTCTTCTGGTTTTCACCTCTCGGAGTTTGGGGTCATTCTTTTTCCAGTGTTCATACAAAAGCTGTTCAGCAATCTGTCAAGAAAACACAAAGACGGATGCCTGATGTCGCCTTTCAAATCCATGCATATTTCAGGTAACACACAATGGCAGTCAGCTCAGACTAAGCTCCTCTGCTGGCACACTGTCACTACGCCTGCCCTTCAGCCCTCCTGGCCTGGCACCCAGGGCTCCGGGAGCCAGATGCCTGAGTGGAACTGGGTGGCACTGACAAATGACTCTTACAATGGTGACAAAAGGGTGCCAAAATCGATGTTACACAGGAGTCCTAGATGTCACAGATCTGCCTCAAAATATACAGCAAGCTTAAAAACAAACTGGGGCCCACCGTTCCACACAAGTACTTTGGAAAATAAAATACACCAGTCCCTGGACTTGTAGGACCACAGAACTGGAGTACAGAAAAAGAACTCAGATGTAATGCTTTAAAGGGCCAAGGAGAACAAAGATGACTCATGCAAAACACATAAATGAAGAACAACTTAGGCCCTGGCCCAGTAGATCAGTTGGTTAGAGTGTCATCCCGAGAAATGCCAAGGTTCTGGGTTCGATCCCTGGTCAGGACACATACAAGACTCAAGCAATGAATGCACAAGTAAGTGGAACAATAAACTGATGTTTCTTCTCCTTCTTCATCTCTCTTAAAAAAATCAGTAACTTAAAAAAAACCCCACAAAACTTAAGAGTAAACTTTTCCTAGCTGGCTCTGGAGTTACCTCCCATCTCATCAGACCAGGGCGCCCAGGGGTGACCCATGTGCACGTCACTGACAGGCTTGGGACACCCCTAAGGGCAGTAAGAATTTACCAGTTTCCGTTGCTCCTCCCGGGCTGACTTGAGATTCCGGTGCTGCTCCCGAATTTTTTTTTCCCGCAAGTTCATGCTCAGCCTCAGCTCCGCCAGTTCTCTGGCCAGCAGGTCCTGCTCCTCCAGCAGAAGCTGCTGCAGCCTCTCTCGTCGGGCTTCCAGTTGCTTCCTCTTCTCCTCCTTCATCTTCTCACGCTGATAGGCGTGCATGCTGGGCGAGAAGGAGCCTGGCATGAATCAGTCCTGTGGCAGCCACGTGGGCCGCTCTGCTGTGTGGGCGACGAGGCTGCGGTACGGGTAACCCGGCAGCGTGGGAAAGGGCTCCCCCAGCCCAAGTTGACAGAGCAGGACACAGGACACTGTGCATGACAGAGTCGTATCTTTGCAATAAAAAAACTCTTAATTCGCTTACATGGGCATGTAGTAACAGTACTAGCAAATATTATTTGAGCAATTACCATGTACTGGGTAAAACCATGGATGGGTCATCACTTAAATTCTACCAAGTAGGTTCTGTTCCCGCCCGATTTCACTGATGAGGAAACTGAAGCTCATTCAAGCAGCAAGTGACACAGTCAGGATTTCCCTCTAGGTCTGTCTAACTCCAAAGCCTCTGCTTTTAACTCCCATATTTTTACATGTATTTTTATAAAAATGGGTGCGTGTATATATATATTTATACAGAAACACAAATGGGAGCAAGTATGGGAGGATCTACAGTCAGGCTGGGGATGTGGGGTTACCAGCAAACTTCCAGATTCTACATACATTTCTTATCATTTTATTTTTTTCAAGGCATTACTTCGCTGATGGTCTTTATTTTTTCTATTTCCAGTTGGAGAAACATCACCAGGCAGGCAATCCATGCTGTCCAGCAAATCCCTCGAGAAAACATGCTGTCAAGCCCTATCTTCCCAGGACCTTACAGCAAGTGGCCACCCCCTCCATCCACTGTCGGTCACCGCACAGTTACCTCCGCTGGTAGGACCGGGTGGAGCTCCATTCTGCCTGTTTGGAGCTGCAGACGTTGGACATCCTGAAGTAGCGGCTGTTCTCATCCCACTGCTGCCGAAGCCGGGCCTCTTGCTCGCGGTGCCGCTGCCGTGCTACCTGCTGATCCAGGAGCCTCCGGCTGCACCAGGAGGAGGGCAGCGTGGGCAGTGCCATCTAAGAACAGCGGTGGAAGGAAAGTGAGCTTGCTGCCGCCCCAGGGGCCCTCTCAGGCTTGGCCTCACCCGTTCGGCGAGCCACCCTCGCCCTTCAGCAGCACTGGAATCATACAGTGCAGGCTGGGCCCCACTCCAGACCAGTTACATCCAAAAAGTCTTAGTGGGGGCCCCAGGCACCAGCATTTTTTAAAGGATTTGCCATCGGGGCTGCGAGTCGTACATTAAAACGAGTGTGAACTGCACCCCACTGCGGTACAGACATCACTGGGGGCACTGTGGACAGATAGGGAACCAGTCCTAGCAATGCGGGACCAGGCACACTGGGGACTCCGATGCTCTGCATAAAGTAACGGATAATTTAAGGGACATGTCTATGTGCCCAGCTCTCGCTACATATGATCTTTCTCATTACTCTCACCCCATTATTTGGCAGGGTAGGAAACATAAGTTCACGGAGGTAAAGTGACTTGCCCAAGATTACAAATCAAAGAAGAGAAAATAAAAGAGCTGGCATCCCAACTCCTGTCCGTCTGAGACCAGGACCCAGGCTCCAGAATGCAAGAGGCTGCGTGCTGGGACCAACATTCCCTGACTTTGTCAGCTCCTGGGGAAGGGCCTGGCCCAGGTGTCACACCTGAAAGTGTTCTGGGTTACCATAAGGACAGATCCCTCACGGTACTGATGGAGGCCCTGCGACCGGGGAACCGGTCACAGAGCAGTCTGGGGACCCAAACGGAGACTTGAAAGCAGAGGGCAGTCTCACTGGGATACCTTTTCCCCGACCCAAAAGCTGCCCCCGTGTGCAGGTCTAAAAGTGCTTGGCTATGACAGTGCTTAAGGAACGTCTGTTGAATAAGCAAAAGGCCTGGCTCCACGACAAGCCTCAAATTCAGAGTCCTCCAAACTGGGGGCAATGATCTGCACCTATGGGCCGAGTCTAGCCCGCGGCTGCCAGTTAATAAGCCCCGTTCTGAGACTTGGCAGGTTTGCCCTGCTTCCTTCCCTGCCCTTGCATGCTACTGATGGATAAATCTTTGCGCCAGGCGTCAAGAAACTTAGGCTTCCGGTTTTGGATGGACCACCAACAAGCTGGTCGGCTCCCTGAATCAGTCGCACCTCTCTCTCGACGTCAACATACACAAATGACACACAAGGGTCAGAGAAGAAAGCGTCGGCTCCAAAGCGCGGTGGGAGCAGAGCGAGCGCGGGACGCCAGCCCCACAGGCGCCCCGCGCTCGGGTCCCGGACCCCAGCCGCGGTTCCCGCCGGCGCGAGGCCACTGCGGCGGCCTCTGCGGGCCCCGACCGCCACGCCGGCTCCCGGCCGACCCCACGCTCCGACTCACGTTTCTCTGCGCCCCGCAGTTCCCGAAGAGTCCCCTGGCCCGCGCTCCCGCATGCCCAGCTAAACCCGTTAATCCCCAAACCGGCCGTTTCCCCGCTTGTTGCCCGGGCGACAAACCGGCGACGGGGCACCGCGAGGGCCAAGAGGCCTGCCTCGCGACAGGGGCCGCGCAGAGACAGGAGGCTGCGTTTCTTTCTCTGGCGCCGCCTCGTGGTGGGCGGGAGATCAATCGCAAACGTTCCAGTCCTCGAAACAGGGAAGGGCGAAGGGATAGAATCCATTTGGAACACAAAATTCAGGATGGTGGTTACCTGGGGGGATAAAGGAGAAAATGGGGGGAATCGACGGGATACAATAGGAGAGGAGGATATAAGCCAGTGATTCTAAAACCTGACTGCACATGAAAATCACCTGGGGAGGTTCTAAACATCCAGGTGGCTTAAAAAGTACTCCAGATGCCCAGACCAGACTCCAAGCAAATCCCATCAGGTCCTCTGAGGGGATCAGTGCTTGCGTAAGCTCCCCAGGTGCGTTCTGCAACCAGCTGAGAGAACCACTGGTGTGAGCAGGTTTAAGTTACTGGGAACTTTCGACTGTCTCAGATTGGTTCAAGGGCGTGCGTTCTATTAGTATATTTTATGACTTACATGTGCTCTATGTATTATTTCATGTATCAATTACTCCATTTAAAAAATAAAAATTATCCACAAATTCATTCTCTTTTCCTTCATTTCCCCACTCTCTTCATTTCCCCTTCCCTTTTTTCCTCCGTTCCTTCACCCATGTCTCTGTTTCCTCTGGAGGCAGTCTAGTACCCTGTTGAACGCCATGGCCTGCGTTCCAGCCTCCGCCACACTAGTTGTGGGGTCTTGGGCAGGTTACTTCATCTCTCAGCATCCCCATCTGCGAAATAAGAATGTTAACAATTGAAAGGAGACCATTAGACAGGGGCGGCTCTAATACCTCAGTAGCGTGTGCAAGCAAACCAACACCTAAACCTGAATCAATGCTCTAGAATCCGAGAAAATTAAATTTGTGAGCAACCAATCACGAACAGCCAATTTGCCTTGCCCAAGTAAGGCAACTGCTTAATCTGTAGCCAAATAATTTCCTTGCTTCCATACCACATCTTCTCTATAAAAGCCTCTTCTTCACCTTTGGTTTGCTGCCGCCCAGTTCGAATTGGTGGAGGCTCAAATAAACTCTTGGTGGGGAGGGAACTGTAATGTGCCTCAGTGTACCTTTTAACAAGTGCTACTTTCTAGGGTTGCCCTTGTGAGAGGAAATGAAGATTTAAATGGAGCGCACCCAGGGCAGAGCACCTGGTACATCCCAGGTAAGCATGCTTCCTTTCACATCTCCTTGCACCTGACACACATTTACTCGGGGTCTGCCCTGCCCTGTGCATGAGACTCCCCACGGAGTCCTGAGAGTCCCCACCCCTTTCGCCAAGCTCGAGGCCAGTGTTTCATGTTGTGTAACCAATGGGCCGGGGAGGCAGCCACCGCCTACTGTGATCAGCCCAGCCAGCGCTGCCTACTTAACAAAAGAGACTGACACAGAAATGATCATTGGTGGGACTCCCCAAGTGTGGTAGGAACTTCAGAATTATGTGACATGCGTCGTGGGAGACCTGGCTTCAGATCCTGATTTTGTGCATCTTCCACGAGGCCCTTCCGATGTCTGGACCTCAGTTCCCTGACCGGTGTAACGGCTTTAAAGGACCAACATGCTCCTCTATGGTAGTTAAGGGCCTAGGGCCAGACCGGCCTGGTCCTGGAAGCCTGAGGCCAAAGACTCTGGCCCCTGGGCCTCCTCTGCTGGGTGGCCAGCTCACCAGCCCCTCACTGCCCCTCACTGCTCAGCTTCTGTGGTTACACACCTGCCTGTAGCTCATCAAGCATCTTTACAAGTATCTTTTCCTTTGTTCCTTCCAGGGACCCTGTGGGGTATTTTGTTGACCCCATTTTAGAGTTGCCTCACCTGCCCGCGGAACCGTAAGTTGTAGGTGGCGGAGCCGGGATTTGAACCCAGCCCTTCCTCTGGGGCCAGGCCCTCTCAGCAGCCCCACAAGGCCAGACATCAATCATTTCCTTCCTCCTTGCTTCTTCCCTCCCAGCGCCTGACACAGAAGAGGCGCTACGTTTTTGCCAAGAATGAATCGGTAGATCCCCCAGTTTGTTCCTTCTCCTTCCAAGGGCCCGGGCCCAGGGTGGTCCTGGTCCGCGTGGGTACGCAGCGCCGCCCCCACCCCCAGCCTTGGGCTCCCGGTCGCTGCCCTCCTGTGGGCTCCTCTGCCGGCTCCTCTGCGGAGTCTGAGCAGTGGCCCAGCCGCCTGCTGCCTCACAGGCCTTGCACCTGCGATTGCGACGCTGCCCCTCGAAGGGGACGGAGCCTTTGCTGAATTCCTGAGTCTCTCCCCAAGATGTCTGGAGGTTGGGCGCTAAGGGTGAATGAGACAGAAGCCAAATTAGTGAGGAATGTTGCTGGAAAAAAGGTCGCTGCCACTTTCAACGTTAACCACAGCATCCCGCTAACTGATGGCGGGGAGGAGGAATTGGCGACACTTCTGCGGATGAGACGGTGGCGCTCTGCACAGCCCCGGGGGCTCCCGGAGCTCATTAATTTTCTGGAAGACCTCAAAGGTTTTGTCAAGAGCCCGTGAAGCAGACAAAACACGGAACACCTTAATTTTATGGCAGACTTTGGCCAGTGAACAAAACCTACTCTGAAGCCAGACATGTGCTTTGAAATGGTTTTCATTCTCATGTCATGGAAAATAATTCAAATTTAAACTATTTCTGTTGCCCTCTGATTTACTATTCATCTGTTTCTTCTTTACAAACCTAGTATTTCTAGACTTTTGTATAATAATAAGGGTAGATAGTAAAACTGGTTTATCTCCCCTAAAAAAGAAAAAAAAGAAAAAAGAACGACAAAAGGGAACTACCATTGTTTGAATACTCACCATGTGCCAGGTGCTTTGAGATGCATTCCCTCATTTAAACCTCCCTCCAACCTGTGAGGTTCCTGCCATTTTGCAAAGGAGGAAACCGAGATTCTGAGAGGTCCAGCCACTCTCTAGAGGTCACACAGCAAGGTCTCCGAGAGCCGACCTCCAGAGCTCGTGGATCTCTCCTTGGTCTGTTTTCCCAGGAGCTTGTGACTTGCAGGTGTAACTCTTAAAAGGGGCCACCAGATGTGGACCAAAGGAGCCATTTAAAGAGTTCAGCAGCATTAAGTATTTAGCGACAGGCTGATGACTATAGGCCACGGGGGCTGAGAGGGGAAACCCTGGCAGAGACCGTCCAGGAGGATGTCACACACGCTGGGCCTGGGGCCAGTTATGAGGGGCTTGGGCTTGGGTCTTCTGGTGTCCTTGCCTGGGAGAAGACAGGAGTGGGGAGATGACACAGAAGGCGCTCCCCACCAGCTGAAATGTGACAGAGCTCTCTCCTAATTAGCAGGTGGCATTGCCAAACACGCTTAGCTATGCCAGGCTCCGAAGCGTTTCAACATCAGCCACTCCAGCCTCTCACCTGGGCTGGGCTCCCAGGCTCTCTGAAAACAAAAGCAGTAGACGAGTGAGCTCTAAGCCCCTGCAGCTGCCAGTCTCCACGCAAAGCCCTGGTTGTGTGTTTTCGCAGTCATCACAACTGGAACAATAGTAAATCTAGGTATTCCATGAGGAGAAAAAAAAAAAAGCGTGGAACGGCATTCCCCCAAAAACCAGTGAGTATCACTAGGGTCCAGGATTAGAGGTGATTTTAACTTCAATTTCCCTCTGGGTTTTTAATTTTATGATGGTCCCTGTTACTTGTGTAATTTTCTTTTAAAAAGAAAACAATGCCTTGGTTGGTTAATCGTAACAACCTGCATTTCCATCGAGCTTTGTACTTTATGAGGTGCTTTAAAGCACAAGCGGCCCTCCGCCCTGGCTGCGGGTCTGAGCCAGCGAGAGAGGGTTTTGAAATCCAGGTGCTTGGTCCCTGAGGCAGATGTGCTGGTTTAAGTGGTCAGAGAGGGGCCCTGGGCATCTGTATTTTCTAAATTTAATCTTTATTGTATGTTTATTTCCATCGCCATTTAGTCCCCTTATACCTCCCTCCCCCCGGCATCTGTATTTTTAAATAAACTTTTCATTTCAGAATAGCTTTTAGATTTGCAGAAAAACATCGCAAAGGTAGTACAGAGAGTTTCCGTATACTTGGCCCCCAGTTTCCCATGTTATCCACATCATGTGCACATGATGTGCCTCTGTGGGATGGGAGTCCCCTCGGGTCTCACGGGGTTAAGGTCACGGCGTCAGCAGGGCTGCACTCTTTCCCGGGGGCCCCAGGGAGGACAGGAGTCTTCCCTTTCGGACCCCCAGACTCTGCTGCATCCCTTGGCTCCTGGCCCCTTCCTCTACCTTCAAAGCCGGCAGCCAGCACCTGCCTTGACCATGCTTCGTCCCCAGTCACCTCTCCCTGGGCTGCCGCTGGGAAAGCGTCTCCGCTGTCAAGGGATCGGTACCCACCTGGATGATCCAGAATAACCTCCCCATCTCAAGCGTTTTAACCTTAATCATATCTCCCTTTTGCCATGTGAGGTAACACAGTCACAGGTTCTGGGCTTAGGAGGTGGACGTCTCTAGAGGTCACCATTCTACCAACCACAGGAGGAAAGAGAGACATGCCCTTTGTCATGATTAACTTTTAGTTATTGTCATTCCATTTTAATTGTTATTTTGCTTTTTTTTTCTCTCTCTCTGGAGGTTGTGCTGTCCTTCCAAGCACTCCTGGTCTGTGGCGCTCACCTATCGCTCCCAGTTTGGAGGTCACTGCCCCGAAAGAGACCTGCACAGGCAAGGCTGCCCTCTCCACGTGGGTGGCTGGGACCCCCCACTATGCCTCCTCCATGATGTGCTTCTGTAAACCAGGTGAGCTCATCAGACCTTATTCTAACAGGCCTGCTCCTCCAGGCAGAGGAAGCTGGAAAATGGAATTCTGTTCCAGAATCTTCCATTCAGAACGTTCAGGTAGCTCAGCCTAGTTTCACCTGCTGGAATACATTTATCAGATGGCATGGCACTAACATTTTTGGGGGTTCATATTATTTTTCAAAGCCAGCCTGATACGAAGGAAGGAGCCTCTGTGTAGCTTGAAATTCTTT